TACCCCCCAGTGAATATGGTGATGAACTTATAAACGTTATTATATGTAGATGACATTGCCCTGATTTGTGAAAGCGAAACCGATCTACAAAAGCTACTCGATATTGTTAAAAAGTAGTGCAATCAATGGAGGATATCTATAAATATGGGAAAAACTATAATTGTACATTTCAGAAAGAAAACTATGCCTAAAACGAACTATAATATCTTCTTCAATGATTCTGAAATCGAAAAAGTGTCAAATCTGTCAAGCTACAAATATCTGGGCTGCTTCTTCAACGAAACACTAGACTATACATTTACAGCAGAACATCTGAGCTCAGCAGCAAGCAGGGGACTTGGTCACGAGGGGAAAGTCTACCCGCGTATGGGTATAACCTACCGCCGAGTACAGAGCTGTCAAGTGTCCCGCGAATGGCGGGATTATCCCGCGAATTTGATCAAAATTAGGCTAATTCGCGTGTCCCGCAATGTCCCGCGATGTCCCACAAATGTGGTTTTTGACCTCCGCGAATTTCCGAAATTGTTGCTATCCCCTATATTGTGATTATCTTATCTTATAAAAGAAGCTAAGTTTTTGCACTTTTGAGGAGTAAAGTTTACCTAATTTTAAGTACCTAGCATGCTGTTGTTTGGTATCAAAATAAAGAGGAAGGGTTCAACTTTCATTTTAATTACGAAAATAGGGATGTAGGTCAAAAATAGTTCTAACGTTGGGCTTTTTACTATCCGTGTGGCCTTCATCTCAGAACTGAGCAAATGTTAGCAAACGCGAGTTACAATAAATGGACGCTGAAATCTAGAAAGGGTGCATTGTAGAAAAACCGGGTACCGGGTAGTAAATCCTCCATGCTGGGTTCAAACTTAAAAACGGGTACCCAAAAAACGAAAAATACGAATATATAACATAATTAGATTATGAGAAAACGTGTAAGATTTGTTTTGAATTCACAAAAATGTATGTAACATCCTTCAAAATTGAGCTAGAAGATTCAAATAAAAAGTATATTTAAGGCTCTTTTCTTCCTCTATCGTCATGGCCATATTTTCATCGGTTATGGGGGGGGGGTGCGATCGCACCATCGCACCATCGCACCATCTCCTGGCTACGACTATGACATTGTAAGACATAACAATTTACAATCCAGTGGACATTTTGTCGAAAATTGGGATAACTTAAATTATGATTAATAATCAAAATCATGTAAATTAACACGTCACCTCCCTGCTAAAGCAACGATAGCTATTTACAGATTTAAATCATAATCAAAACAATTCACGTACCAACAAACGAACTATTGAAAATAGAGTAAGATTGATTTGTCTTGTTTTTCAAATCGTCTTACAATGTCATTGGCGTAGCCAGGAAGGGGTGCGATCGCATCCCCCCTCCCCCTTTCATTACCAATGGAAAGATGATGATAGAGGACGAAAAGAGCCTTAAAATGCTTTTTATTTGAAGCTTCTAGCTCAATTTTGAAGGAAGTTACATACATTTTTGTAAATTCAAAACAAATCTTACACGTTTTCTAATGATCTAATTATGTTGTATATTCGTATATTTCGTTTTTTGGGTACCCGTTTTTTTCGTATTACAAGCGTATTACATGAAAAAATCGTATTGTCCCCGGGAAAAAATCGTATTGGAGCATATTAACCTATTTTCGGTTTCCCGGTTATTTTTTCCCTGTTATCTGCATTATCCAAATGTAGCATTTTAGAGGGGTGTATTATGGAATAAATAGGTTATTTCTGGTCGGGATTGAATATGGGTTTTATTCCTCGGAAAATATGATATTGACCTTGGGCTATATGATATTGACACTCGGTCGCTCGGGGGGACCTTCCAAATAATAATCGGATATAGTTGGAGCATTTGCAAAGTCCCATTGAGTAGCCCCCGAAATCAAGGGAGACTACTGATGATGTATCTCGGTAGCCAGTATTGATGAGCACCTTGTGTTTTATTTATGAAGAAAAAATTCTTTTTGTCCAAATTACTCGAGTTAGTTAGGCCTACTAAGTTGTTAGGTTACGCAGACTTAATCTTAAGTAGGCACTGAATTATCGAGTTTGTTACTTAGTTACTTTAAAACAATTTTCGGTGTAATCGTCGGTGCGTGGGGACCAAAATGCCGCTGGAAGTAGGGACTCTGTATAACAGAATAATGTACCAACAGAAAGGCATTTTTGTTATGCTTTGAATGGAACAAGTTTGAAGAAAACGGTGCAGTGTGAGACTCGCAATCTTTAATTTTCAAACATCTGGTAGGTCAAAAAATCAAATTAACGGTCGAAGTTAGTACCGCGTGGTCACTGGGAGTTTCAGTAAAGATCACTAAAATGAACCAAAATAAACAATATTGTAAAATCCCCAGAGGAGCCCTCGAATTGATCCAAGACTCGTATTCCCCGATTAACTTCATAATTTCCAATAGAGATTGTCGAATATCCACTGGTGATCCACTCGATTACGCTGGTTACCAAAACGAACCGTTTTGGTAACAAAATGTCGGAACATCCGGAAGGTACGATTTTCTCGTTTCCTTATTTTACACGTTGTAGGCAGAATTCCCACGACATTTTTTAACACAAACGTGTAATAGTATTATATGTTTAAGAAATTGTACACATTTGCGAACAATTAGTTCAGAAGACAACAGAATCGTCGATTTACTTCCTCACTTAAGTTACATAAACGGTTTGGGTTATAAGTGCAGATCTTAACTGTTTTTCGAAAAACCGTTTATGTAACTTAAGTGAGGAAGTAAATCGACGATTCTGTTGTCCTCTGAGCTATTTTTTCGCAAACATGTACATTTTCTAAAACATATGATACTGATGCACTTTGTGAGAAAAAACGTCGTGGGGATTCCGCCTACAACGCGTGAAATAAGGAAAAAAGAAAAATCGTGCCTTCGACGTTCCGACATTTTGTTACCAAAACGGTTCGTTTTGGTAACCAGCGTAATCGAGTGGATCACCAGTGAATATCGATCTAAAGTTATACCTAACATATAGATCATCATTTTTCGTGTGAAAGTCGTGAGAATGAAGAAGTATTAAAAAGAAACGAGAGATTGTACATTGCTTTTTTGGGAAATGGCAAGAAACATTTTAAACTTGAACATTTCCTTCAATCATTATTGACTATTTTGAGATAATATTAGACTAGTTTAATATGGTGTGGAAAGAAGCGAATGTGTTATAGATGTTTATCAGGGGATGCAGCGAATCACAAAATGCGTTACTCTTTTCAGGGGCGTAGCCAGCTTTTAGTCAGGGGGGGGGGGGGTGATGCCACTTCATTCAAAACTGAGCTAGACGATTCAAATAAAACGCATCTTCTATCTACTGGTTAGCTCTGGTTGTATTTTTTATTGGTCATGGGGGGATCCCATCCCACGCCTATGCTTTTACCGCATTTTAGAGTAAATAATTATAAAGTACTCTATTAGTGCCCACTTGATTTCTTTGCAAATTCAATTTTTCTGATGTATTTGTTAATACTTGGTCATTCTTCGATAATTCTTGAACTTTGTCAAGCGGGATGGGCGCTAAATACGGCGATTTTTGTTACTATTTAAGCAACGCGTATGTTTCTGTGACGATTCATCACTCTGGTAATAAATTATATAATTCAACTTCGTTTACTTCAGAGTATATAGGCCAGGATACAGCATGGGTTTTGGGAAGTTCAAGGGCCACTTGATAGACATAATGTTTCTTAAAGATGATTTCATTTAGCATCAATTCATATATGTCTGGGATTTTTTAGTTGGTGGACGAAGGATTCTGAGCAGTTTTACCCCCCTAGAATAATATTTCAGGGGGGTACTATATTATCATTCTATAAAATCAGTTATGCATTAACTATAGCACTGATTTATACATATTCGGTCTCTGTCAACAGTAGTTTCTCGGTTTACAGTCTCGATATACAATTTTGCCGGTTGACCTCTGGAGAGGTCAACAATTGTATAATGTATTAAATATATGACCCTTGACATCGAGCAAGTCAGTGACTATTATTATGCATTGTGTACACCTCGTGTCCAGTTCATGAAAACTACTTACATTTGAAAGTACCTACAAGTGTTGGAACGTCAGGTGACTCTGCTGGTATTGACTTTTGACCTAAAATAAAAAATTGTAATTTTATTTGTTTCAAAAATTTTGTGAATGTTCTAAGTGTGTAAACATATCCATGTTCAGTTTTTCTGGAAGGACTTAAATAACATATTTATTTGATACAGTCGACTAAATGTCGCAATGTGTTGTATGAAATATTTTATAAGACGAATTAAACAGGCGGTTTATTCAAGCGAACAAGTGAAATGATCATCTATTATGAAAGATCGGGAAGTCATGAGAAGTTGTAATACATACTAGCATGAATATGTTGTGAAATTATCTGTGAAAGATTTCTACCTAGTGGAAGCCGATTTCCAATAGTGGATGCTGGTGTCTGTATCATGATTTGATTTCCTCGTCGGTCTGAGATTTGAGTAGGTTGGCTGTCATTTTGTATGTATGCACTCTCTGTCATTGTTGAACTTTGGTCATTCCTGGCTGAGTTTTGTCGTTCATGATTTACTCTCTGTAATGATGCCTCAATGAACTTGGCAATTTCTTTGGTTTCCAAAGTAAATTGTTCATCATCCTCGCCCATGGAGCTAGTGAGAATGTTCCAGTACTTCTCAACTTTAAGGATAAACCCCTCGTCCATTTGAAAGTTTAGGTCAGGAACGGTATAACCTGAAAAACAACGAGTCTTGTTTTATGTATATACACTGGGTAGGTACTAGGAATGTCTAATGTCACCCCATTGGACTATTGTATTAAGGTACCAAGAATATCGGCAAGACTAAACCTCCAAGGAAAACTAAACAAGAAACAACAGGACAACCAAAGATTTCAACAGGGCCAGCAGAAAATGTGGCCAAATCCAATATGGCTTCCACATGTAATCTTCCCACAATTACACCCCAGTCACATTTCCTACGGCGACCTTGCGGTCTATCATTTCTGCGGCCAGTAACATTTCTACGCTCGCCGTGGAATTTCTGCGCTCTCATACTTTTGCAGTCACATTTCCCACGGCAGCCGCATGGTGAATTTTAACTTTCTGTTTATAAATAATACTTTTTTCATTTTATTTACATCGGGACAATTTGTAAATGTTATTCATAGTGTTAGGATGTAATATCAAATGAAAAGTGATCGTGAAACATTGACAAATAATGATTCAATCTTGTTGAGCCAGTTGATTTCTACAGGGACCTCAGAAATGAACAAATATTATAACTCCGAGTTATAATTTCTACGCCTTCCATGCGGCCTGTAAAAATCTGCATTCGCCGTACGGAGGCCGCAAGGCGAGCGTAGTTTTTCTTCGCTCGCCGCAGAAATTCACCGATTTAATTGATCTGCGGTCGACTTGCGGCCGCCGTGCGACAAATGTGACTGGGGTGTTAGTAACATATATTTCAAATTTGAATAACAATCACAACACAACTACAGGTACCACGGATGATATAAATTCAGTTATAGTCGCGTTGCAACAAAAAGTGGAGGATTAATGGACAGTTCGAATCGAGTTTTAAAACAACTGGATTTACGGCGACAACAACTTGTGGACATTTTAGACAGTCAAATAATATCAATTAAAGGTTAAGTTGAAGATGGACAACGAGATCAGTACTTTACGTAAAAATATTGAACATATACACACTCGATTGGATATTTTGGAAAATCGAGATGAAGCTAACTACAAATCTAAATCTGTGAATTCAAATGTGATTGAAACTGAAGCCAACTATATTGTGATTAAAAATTTGGATCAAACGTTGGACTTGACTCAAACTGTGAATGACTTTGTTGATGAACTATCGATTGATGACAAAATTGGGACTACCCCTGAAGCTGTCAAAAGACTACCATCTCAACATGACCGACCCGGTATCGTGTTTGTAGCCTTGACATCACAGAGAGATAAAATATGTATGCTGAAATCGAAACATCGCCTCAGACATTCCGCAAAGTACCACAATGTTTATTGACACCAGAAAATCTAGGGAACAACTACAGCAGTTAAATTTTGCTCTGGGTCACTGTACTACAGTAATACCCTTGTGATGCCTTGGTCACATTTGCTCCGATTTTCAGCACCGGCGCCCGGCCGATGAGTATTTTGTTTAAAATTAAATACAATTTTGAACAAAATACTCAATCGGCCGGGCCCCGTAGTAAAAATCGGAGCAAATGTGACCACGACATTACATTGAGTTGATCTTGGATATTCAACTGCATATATTTCATGTACCTCATAATGGCATCAATTAGTATTGAAAGTTATAGGCTAATGTAGGCTTGTTTCTTTGCAGGGCTACTGAACTAAGAAAAATCAAAGGATTATTTTTGTAAAGAAAAGAAACACATGGACTTATTTTCGCAACATGAGTATCAACTAAAAAGATTCGAATCATTTTTTGAATCAATATTGAAACTGGGTAACAAATGAACTGATCGAATGGCACAAAATAACATCAATATGATACACATAGATACACTTATTACTTTGATATTAAAACTAACACCATCATGGACACATTCTTCAATTATATCGAAACTGGACAATCTATGAATTGAATCGCACAAAACAATTTCAACAAATAGGTAAATTCTTTGATATAAAAAGTGTCTCATTAGCCGGAGACGGCTGGGGGCTATTGCCTAATTCTTGTAGATGTATAATGCCTTCACCATGTATAGCCTGTGACACTATAATAAATATTTAACTAACTTACTCTAATTTTGGGAAAGCCTCGGCGCATGACATCTAAATATAAGAAATATCAATAACTTTGAAACCATAAGAAACCAATTGCAATGCCCATTACTACTATATACAAATACCTCGCTATTATTACAAGCTTGATATTGTTTCTACAAGCATAAATATATTATTATTCGACGTACATTATACAAAATGTTCGTGCAATGATGTGTTACAGTGAACATTTTTGAATAGGCTACATATTCACATTTTATTTATGTTAGCGGTTAATTCATTTTGAAATACTTAGTTTAAAACAATGTACTTATACCATTCTTTTCCCACTTTTCCAGCTCCTTCATAGCATTTTCTTTCAGTTCATTGTCGCAAACTATTTGGTTGATCACTATCTTCATGGCTGAAAATACATTTTCTGGATCCCATTTCATCAAGCTTTTCTCTGCCCATAGGTTTTTTGCATCACTGATCCTCTGGTAGTACTTAACATCGGGCAATGCATTCAGGTTTGGAACACGTAGGATTAAGTCCAAGAGTACGAATGGATCCTTAATTGCAACTGTAAATTCACCTTTAAGTTGACTTTTTTCATCAAGGAACCTGTTTGCGAAATCTTCTACAGTCCCAATTGTTTCAGAGTTACCCTTTAGTGAGTCAAATTTCTCTTGCATTCTTGTTTTGGTATACGGCACTAGTGTGGTCATCATTGTTTCATTTATAACAATTATAAACGATAAATATCTTTTCCGTTCTGGCGACAGATCTAAAAATGGTAAATTAATCATATTATTTAACATTTTGAACATTAGAAATAGTATGTATATAAAGGTTACTTTTAACTTTTAAAATAAATCACATTGATACGATGTCAGATACAATATTTAAATTCTCCATTTTGAAAAAGACAAACAGGTTCTGTGTGATGACGTCATAATATAACAATGTTAACTTAACGCTTATGCCTATATTTATGCAAAAAAAGTGTGGACAGGCAGAATTTCGTACCAACAAGATATATATTTTGATCAATTTAACATTAAATCGTTTGAAAGGTTAATTCTTCTTCTTTAATTTGATTCCTTTAAGGCATATCATATTCTATATTTTTATCCCAAAACTATATCATTTCGATTAAAATACAGTCTTTAAGAAGTATAAATTGAAAGAAATATGAAGTGAAGCCATGTGAAAAATTCACAAAATTACGTTTCATTTTTTGAGTTCAAATATTTCTAATTAAGGGATAAATATTCAAAACGTTCCAATGTTTCAGCATGTTCTTTTAAATATACCCCTTACTACATACAATTAATTTCATTTAATTTGAACCAGTTTTGACATAGACATAATTTTATCACCGCAACCCCAAGTGAAGCCTTAAAGACTAGTCTAGAAAGACTGTGCGACAACGAGAGCGAAGGGCCGAAAAGCGTACAAAAGAAGAAAACGGGTAGGGTTTGAAATGTCTACTCTCAAGTGATTCTAATTCTGTATATCGTGACACAACCTTTTTGAGTTTAGAATTGTATTGAAGCGCACATAAATCGGAACAAAACTTGAGGTTTTTAAGAAGATTCCACGAATATTAAAACTTTTGCAATTACTTGGAGAAGCATTGCGCATATTTATCGCGTAAATCTTTGCATTTTGTCGGTAAAATGAACAGTATCTGACGTCGTATCATTGCGAATTAAATTTTTGTTTTGTTTTAAAAAGTATATGCATGGTGGAAAATCTCATAAAACGAAAACCCGGGAACTGAAACTCTAACAGTTTAAACTTAATCTATTTGACACAAAATCTTCTTACTTACCCGGGACGGCGTTCGTAGTTATTCCCAGCTGATCAACCTGTTCAGGAAAACTGCGTTTTCCTCCCTGAACAATTCCACATTGGTTTTCGATGTTTCCTAATTGCTGCCCATGTGATTCTACATCTTCTGCAAGCTGAACGAGTTGTATATTTTTAAGGGCCCTTGCCAGGATTACAATCATGTTAGCATTTTTTGACTGTCTCTCTCTCCATAATACTAATATTTGGAATGCCCATTGTTTAGGATAAGGATGACCCATTCTTATGTTTTCAATTTCGCGATGCGTGACATCTAATTCGGTTCCTAGGTCGTTGTACATCATGCCTATTCCACCAGCAATACTATTTAGAAATTTATCATCCAAGGCATCTGAAAACCCAATGAATGAAATAAAATGAATAAATAATATTTCAGTTAAAGGGAGAATCAGATCCATAAGGAGTGACAAAATTACATGCAACATGTACGGTTTACCTACCAATATATTCAATCTCAAAATTAATATCTCCCAAATATATACACGACATGTTATACATTGGTGAAGTTATTAAGGATTCAAAGTGCCCAAATGGGGAAAACTGTTTAGATTCTCCCAGATAAAACAAATAGTAAGCATAGCAATAGAAAAGTATACATTATGAATGTATTATTGTAGAAACCCTTAAAACACATGCTTTCAATGGATTTCCATGGGAATTACCAGTGTGATTTCAATTGTAGAAGTAAACTTTTTTGGGACAATGATGTCAATACTATAGAGGGCGGTATGCTTTATGACATGATGATTGATCAAGGTCTTACTGAGTTAATCCATGAACCAACAAGAGTAGCCCAAAACTCAAGATCATGTTTAGATTTATTTTTTACAGATTCACCCGGATTTGTTTTAAACACTGAAGTTAAAGCACCTATTGAGCTTTCTGATCATTCAACCATATTAACAATGCTCGACATGGGCCTTAAACATAATAACTTTAAATCTACCAAACGTGTATGGCAATACTCGGATTGTGACAATGTTGCACTTAATGCAGCTGTTTCTAATCATGATTGGAACAGTATGTTTCGATTTAATTCTACCCACGATTTAGTGGAAAAGTTTACCGATGATTTATATACCTTATTTTTTAATAATATTCCGAGTAAAACAAAGATAATGCGTTCAAATGACACACCGTGGTTTAACAAGGAGGTCAAAGCTGCAATAAACAGAAGGGATACATTTTATCGAAAATTGAAGAAAAACTACTCGGACGAGAATTTTCAACTTTTCAAAAATCAGTCTATTTTGGTTAGCGACACAATTGCAAGCGCAAAATTAACACATGAGAATACTGTCTGTGCAAAATTGAGAACTCATTCATCAAGCTCATCTTTTTATTGGAAGGTCATCAAGCAACTTTTTGGGAAAAAAATTAATACAGATCTTCCAATTTTAAAAAGTGGTATTATTACAGCAGAAGATGATAAATCTAAAGCTGACTTGTTTTTGAATCAATTTCTTAAAAAGTTTCATCATAATCACAATGAATCCACGGACAGATATTTTCCATCTAGAACTGAAAATTTAATGGAAATTCCATCAATAGAACAGGAAACAGTTAATAAATTGCTAAAAAATCTTGATACTTCAAAGCAGGGTGGACCAGACAATATCTCAAATAAAATGCTTAAAATAGTAGCTTCCACCTTAGATAAACCACTGTGTCAGTTATTCAATAGAATTTTACAGGATCGCATTTACCCGGATACTTGGAAACTTGGTACTTTAGTTCCAATTTTTAAGAATAAAGGATCTCGTTCTGATCCAACTAATTACAGACCAGTCACATTACTCAACAACATTTCAAAAATATTTGAAAAAATACTTTATGAACACTTGTACACTTTTATTAAAGAAAATAATTTACTTTATATCAATCAATCTGGCTTTTTACCAGGACACAATCTGACAATACACAAAATCAACTGGTAAGCATTGTTCATTTTATTAATTCAAATATTGATGATTTGGCGGACACCAGAGGCATCTTCCTCGACATAGAAGGTGCTTTTGACGCCGTTCCTCACTTCCTGTTGATCAAAAAATTAAAATCATACGGTTTACCTCAGAGTATTATTGATCTCTTTCAAAGTTATCTTACCAATAGAAAATTAAACTGCCGTGTCAATAATATATCTTCCAAATTCTCAGAGGAAGGCATAATCAATAGTGGGGTACCCCAGGGATCTATATGGGGGCCATTATTCTTCCTTTTGTACATAAATGATCTACCGGAAGTCATTAGAAACGGTAAAATGTAAAATGCTGACGACAGTTCTATATTTTTTAAAGTTGATAAGGACAGAGATCTAACTGAAGCTCAGCGGGAAATACAATTTGATCTTGATAAGTTGTCTGAATGGTCCGATTTGTGGAAGTTGAAATTCAAAGCATCTAAAAGTAAAGAATTGATATTTAGGAGTAGATGTCGTTTCAAGAGGCAGTTTGAGCCAGTTACCATGAATGGTGTAACTATAGCCAGACAAGATTCACATTGTCACCTGGGTGTAATTTTAGATGATGCTCTGACTTTCACCGAACACATAACCCAACTCCGTATCAAAATAGACAAGATGATAAATCCACCTAATTGTTTAAAATATAAGATTGCTAGTAAACACCTTGAAACTATGTATATGTCCTTTATTTTACCCCATTTAGAATACGACTCAGTTTTATTTGATGCGGCTCCAAAACACGAACTCTTGAAATTGGACAGGCTTCACTATAAGGCAGCCTAAATTGTTAGCGGCTGTATCAAGGGAACAAATACAAACAAAGTTCTGAAAATTCTTAACTGGGCTCCACTATCGGAAAAAAGAAAACAAAAGAAACTGTTATTAATGCATGATGTTTATTATGAAAATGCCCTCCATACATTTCAAATATTTTCAATTTGTACCGAAACAAGAGGCCAACTCGAGCCCTAAGAAAAATGCCCCATTTTATTGTACCCGCGAAACAATCTGAAAAAACTAGACGCGGTACTGTAGTTTCTTCTATATCTGAATGGAAGAGGGACACATTACCTGATCAACTCAAAACCATTCCAATAAAGTGCACTTTTAAATACCATCTTAAAAAACATTTATTTTCGAAGAAGACCCTAATTGACACAGTCCACTTGAACTTAGACAGGCAAGCTGAAATAGTGCTTAATAAAACCAGATGTGATTTCATTTTTCGTTACCATAAGTTCCAGCATCAATTCAATAATGTCAATCCTCAATGCCTGTGCGGTTTTCGATCTCAGACAACCCAACACCTATTCTTTTCTTGCCCCCTTTTACTTGATCTCAGGGAACAACTAGCACTCGACCTTGCGGGGATACCCAATTTCAACATTAACCATTATAACAAACTAAATGCAAAAGAGAAACTAGATACATTGTTATATGGTGGCTCAACATATAAAATTGAAACTAACAAGCTTATAGTCACAACAACTGCCAACTTTATTTCTTTAATTGTAGACTATGTTTAACTTTATATATTTGGTGTAAAATGTCACATGTAACTTACATGTATTGTCATGCTGAGTGTTCAGCAGCCTAAAATTACCTGATTTTTATGTGCCTACTTAACTCTGTTTTAGAAATTGTATAAATGTGTATGTGTGAAAATCGACATGGGCCACTAATGCCAATGGCCTTGGCCCATTGTCAGACATTGTGAAATGATAGTATTGATAAATAAAACATAACCTATAAAAAAAATTACCAGGCAGTATATTCCATGGTAAATACTGGTATTCCATGAAATACTGGTTTTCCTTTATTTTTTCTCATGACATACTTATCTTGACCATTGGTCTACTCTATAACATCGACCTGTTTAACCATAAAGTGAAAGTTGCTAAAACATTACGAGTGTTTGATAATGTCTAAATATTACCGAATTGGTTTGACTGGTTTGAGTTTAAAAAAAGTTATTTCAATTTTAGAATATGCTCTTAACATTCCTTGTCATATCAAATTTCTAAAAACGCCAATGTATTCATCTTTTTATAATAAAATCATCACATTTTTCATTGACGTAACTTAAATTGATTAATTACTGAATTGATTGAATTTTGTCATCCCCTTAATAGACTGATTCTACCTTTGAATAAGAACCTTGGTTTCACATGAAAATTATACTTTACTGCTAAATTATTATGACCACAAAATATATTTGTCTTCTTTCCACAACCTTTATTTTACTATAACCAGGACGTTTCGGATCCTGTCTGGATCCTTTTTCAACTGTATAAAAACTGAACTGAAGCGATACAAAACAATTAAATTTTAATTATTTTCATTCCAAATTCCCGCCAATTTATAGTTCCCTTGATCCCTGTTCATATTATTATCATTTTTCTTTATAAAAATAGATTCTTTTATCCATCTTTCAAGTCTCTTATTGTCATTGTCCAAAACCATAGTATTGTTCCAGTCCATTACGCAATTATTCTGAAGGACGTGGTCCATAATGGCTGATTTATTCATCACCCCTCTCATATTTTCTTTTGCTTGGCGCGTGTAACGTGAATTGTCCCTCGAATCTGCTTCTATCTTATGTTCTTTAATTCTAACTTTCAAAGGTCTTGAGGTTTCTCCTATATACGATTTGTTACACGTTTTGCAAGGTACCTCATATATAACTCCTGATTTATCATTAATGTCTATTTTGTCTTTAGGGTGGACTAACATATTTTTGAGAGTCATGTAGGGTTTCACTGCTGCATTAATTTTATGTTTTCTAAAAATTCTCTGGAGCTTCTCCGTCGTACCTTTGATATACGGTAACACTACAGTCCCCAGCGGTTTTTCCTCTTCATCTTGATTGACCTTACGTTTTACATTTTTCATTGTTGAGGAAACGGTCCATTGGGGATATCCACAATTTCCCAACGCCTTTTTGATATGTTCAATTTCTATGGCTTTATCAGCATCTTCTGTTACAAGAGTTTTGCATCTATTAACCAATGTATAAAAGAATAAATAAAATAATAATAGTTATAAATAAATAAGATAAAAGAATCTCTTTTTATAAAGAAAAATGATAATAATATGAACAGGGATCAAGGGAACTATAAATTGGCGGGAATTTGGAATGAATTTTTTGGTGAATTAATATGACGTAATATTGTTTTTATTTAATTGTTTTGTAGCGCTTCAGGTCAGTTTGAAAAAGGATCCAAACAGGATCCGAAACGTCCTGGTTATAGTAAAATAAAGGTTGTGGAAAGAAGAAAAATATATTTTGTGATTTGATAAGCCAACCTGAAGAACATGTTTAAGAATAAATTATTATGATTTTGCAAAATTAAACAACAAAATTAAGAATTCTTGATAATTGATTTAATGATTAAAAAGATAAAGAATGTCTACAAGTATAAATGTGAAAGTTAATGCAATTAACACTAGTATTAGAGCTTAGGTGGATAAAAAACATATAGACTCAATTATGTTAATCTGGTCATATATTCCATGTCGACAAAACATATCAGTCTTATAATCCAATTATTCATTAACAACTTTGCTACTAATGCTCTAATATTTGGAATCATATGTTTTATACAGTTTTGTTGAACCGTTTTATATAGTTTTGTTGAATGATCTACAGATGTACCTGGCTGCTGCAATGAAACACATGCCAAAACTTAGAGAAATAATTCATTATATATGTAGTGCATTATATCAGTATCGATATATGATGGAACACTAGTATTACATAATTAGACAGCATCGTCATGCTTGTTAACAAGAGAAACCATCCGTGAGAAGGAAATCACATGACATTGTCTGATTGCAATGTCTGCTTGCTACAATAACATCCTTTATTACATATACAGCTTTGAACTTTTCACCAAATACCTTTTCCTTTGTTGATATTTTCACCAAATACCTTTTCCTTAGCTGATATTTTCAAATCAGACATCATTTTATTTTAAAAGATTAACTTGCCTATAATAATATTTCAGTCAATACTAATAATACTAATGGACATTACTGCTGCTTTTGACACCCTTCCGCATAATAAAATTTATGGAATTAGACCAAACGTGTTATTATTTCTAAAATCTTATCTCTCAAACAGGGAAATTAAAGTTGTCATCGATGGAAAAGATTCCGATCTTTCTGAACTTAATTTCATAAACGCAGGAGTACCACAAGGCTCGATTTTAGGCCCTCTTCTATTTCTATTATACATAAATGACCTCCCAGATAACTTTATATAATAATAAGTAAATGTTTCATATATCTCTACATAGAGAAGAGCACAAATAGGCTTGCTATTAAAGTCAAAAAGAAATTAATAGAGAGATATCAAGTATATTGGAAGAATCTGATAAGTGGGAATGGGGGGAAACTTAAATTATTTAAACAACTAAAATCACACTACCTTTCAGAAACGACACTTTCAAATGCTAAACATTTAACTAGATTACGTATAAGCACCCACAATCTAGAGATAGAGGCCGATATACAAGACCCCTTACTGATCTCAATAGTCGCTTTTGTAAAATATGTAAGGACTCGGTTATAGAAGATGAAACACACTTTTTATTCAAATGTAAACAATTGGAGTATATCAGAAAATACCATATTGAAAAACTTGAAAACCTGTGTAGTAATTTTAAAAACATGAATGACCACCAAAAGACAATTTTTCTATTGACGAGTGAGGGGATCATATTAAAAGAATCTGCTGACATGATAAATTATCTAATGATTGGTAGAGACAGGATTCTTATATCAAAGTAACATTTTATATGTCATTTGAAGAATGTAATCCTATTTTCTTTACTTTATTGCTATATTTACTGTTATTGAAAATTGTATTTCGGATGTACGTTTGGCCCTAAAAGGGCATCAGTACTAATAAAATCCTATTTTAATATAAGTAATATGCAGATGATACTTCCCTTTACCAGTCCTTCTCAAGTAGAAATGTAGTTGAAAAGAATAATATTTTACAACAAGACCTGAATTCCATTTCACTCTGGTCCAAAACGTGGAAACTGAATTTTAAAGCCAGTAAAAGTAAAGATTTAACTTTCTCCTATCCACGAAAAGCTATTATAGTACAAACACCTGATCTTAAATTAGGTGAAAACTTGATCCCGCGTGTTGACCATCATAAACATGTAGGTCTTATACTAGATAAACATTTGACCTTTGAAAATCATATTACTGAAATGGCAACAAAAATTGACAAGAAATTAAACCCCCTCAAATTGCTTAGTCCAAAGATAGGTGGAAAACACCTAGAACTTATGTTTAAATGCTTTATTCTCCCTCTATTTGACTTCTGTAATATACTTTATGGGTGTGCAAATGCCACTAAACTAGCAGTACTTGACAGACTATTCTATAAAGCTGCTTGTATCTGTTCAGGTGTTTTACGGGGAATGTTATAAAAACCCTTCGACCTGCACCTTCGACCTTCACCTTCGACTTACAGGGTGTCCAAAAAGAAAATATTATAGAAGCTATTTTTGCCGATCTCAGACCACGCAAGAGTCACTTGATTTGTGGTTCACAGGTGAGATCATTAAGATCTTAAATTGTAGCAACGTTTGCAGTACTCTAGGTTTAGTTACAGGGGTGAAATAGCGTTTTCATGTTATCAAATTAAGATTCTGTTGATGTTGATCGGGTAGTCAATCGGGTAGTTTAAATGGAAGTTTCCCTTTTTAGAACTTACTTCCTGGTTTTGATTCGATTGAATCGAAGTAAAATTAGAGTAAGTAGCGATCAATTACTGTTTTATTTATTGAGTTCCAATTATAGTCTTGTTGTGTGATCAATATTAAAACGGGATATGGCGTCAATAACTTGTTATTTAACTTTGAAATCTTGTCCGAAAAGTGATGACGTCACCAGGCCTATAAAGTATTTCGCCGATGTAAACTCAAGAGATGACAGCTAGCTTTCGACGAGGACAGAGCTCCGTTCAATTTCATAATCTATGTGAAGTTGGACTTAGTCGTTTTTCAAAGAAATATTTTTGGACTTTGACAATTTTCATAAGAAAAGTCAAAGGTGCAGGTCGAAGGGTTTTTATAACTTTCTTTTTTGCCCGCTTTTTGGGCACCCTGCAGGTCGAAGCTGAAGGTCGAAGGTGCAGGTCGAAGGTCGAAGGGTTTTTATAACATTCCGTTTTACGGGGCACTTCATCACTCAAACTGTTAAAAAACTTAAATTGGCCAAGTTTATCTGACCGAAGAAAGATGCACAGAAATGTCCTTATGTATAGGGTCAATAGAAGTATTTTGCCTGATTACCTGTATGTATCAAACATCCTATTCCTTCCATTTAAAAGAAATCATAACAGGGCAAATATAGATTTGACTGCAGTATTCCAATCAAGCGGCCAGCTATTTATAATAGAACATGTATTTTTACTACAATAACTGAGTGGAACTCATTGACACCTAAAGTTAGAAGTTCAAATAATCTAAATATTTTTAAATCAGAACTTAAGAAGGGTTTAATAAATACCAAAATGATCCGTACTTCATATCTTGGCCTAAACAGAAATCAAGAGATTATCTCCAATAAAGTAAGATGTGACTTAGTATTCAAATCTCATTTACATTCACACAATTTCACAAATGTTGAATCTCCCATGTGTCAATGATGATTTAAAAATGAGATAACCCTGCATGTTGTTTTTAGATCTAGATTTCTGCAGAATTTGAAGATGAATTAAGGAGCATGAGAAATTTCAACTATCAAGTTTATAGATCTCAACAAGATAAACTTTCCCTTTTTGTAAATGGTGATCAAAGCCTTCCAGACAGAGTCAATACATGTATTTTAAAGCTAAGCGCACAATTTGTTGAAAGATGTGTTAATGTCTAGTAAGTCTTTCCACCACCTGTATATTGTTTAAAATCTGTGACCAAATCATATGTACCTTAAATTTGTATTAAACGTGGTTATTAATACTGTTAATATAAGTACAGCCGCTATTTGTATTTGTATTTTGATATGATAATTTGTAATAAAATAAACTGAATAAAAAAATACTAATAAGGAAACAAAAATCTAAACAAAAACTGTCTCAATTCTAAGATATTTTAGGCAAAGATCATGTCTATTTTTCTAAAAATTCTAAAGAACTGAGAACAGTAGTGTCGGTTTCAGTATACAGGTTAACTGGATAATTTACCAGAAAACCGGGTTTCACTGTACATTTTACCAGAAAAGCACATGAAGTTTGATTGCATTTTGTAGAAAGCATGGAGTTGATTGCCATCAACTCCATGCATGTCTGGTAAAATATACAGTGACACCTGCGTTTCTGGTAATTTGTCCAGTGAAACCTGTATACTGAAACATGAACTACTGTTCCCAATTTTTAAGATTTTTAGAAAATAGACATATTAACCCAAAAAATCTAAAAATTTAGACAATATTTTTGTTACGGTTTGCTCGCTTCATCTGAAGCTTGAAATAGTTTTTGCCATAAGGCTGCTCACTAGATCTGATACTATCATCAAGTTAAAAGAAGTAAAGACCATGGAACTTGATTACATTCTCAAGAAAAAATGGTATGCCAGGTGTTTTGATATGTATACAAAAACCATGGACTTGATTACATTTTGTAGGGATGGAGCATGGACTTGGTATTCAAAGTTTTCTTTGAATATTCGATCAGAAATTATATAAAAATATTTGATACATTTTAGCAACTTTGTATCCCAGGATTTCTTATATAATTAAAAAATAAAATGGTTGATGGGTTGATATTAAAATGCAAATACATGACCAAGATATGTCATGACCAAAAATCATGGAGAACCAGTATTTCATGGTAATTACCATGGACAATTCCGTTGGTATTTTCCATCGAATACTGGTAAATACCATAGATTATTTCATGGTTTTCCATGGTTATTTCCATGGAATACTAGTAATTTTCATGGAAATCTATGGAAAGCATTGGTTTTTTTCTTAAGGGAACCTTTAGTTTTCCATAAATTTTTAGAGAATAGACTTGACAAGGAATGATATGAGCCCAAAAATGTCTAAAATTGAAACAATTTTTGTCAAGTTTTGTTGTCAAGATCTTTCTAGATCTGATTCTGCCTTTAACTTTAGTTCGTTTAAGCTCTCGTGCCTTCAATGCACGACTCCTGAATTGGTCTTTTGTTGTCTACTTATCAAAACGTTCAAAACGTTTCGCAGAATTCTTAACATCTTCGACAGGACCTGTTTGCTCTCTATAATTCTTCACGTGCAATAACTTTAGTCATTTAAAAACAGAGAACATAACTTACTTCTTGAATTACTCTTGGCTGCCATTCTAGATCAGTATTTCTTCGTTATTGCACCATGCAATGAAATGTGCCCAATCTTAGTGATTTATCTGAAATGCAAAACGTAGAAGAGAACAGAATGTTATTATAGCAAATAAAAAGTTCACTTTCCACGAATTGATAATTAAATAACCGTAATATAAAAGTTATTGTTGAACCTTGGGTTTCAGATGATTATGATTCTCCAATAAATAATACAAGATCCAGATGATGTCCGTGAAAAATTAATACAAATAATACTTTCAAAACTGTTCTGGACAGTCGCAGATTATCTAATAGTTAATTAAATGTCAGACTACTAAAAATATTACATTTGAGCACACCCGGTGTCAAATTACCATTATAAAATAAGTAATTATTTAAGCTGATATTACCCGCCAATGTAAACTTTAATACGGTATACCGTAGATACCGAATGGTATTACGTTACTAACACGTAAAATTACCCTTTTATGATAGGTACTAGTATACCTTATTATCTTGTAATTTGACACCGGTGATTTAATATTTTACCTTACCTTCGTGTAAGAGATTCTAGTAACTTAAACAATATTGCTCAGTATTGCTTTTACTCCTGAGTCAGTTAAAATTTAAATAACATTTCATAATATTCAGTTTCGTTTTACTTTATAGATTTGTTATATTGAATGATTGGATTCTCTTAGTAGTACAACTTGCCTATGCATTCTTTATTTGCTTTTGGTAAACGTTATACAAACCAATACGTTGTATATTCCTTGTCTATATGAGCCAAACCTTCTTTTTTAGCATTCTTATGGCCTCTTATTTGTCAAAATCTTGATTCCCTAAGTCCCCCTTTATCTGTTGGAATAAGTGTTCTAGCTGTACTTATATATTGCACAGTATTGCTTATATTCTTGTGATAACTAAAATATTTTTTCATTATATTCAGTTTCGTTTTAAATTACTATTCACAGCTGAAAAAGGGTAGAGTTCACGACCTCAATCAGTTTGTTTTATGATGTTGTGTTGTTAGATTTAGTGTTATTGGTCTGCTTCCCCACATTTGAGATATACCTACCACAAGAGTTTGGTATAATTGGTAATTGTGTCTACTTGTTTTGTGTGCTGTGATTGATGTCGGTATATATATGTTATGTAGATGAGTGTTTTTCACATTTTTTACAGCAATTTCAGCCAATGTCGCGTTGGATGAATTCTTTGAAAAAGGAAGACTCACAATGAACGACGTTTAGTTACTCTAGCAGAAACTACATTGGTACAGTATGGCGCTGATTTGGTTATGGAATAGGGATTCATTTATTTGTTGGAAAGGGTATGATAAATGAGAATAAACACATGATGTAACGACAAAAAAATAAATAAACAAATAAATGGACATGGTTGTTGCAACTATAAAAAAGTCAAAAACAGAGCAGTTAAGAATATAAAAAAAATGAAATAGTCATTGACAATTTAATTTTAATTAATGAATGGTTGACATTTTCCATGAATTACTAGGGTTTTCACTTATTTGTGTATTTCGTACCATATTGTTATATGAGATTGTCGAATCTCTTACAGCTTGCCTTCATGCTATAATTGTTGAAATGTCATGCGAACATACTTACATTGCAGTTTTGTCTTCTTGTTTTGTTTTGTTAAGCTCGCAACTCCTTACCAAGTGAAGAAACAGTGCATAATATAAATGTGTTTTATGGTAACATGCATAAGTCTGGAGGTCAAGTTTTTATAAACTTAAGTTCATTAATAAGTAACTCACTGTTACCATCTTATCCCTATACATATCAATCTTTTCTGTTTTTAATTTCACATTTTCAAAATAGGTTTTGCTACATTTGGATTGGACGTTATGGCTTACAAATGTACTTTTAGCCTCGATATGTCTCACCCGAGAACACTTCATACCATCTAAATTTGAAATAATTTACAAAGACAACGGCATATGGTAAATTATTACAAATTCAGATTCCGTTGTCACTGACAATATCGAAGACGCTATATTGTGGCGATTCACGACCCAATTTGATTGAAATTGGGATTTCATATGATACATCATCACAAGAGCTTAATACATGCACAGAATTAGCGATGATAAGTCCCATGAAACGAGGAGCAAGTGATTATAAAGAGTTGAAGCGACGGTTATGTCTGCCATTTGTGACAACGGTATCTGACCGTTGTCAGGCTATTCCGGTGTGTAGTAAGAAAATACTATTCATTTGATGTGTAATCCATATTTTTAATCAGCTTCATCATTGGCGTTAACCAGGGTTGCACTTATTGTCACGCCTATTTTGAATCATGATCTTGTGATCTTTTGATTTATGATCGTATTTGCCATAAAATCTATGAACATACATAAATGAATAGGCCGGTCAAATGGTAGACGGGGGTGTGATGGGTGCGAATGTACCCCCTATGGCACCCCTCACTGAAATTAAAATGGAACATTTTTATCATTTTTTGACACAAACACTTTGGAAGTGCATAGGAATCACTAAATAGCAACGTACCCCCTTGCACCCTCCTACCCGAAAATAGTGGAATTAAATAGTTTTTGATTTTTTTACTGTCTCAAGCACAAAAAAATTGTCAAGAAATCAACAAAAAGTACCACTCCAAAAACAGTTGAAAAATAACAATTTTGATTTTTATTCTGTTGTCTCTTACACTTTAAGTATTGCAAGGATCTATCAAGTGTCATCAAAAAATATGTACAAATCCAATGTATTTAATTTCGAATTTTCGAAGAAATTGACTTAACACTGTATTAACATATATTGATATATAAGGGTTATGTACTGGGAGGTTTTGGATACAGGGTTTATCCCAAGGGAAATATGTATATCTCACGAGGGACCGCAGGGACCGAGGGAGATACACATATTCCCCGCGGGATAAACACTGTATCCAAAACCGACCGTACATAACTGGTGTATCTCATACTTGAGTGGGTTTGGGGTAGATAAAACCTTTACCACCTTTTTTTCAAATGACAAGATAGGCCCATACTGTAAAAGCACAATTTATATTTAACATTTTCTTAATATTCCTTCAGTTCAGATCAATACAATGAAATTGTAACATTTGAATTTTAAACTTTTTTAAACTTTTGAAAAAATTCCCGGGAGCGGGATGGATATATTATATCTGCCCGCATTTGGCCTAGGGCGGGACATATACAATATATCCTGCCCGCTCCTCAGATATGATATATATTCCGGGGTGATATCTACCCCAAACCCACTCAAGTATGAAATACATGATAATATCCCAAAGTTACACTCCCCTCCATAAGTTTGTTTTTTCTCCATTGAACTACGTGTTAAAGTCTCTTTACGTTTGAATTTTTATTTACTTAACCGGCGATGAAATAACTTATGATATTGATGGAAACGTAAGTTGACTTTATTTCCAATACCTCCAAATTTTCTCAATTTTTTTTCCTCAATTACAATAGGTCGAAAATTGATGATAAATTTGTTGAATTTTTGAAAATCGTCATTCTCATGTAATCCAATGGGAAATGGAGGGTTCAGGGCAAATCAAAAATCAGGATATGTTCTGAGTAAAAGATTCAGCAAAAAATATTTTCATATAGAAAATTGAATTGTCTAACTTTTTTGAACACTAAGTGTTGAGTTTATTTGATGAATATTAAAGTTACAGCGCTTCAAAGTCATTTTTGAAAATTATTTTTCGTCTCCTGTGTTATTTCAATGGGAGAGGTTTTTTGAAAAACAATTTTGACTTTAAAGCCCTATAACTTTGTTGAACCTGAAGAAACATATCAATTTTTTGTTAGATAAAGTTCAATTTCAATTACCTGCCTAACTCGTATTTTTTGCAAGGACTCGGATGGATGGATATTCTGTCATATGACTTGCGGCAAACCTACCATTTCCCATTGGTTAACATAGGAATGTCGATTTTCAAAAATTCATCAAATTCATCATCAATTTTCGACCTATTGTAATTGAGGAAAAAAATTGAGAAAATTTGGAGGTATTGGAATTAAAGTCAAATTACGTTTCCATCAATAGTATAAGTATTTTTATCGCAGGTTAAGTAAATAAAAATTCAAAGGTAAAGAGGCTTTAACACGTAGTTCAATGGGGGAAAAAGGTTGCCAAACTTATGGAGGGGAGTGTAAGTCAATGGAGCCGAAGAAAAAATAAAAACAAAAGATGGTAACTTTGCAAAACTTCACCTACTGTCCGAGGTCAAGGTTTTTCCTAGCAATGTTCTCTAATAATTTTTCATATTTTCATATTTGTAATAAATTTGTATAATTAATGATATGTAAATTAGACCCCTGTTTAATCCCAAATGAATGATAAACGGTACTGTTGTGTGATGCTCAATAAGCAATAAGTATGTACAGTGATATTAAATCTACCAATACAATCTAAAACAGTGCTACTTTAACGGGAGGAAGTTATTAAAATTTTGTCAATTCCTTTTATATTATTACAGTTTTTTAAGAATTCGGTGTTGTATGCGATCTCTGTACTTATACCTCTTTATGTACCACACCACATAACTTTGGGCCATATTGTCTTTACGTTCGTCAGTTTGCAACTGATTAGTAGTTGAGGGGCCTTCTGGGTAAATTTTTAGACAGCCATTATGGACTTTCCATTTCGATAACATTTTTGTTAAGTTTTCTCTACGCGTTACCAGCCAAACCCTTTCATGGATCTATATGAGGTTTTCAGGTAACCGTTTCATGGTATAAAATTCTACAAATGATATGTTTTTTAGCATGTTAGGTAAATTCCTTGGTGGTCGTTTTGGATCGTCATGTAATGTTGTTCCTGCAATTGATTAGTGTTGGGCATTCAGGATGAAAAATTATAATCGTTAATTGGTGGGGACATGATTTTCTTTGCTTTTTGCTTTCCTGTTATTCTATTGTTGCAATATTGTTTTACTTTCAGTTTAACAATACATTTATAACAATACTGCAAATGAAAACCTGACATAGCACAAACAAAAATCAATTGGCGTACACATATTATGGTCTAATTCATTACTAGCTCATACTTCAACGGTGAAGATGTTCCGACCACAGATATTAGCTACTCTTTATACAATCGCTCTGCTACCATTTACAATAAAATCGAATCCGATTTCGAGAAAATAAAGGCTTTGCTTGAAGATGGAAATAATGTAGCCAGTGAAATGCATGATGAGACGTTGGGTTTAAAATCGGAGAACGAAAAGTTGATGTCTGAACTGAAAGATATGAAAACGTCGATGAAAGCAAGCATAATGGGCTCAAATTGCAAACTAAGCGAGAAGGTCGAATCTTTGAGTAAAGTAAAATAGTTGAACCTACATCGTCACTTAAAATTCTCCCCAGCTGATAAAAATATTCACTGGCTGTGTAGTTTTTTAGGTAAGCATGGACGTAGGCAGATTACTCATCAAAATTTTAGATATATTTTAGACGTTTTTTAACTGTTTTTGTATAAATAAAGTGTAAAGGTAGTAATATACATAATTCAGCCTAAATTTGCTTCTCTCTTTGATCTTTGCCTCCCCAATTTTAGATCTTTAGATTCAAAGTTTAAGTTACAATTTGCCTAGCAAGTACAACACGTTTTTGAGAGATAGATTCGACTCCGAACTCTACTTTAATAATCTGAAAATAATATCAAAACAAAATGGTAAGAGCGTTCTAAAATTGTGTCCAAAATCGACAGAGCGTTTCGAGGAAAACAAGAGATTTCTCGAGAACAAGTAATGGATTCGGACTGGGATTTTAGCAATTGAGAATATACGAGTTTGTGATCTACTACTTTGACAGAAAGATTGACGTTTTCATAAATACTAGTTTAATTCGTGGTCAATTCGTCTACTTCACATTCGTTCGATCTACACTACGGAGCTTTGATCAAGCAAATAACAGTTTACCACCAGAAGTTGAATAAATATGATCTTTGCTCAGGGTATTGTTCATCGAATGGCACATAATATGTCACCATAACGTATGATATGTAAGAGAAACGAGTAAAACAATACTGACGGTCATTGTGGGATCTTCATTAGTCGCCATTTTATTTCGCTCCGCGGCGGTTCCACGTGAATGAAACGCTCCGTCGTGCATGTAAGAGCGTTTGGGTTGGACACCGTGGTATATGTTCGGCTTATTTTTTTGTTTATTTTATGATATCGACAAAACCTGTTATTCTATAATTGTATTATTGTTTTACTCTCAGTTTAACTACTCATTTATAGTTCAATACTGCAAATAAAAACCTGACATAACACAAACAAAAAAATCAATTAGCGTACACTTATTATGGTCTGTATGGTAAGTCATTACCAGCTTATACTTCAACGGTGAAGATGTTCCAGCCATGGATATTAGGGACTATTTATACAATCGCTCTGCTACCATTTACAAAACAGGGAGCCAATGAAACGGAATCCGATTTTGAAAAAATAAAGGCTTTGATTGAAGATGGAAATAATAAAGCCAATGAAATGCATGGCGAAATTGTTGGTTTAAAATCGGAGAACGAAAAGTTGATGTCTGAACTGAAAGACATGAAATCGTCGATGAAAGCAAACATAATGGACTCTAATTGCAAACTAAGCGAGAAGGTCGACTCTTTGAGTTCGTGTGCATGTGGCTGTGAGAAGCCAGCATGTCCCGCAGGTACGCTGGGTCTTTCAAATAAAGTACGAGGGGTGATCAATAAGTAATGGACGCTTTTTTACACAGATGCTTTTTATAGTTCAATCCCTTCGATTTTCTTACCGGTGATTTAGCATTCAATTATCTATCAACTTTGAAGATTTGAAAACGAAACATTTAATTTATTTTGATATATCTTTATTTCCGTGAAGGATGTATAGGTACACCGGGACCGACATAACGTCAAACATTCTGAAGCTATTTTAGCTTGTTTACCATGCAATGCAGTTGAATGCAGGCTGAACAAAACAGACCATTATGGTCATGAATTACCCCATTTTGTTATGCCATAGTTAATTTTGAATATTTTATCATCACTATGTGGTATTCATGCCACATTCATTCTACAGGGCCCTCTACATAAGTTTCATCAAGTGCTACATGTACACAATTCCTCATCCTCTTAATTCAAGATTGTGAGACAAGGCTGAATCCATTCTCTGACATAGTAGCAAGATACAGTTACACGGGTTGTTTTATTTTATCAATGTATATAAACCTGCGTCGTCCTTTCTCTATAGAAATAAGTAGTATAGAAATAAATAAGTCACATGCGAGCAAATCTGGACAATATGGTGCATTGGCCAAGGGCTCAATTTTGAGGTCCAGGGATATTGTTTACTGAACATTTTGAGATCTGTGCCATTCTGTGGGCAGGTTCATTGTCCATATGGAGTAGGGTGTTCCCTTCTCTCACCAACCCCTTCTTCCACAATGCTTTCTCAAATTGACCTGCAAACCCCTTCCATACAACACTCTGACATCACAATACTTTCTGTTTACAGTCAATGTGGTACAACGAAAATGGGACTTCTGCGCATGTTAAAATTTTTCGTCAAAACTCTAACTTTTGTTCAAGTTGATACGATTGTCTTTCGAACTAGAGACTTACCTCATTCGAAAGATCATAAAAGACTTTATCTATACTGAAAATCTTAGATCCAAACATAGTAGAATACGCCGTCAGTCCGCATTTGATTTTTTGAAGTGAGTTTCGTAGATCGTCAGATTTCTCCGACTGATATCGGGTTATCTCAAACTGGTTCGTTTATAAATACGAATTTGTTTACCGTTGTAAGGCGCATGCGCAAAATTGATTTATAAACCTTATTGGTTGATGGTTTTTCTCCTGCGCATGCGTGAAGTCTGATGAACACTTATGACGAAGACCGGAGCAAACATTACTAGCTCTTGAACGAAATTCCAAGATTCAGGTCATTTCGCCGTGTTTGCTAAGCGTGTATACGTGAATGACAAGCTGTTTTGAGTAGATCGGGTACCTGTTTTAGACACAACATTGATTTAGCTTGACATTGATGTGCACATTGGCACTTTTGAGCATGTTAATACAAGTTTTTACACTCTTAGCACGAGACGGGTTTTCGAAAAATCTGTTATCTGATTCACTCGATTATCGTATGGATATGTATTTCTGCTGACATTTCAACACCACATCACATAGAATTACGATGCAGAATGATAATAAAACACAAAACAACTACTAAATTCCACTTGTTATTTCACAGGAGGTAAAAATGCAAACTGCCTAGATTCTTTGTAAGGGTCGTCAGACATCGGATTGGCCGCCATATTTGAAATGAAAATATCACTAAATAGAGGTCTGCGCATGCCTCAACATTTCGAATGGTTATGTGATACCAGTCAGCAAAATATTTCAAACAACACAACACTTGTTACATATAAAAAGTTCAAATCTAACTGAAATTTGCCAAACTGGCTGGAAACTGAATATGTAACGTAAATGTCGGTCCCGGGGTACCTGTACCTCCTTCACGGAAATAAGGATATATCAACATGTATTTTATATTGTGTCTTCAAATCCTCAGAATTAATAGATAATTGAATGATGTATCACTGGTAGGAAAATCAAAGGGATTGGTCTATAAAAAGTATCTGTTTAAAAAAGCGTCCATTACTTATTGATCACCCCTCATATATAACGTTAAGCAGAACTTGGATTGTTACTTAGAATTTTCTCCAGCTTGTCAAAAATTGGAAGTAGCCATGTTTGTGGAAGGCGAAGTAACTGCCTCACCAAAATTTTACAGATATTTTTTAAAATTGTTTTTATGTAAATAAAGTGTAAAGGTATTAATATACACAATTCAGCCTAAATTTGCCTCTTCTTTTGCTCTTTGCCTCTCCTTATCTAGATCCTGGCTACGTCACTTGGTCAAGTCGCACTTGGATTTAATTTGACATGTACTTAGCCTGTGGGGACATTAGTATCCTACATTCTGATACTCATAGCATCTTTCTGTTTCACCTGAAACATCTCAGGGCTGAGAAGAAATGAGACGTCGTGGTTTATCATGATGAGTATCCCAAGCCTTCTGAATGTTCGTAAATAAGTTATTTGAGGTCAAATAAATGCCTTGCTATATATTTCTAACACTAGGTGGAGCCATCGAATTTGACGCTATCAAGTATGACAGCAAAATATGGTGGACAAAGCGTATAACAGAGAACTACTACACAGCAGGTAGATTGTCAAGCAGAATGATCAAATATGCTCATGAGGCTGGCTTCAAATCAATCATAGCAGTTGTGAATTTTACAACAGCAGTTCAGAGGGGCGATGAGTATTTCCCGACGACGTTAGATGCAAAGGATATATCCGAACGGTTAGCTGGTGTACCATATGGTATAGCAAGGCCATTATACTGGGCTCAGTGGCAAGACATAAATATGGTTCATAGCCTTACAAGAATTGCAGATAGCTTCCCGAAACCAATTTTGGTACATTGTAGGTCAGCTTTTTCCTCTACGTTTTTCTTGCTTTCTTACCTTGCAAACAAGACGAGAATAGACCCTTCATTTAAACCTAGAGTGGATGTAAATGCGTTTTTCGAAATGGCATCCAAACAAGGATTTGAGTACTCTGGTTTTCCTACTCTGCTTGGCATAGTGGCTCAAGTAACAGGAGAACATATTACTGTAGTGAATGCCGCACAAGCTGCACATATACCTGACATACCAATGGGAAACGGATGGCGAAAGTATTGGCTGGCAAAACCTTTGTATAAGAATATATTCATTGCTGGCCAGGTTTGGTCTTCCAATATACAAAATTTAAAAGATGCTGGCTACTCTGCCATTTTTAATGTTCGCAATGGGGTAACAGGTAATGAATTTAATTTTATGTATTATCGTTTCAGGATTCTGCTTTTAAGGACTCGTCTCGTAACTGTTTTATACTTTCATGTATTTCGCCAACAAATACAGGGTGTCAAAAAGCAAAGATACAAATACTCTGATTCTAAGAGATTTAGGTTTCTTGAAATGAAATTGCTACAGATTGAACACTATGACAGTATATCTACCAACTTTCATCCCATATTGTCTAAACGTGTTTAAGTTATGGTTTTCATGGTTACGGTTGTTAGAGGTATGCGGGGCAGCTCCAGGATATTGCTAAAATGTGATAGATTGCTAAAATATGACCATTTGAAAGAGTGTTTATTATTGTATTTTCTATCAATGTTTTAATATTGTATTATTATTGCCAGTTTTCTCTTTAGTATAATGATAGCATTGATACGCGTAATGTCACTAACCAGTATAATCAAAGAAATATTATACAAAGTACTTAGAAAAAAGGTCCCTGAATCAATAGGAAAGTCAATATTGCACCTCGTCCCCCACAATGCACCAATTCAAAAAGCAAAGAAAACAAATCTTACCATTAAATTTCATGACAATTAACCTTTTTGTACAATGGCCGATATTCTCCTGATAAAGTCTCGATAGGCTTCTACATTCTATTAATGAATACGTGAAAGACACGGCTGGAAGCCAATGTTATCAGCAATCTGAGAGGTGGACAGCAGCGGTTAAATTGACAGGCCTTTGAATATCCGGTCAGGATGCACCACGAAAGTTCGAAAAATGGTGGAAAATATATAATACTGGATGACAGCAGTAATATGAAATGATCAAATAATGTTTCAGTACCAATCCTTATGCTGTTATATGTACATAATTTGATGCATAATAGGAACAGATACCCCCGAGTTCTGTTACCATAACAATCATAACTTTTTCATTTTGACACTATATGGTTTGAAAGTTGCAGGATAAGTTGTAATAATGTCATTCTTTTTGTAGCAATTCATCTCACAACAGGTAAAATTGAAATAAGAGCATTTGTATCTTTACTTTCCTGACAACCTGTATGCTACTTTTGTATTAAACGTATATTGCGACTGGTTCAAATGAAATCTAAGATTAACTTAGCTCCAAGACTGGAGAAATAATGCTCGTTAACTGATACTCTATTTTAGAGAATTCCAAGCCATCCCAAGAAGAGGTAACATTGCTGAACATACGAGGCAAGACAGGTACGTACTGCACATTTGAGCACGGTGGACGTCAAAGCGTTAAACGGCTTGAAGATACGAGGATCGATGCTTGCAAACAGAATGAGTACATCTCCAAGAGTTCCATGGTGAACTATGAAGCAATGAATGCATTGGAATTCTGTGATGCGATCGGTTATAATGAGACGTTAGAGAGACAGGCAGTTGAAGCCATTGATTGGTGGTATAAACCAAGAGGTAATATATATTATGTTTCATATTCTCATATAGCTAGCTGTAAGTTACTTGCTTTTTGCACAACAAATGATAACAAAATAGGTATGTTTGTTGGCTGTTAATTTATTAGCACTTTATATATGTGCAAGAAAAACATATTGTACATGTTTGGCCAAAAAAACCGAGGGAGGTTTTAATTACAAGGCTTTCAATGATTACCGATGAATAAAAAGCCTGACGTTTCTACTGTTTCATATTTTTCTGCAATTCGAACAGTACTTGTTGAACATCCCGGGTACGACAAAAGTAATTTTTCCCTGTGCAAAATTGATTACAATTGTCTCCATATCACAAAGACCTCTTTAGTTTTTTTTGTATTTATTCATAACACTGAATGTACAATTACATAAGCTCAATACTTGTCAAGGCCGGCAAGCTGTAGCGCAGTCACATTTTTTTGCGTATAGCTATTTTATTTTTGCCATTAACTAGCGATTAATCATATACTGCTAATATTTAATGTTAGATTAAATATACATTCAAACATAACAAAAATTATAAAATATTTGTAAACATAATCTAATTTATTGTTGTCATTTTGACACATTAAAACCTTCAAGGGTCACGTTTTAACGACAGGTCACATCAGACATTTGAGGTTCGGAAAACACAAAATGAAGCGCAAAGAGTGCACCAAGGCGCATAAAATAAAGCACCAAAAGTGGACCAGCAATAAATCAAGGCACATAAAGCGAAGCACCAAAAGTGAACCAACAATAGTTCAAGGCGCATGAAATGAAGCACCAAAAGTACATCTACAATAGTTCAAGGCACATGAAATGAAGCACTAAAAGTACACCAACAATAGTTCAAGGCACATGTAGTGAAGCACCAAAAGTACACCTACAATAGTTCAAGGCACGTGAAATGAAGCACTAAAAGTACACCAACAATAGTTCAAGGCACATGAAGTGAAGCACCAAAAGTACATCAACAATTGTTCAAGGCACATGAAGTGAAGCACTAAAAGTACACCAACAATAGTTCAATGCACATGAAGTGAAGCACTAAAAGTACACCAACAATAGTTCAAGGCACATGAAGTGAAGCACCAAAAGTACATCAACAATTGTTCAAGGCACATGAAGTGAAGCACCAAAAGTACATCAACAATTGTTCAAGGCACATGAAGTGAAGCACCAAAAGTACATCAACAATAGTTCAAGGCACATGAAGTGAAGCACCAAAAGTACTCCAACAATAGTTCAAGGCACATTAAATGAAGAACCAAAAGTACATCAACAATAGAACAAGGCACATGAGATGAAGCATCAAAAGTGCACCAAAAATAATTCAAGGCACACAAAATAAAGGTCCAAGAGTGCACCGGTTAGGCAACAGTTGCAACAGTTAGGCACTCTGTTTGTGTTCCAAAAAAACTTGGTTGTATTTCTAATGCTATGTTAACACACACTCTCTTTACTAAAAAGCTCTTTATATTCCGTATTCATATAGACAAATGCAAATTACATAAAGGTGTACATCCTGAACAAGGGATCGACACCGAAAGCACTTGGACCTTTAACTACTTTAGCTGATCCATATTGACAATTACAGGAACTTTGGTGCATACCTAACAATGCGACAAATAATTTATAAAGTCATACTGGTCGTATGGCATGAAAACCTACATGATTTCATTACAAATTATTTGTTTACATCAATAGGTTTGCCTATTTACTTATAGCCAAGACTGATATAGAAATATGTGCAAATATTCACTTTATACGGTAGACAATTGCAAACAACCTAGAAGCTAATAAGAACCTGTTCATAAACAGATAAATAAGACGGGACTAAAATTAAATATTAAATATGCATGCCCCCATAAATAAGTATTATGAATTCTTATCGGATATCAAACGATATCAAATAAAGATTTTATAAATATTTTTCATGAGGATTTTGAATGAGAATGAAATAGTTTTTGTCCATCCAAATTCAGTTATTAAGACAACCTCCAGTATAAGACGAGCCTATCTCATCATCTAGAAATTTCGCGAGCGATATGACCAACCAGTGTGTTGGTGGTCAGAAATAATGTTTTCTGTATTATATACTATATCATAAAAAAGAATATTCATGCATAACTACTTGTCTTGAATGGGATATCCTGGATCCACGCCTTCTTTAAACTGTGAACAAAGTCAATATTTCACACGGGTTACATTCCGAACAATACCCCTGGTAATACGAGTTGGTAATCCCTTGCTACAGTCTTTTGGGGTACAGAAGACGTTTGTGCATAGCCCAGCGGTCTGTATTCGTCGATATAACACCTGCTCTGAAGTCTATATTTCTTAGCTCAAGTCATAGGTTCTGGGCCGATATAAAGATGGCAGCACCAACAGAATGCAGTATTATCTTCCCTAAGAGAATATTTATAAATAAACACATCGATTACCATGCCATCTTTATTTAAAAATAACTATCTATAACTAATCTATCGACCTTTGCCTCTGGCTCAAGTATGAATATACTTATTTTTCCTTTTTAGCCCCACTCATGAAGAAAATCACTCAGAAGGCGAACAGAGGACCTGTATTGTTTCACTGTGGCAGTGGCAACAGAGCAAGTAAGTAGTAAAGAGGGTGATGTCTCATAACATTAAAGGTTGAATAAAGACTATAGAAGAAATTTGGGAGTCATTTTACCTTTCCCGAGCTATTAGTGCAACGTTTGGCCCAATGTCTTCTTCGCCATACCTATTTTCTTAAAATATATGCACTTGTCGACGAATACCACCAATCAGACTTGCAAATAGACTTCTAAATAAACAATTGAAAGGTTGGACGTCCCGCAATTTGTTTTTTGAAACATTTCTAAATCTCCGCCATTTAAAATTCTTGCTGCAGCTGAGATAGGTAAGACCGCATGTTACAGTATAACCGCGGTTGTCTGATATAACCGTATGCACGGTATGCCGTTGACGGTCTATTACCGGCGACTCTTGCAGTTAATCTGATCCACTGACGAAGAAAAATCAAAAAAATCTAAGACTAAAAACACCTCAAATCTGCCCATATTCAAGGTCTTCTTGACACGCGCATGGTATAAAGGAAACAGAATGTTGGACAGAATGTTAGGTGAAAACGGGGCTGGAATCCAATGACAATATAACCGGGAAATCATTAAAAGGTACGTGAGCATTTTTTCTGTCGATGTCGGGAGAAGATTCCCGGGGATTTAGGATGCCAGTGATTGTGAATATCGGCAGAAATTAGGTACGTTCGGGGGTTTTCTTTGTAGCTAATGAAAATAGATGTTAGCCTTGATGAAATATTCAAAATTCGATGTATTTTGACACCAGGACCATGATCGTTGAATACGTCTCTGCACTATTTATTCAACCTTTAAACTACTACGAGTATAGCCTTACTACCTGTGCCCGATTCTCGATTGATGGTTTATATCATGTGCATGTAAGGAACGGATACTGTTTCAAAACTTATAAGTTTGTTTTTTATACGTATATCATATCAATTGACATATAAATATAACATATGACAAATAATATATGAGTAATAAATTGAATGATTTTTGTTTAGGCCTACTAATGTATGAAATTGCTATCAAAAGAAAAAATGCAAATACGATAAAAGATGTTGCATGCAATTTTTTTATATTTACATTTACAACCTATTTACGAGCTCTGTAATGTCACTGAGCTTAAATGTGTAGCTCATGATTATGTTGGGCTTTCTGTTCAACTGAAATATAAATTTTAACCTGCGTCTCCCCTAATAACTTTGTAAATATATAAACAATAAGCTTCAAATCTGAGGTAGTCATAAATCCGCTGTGTATCATTTGTTTAAAACATCAGTTGATCTAACAGCACCTCAAATTCGATGCATATTGGTCATATATTTAAAAGCTCACCTGGACGGACTCAAGCAAGTATTTCATTCTTTGCGATGTAAAAAGTTAAATGTAGTTTGTAAATATTGTTTTACAGTTAGAAATGCTCTAGCTACTGCAATGGAAATATGGAATCTGACAGAAGCATGGGCAGTTCAACGTGCCATGGAGTTGGGATATCCTTTATCTGCTGAACGACTGAAACAAATAAACGAAATCTACCCTTAAAATTAAATGAAATATACTGTAGACTAGTACAGTTGATTAATTTGAAATTAAAGAAGTAATAGAAAATGATTTAAGACAAAGTGTGTTTTGTTTCATTTTGGATTTTTCGTCCTTAATATTTGTGTTGAAAGTCTTGTCTACACGTTTTCAGCAAAACAATTTCATGGATCAATTCTGAAATTTTCAGGGATGCCCCTTTGCATAAGGGTGTATACTTGGTTATGTTTGTTAGGTGGCCATTTTATTTTGGGCTAACCGTCCAACTTGTCTTAAAAGTCTTGTCTATGCGTTCTTTCCGTTTTATGCGTAAGCGAGTTCTACAGATGGCTTGCCTATTAAGATTGTTTAACCCTAATCTAGTAATGTCTGCTAAATTTTTTCAAGAGTACTTTTGCAAATTTCTTTTGCGTCCCCCAATTTTTTTTTAGCTTGAGCCAAATATAAGACACGTTTTGCGTAAAAACCTAGGTGATTGGGGACTGGGGGCAAATTTATGATAGTTGGAACTTGATCAATAAAATTGAAATTCATAAAATATTGATTCTTACCTTCTAATACTCTAGAAAATTCAAAGAATGATAATTGCTCTGTTTGATAGATAATAATTTAGCATATTGAATTCTCTTTCAAATATGCTTTATTTCATGGACATCGAGCCACTATTGACTATATTATGAGTTTATGAAGGTAAAAAAAACAGTAAATCGCCAAGTATTTACCAATCGCGTTATCTTCGATTTTTTGCATATTTCTGAATGTCTATACTACCTAGGCCTGTAGTAATAGAATTATGATGATACCATGCCAATTTCCCAATTTTAGATATAATTTTTTTATTCTCCCCTACCCCTAACTTTTCAATTTCACTAATCCGATGTTTTTGCCGTTGCTAGGTGGTTGCTAGGCAACATTATGGACTGAAATTATATTGGAACAATACCAGGTCATACATTCATACATCTGCATACTAAATCACTACTTGGCCTTTTTGTATATCTTGAAATGAGAATGCTAAAGACGAAAACAAGTTGAACTTGTAATTGCTGACTGTTCAATTCTACGTTACACTCCCCTCCATAAGTTTATCAAACAATTTCCACACTGCTGAAGAATCAAATCAGTATTTTTTCCAAAAACAATCTTTAATGAGATTTTCGTTAAGATGGGTGTGTGGTTTATATAGTAAACTTTATTACCTACAATAATTGAATGCATTCCTGCAGTTGTTTGATTTATTTCGGTCGCTATGACGGGGTACATGATTTGGTCACATATTGGAAGTGCCCTTTTTAAAATAGAATACCGGTTTGATGAGTTATATCATTTGAATCTTTATTGTTGAAATGCTTTCTTAACAATTATTTAAAACATATACGTGATTTGTTTACTCGTTTGATATACCTATGATCCATGAAACATGCGTTGACATTTCGCTCATTTCTTATGGGGTCTACACGCCAGCTAACTCGTGAAGAACGGGCCACCGTTATTTTTCTCCACAATGAGGGTTGGTTGTGCGATATATTGGTCTAATACTGACTGAACCGCTACAAGGACGAACTATCAAAAACCATTACACGATTCCGAAATACATGGTAAAACAGGGACCCATCCCGCTCTGGAAGGCATTTGTACATCATACCCGGCTAGAATGTAAGACAACAGTCCTAAGGCCGAAAACTTTCTGGCAGATGAACTTTAACATATGTGCGTGCAAGCTAGTCTACTATCAGGAGAAGGTGCGATATTGTCACTTTTCTTTTTTTGTGCTTTGATTTTGACGAACTTCTCGAAAATATTCATCGATTTTACACAATTATTACGAATTTTTGCCTACGATGCTGGTTTTGTTTCAGAGTTTTATGCTCCATAAAATGCCTTTATTATTTTAAGTTATATAACAGAGGTCTGTATGGTCGTATAGCCAAGCATTATATTAGCCTATTACTTCTCCCCTCATACGACAACGACGATTGGAATGGGCAAATGATGTCCGGCTTTTGGCAGCATACGAACATATTGCCAAAAAATCATGACTACACAATATACACATGTATTACCGATTTAGTTATATAGGAAAACGTATTGTTCCAGTTTGAAATGTTGATCACACAGAAATCTACAAAAATTGCCAAACTTACGGAGGGGAGTGTACATTGATCTCAATAGGATTTCGCGATACCTGCTATCAATGATGAAAAAATTCAGTTCTGGAAAACGTTTTACCATAACCTTAGCTCCATTAGATTATTGACCTTTGTTGACCTATTTTTTAAAAAACGACTTTTCTGAAGAGGTAATTGAATAAGTTTTACAATATTGAAATCAGACAAGTAATTAAAAAATCGCAGAGGAGGGGGGTCCAAATGCCCCTCCCCCTTGCTACTTAATGTAAATCATACGTCATTGGTTATACGATAATATATCTTTAATCATAATACTTTATTTAGTGTAAATCACTACTTCAGCATTTACATTCCAATAAGATGATATATTATTTGCAATGAAAACCTAATAAATATTATGTAGTTAGTTTATTTATTTATTCATTTATTATAATTGATATACATTTAATTCATTCATTGATATAACACACAAATACCAATGAGCATACACATATTATATCTAAGTCATATCTAATTTTACCCTTCAACGGTGAAGATGTGCCGCTCGTTGATATTAGCGACTCTTTTTACAATCACCTTGCTACCATTTACTAAACAGGCAAACGATTTCGAAACACTGAAGAATTTAATCGAGGATGGAAATAATAAAGCCAACGAAATGCATAATGAGATCGTTGGTTTAAAATCGGAGAACGAAAAGTTGATGTCAGAACTGAAAGACATGAAAACGTCGATGAAAGCAAATATAATGGACTCCAATTGCAAGCTGAGTGAGAAGGTCGAATCTTTGAGCACGTGTGCTTGTGGTGAGAACCCAAGATGTCATGCAGGTACGTTAGGGCCCTAAAGAAATTTAAAGTATTTTTCACACATTGCTAGGCAAGGTGTGTCCGATTCCAGCAAATCCGAACAAAGTTGCTCATATAACTGCATTGCATTATATGACCAATCACCGCATCCAAGGTCATTTTTGAATGGTTGTCAATGTTAAACTTGACCCTACATATTGAAATCGATGCTTTGCCAACTTGACTATGGCAAAAAGCCATTGAAAACATGTTCTTTTAGTGATTTCGTATCTTTTAGGTGATTTCGAAAAAATATTTTGCAATGTGTGAAAAGAATTTAAGACTTGATGCATTGGGGCTGATTCATTCCACTCAGGCGTTGTTTCCTAAACATTGCATTCCCTCTGGGCGGTAATGCAAAGATTTAAAAACAACACAATGAGTCCAGGACTTAAATCCTTAAATAACGTCCATGACAATCCACATTGTTGATAGCGGGAAATTCAAATATCAGAAAATTATAAGAACCCATAGAGGTCGTATCCCAGTTATGTTTGCTGTTTAATGAAGTCAAAGAAATGCTTTATGATATATCTTAAACACTAGGTGGAGACATCGAATTTGAAGCTGACAAATATGATAAGAGAATATGGTGGACAAAGCGTATAACAGAGAACTACTACACGGCAGGAAGATTGTCAAGCAGAATGATCAAATATGCTCATGAGGCTGGCTTCAAATCAATCATAGCAGTAGTGAATTTTACAACAGCAGTTCAGAGGGGTGATGAGTATTTCCCGACGACGTTAGATGCTAAAGATATATCGGAACGATTAGCTGGTGTACCATATGGTATAGCAAGGCCGTTAGACTGGGCTCAGTGGCAAGACATAAATACGGTTCATAGCCTTACAAGAATTGCAGATAGCTTCCCGAAACCAATTTTGGTACATTGTAGGTCAGCTTTTACCTCTACGTTTTTCTTGCTTTCTTACCTTGCGAACAAGACGAGAATAGACCCTTCATTTGTACCTAGAGTGGATGTAAATGCGTTTTTCGAAATGGCATCGAAACAAGGATTCGAGTACACTGGTTTTCCGCTTCTCCTTGACATTGTTGCTCAAGTAACAGGAAATAGCAGTGATGAAGTGAATGCCACACAAGCCGCACATATACCTGACATACCAGCAACGGGAAACGGATGGCGAAAGTATTGGCTGGCAAAACCTTTGTATAAGAACATATTCATTGCTGGCCAGGTTTGGTCTTCCAATATAGAAAATCTAAAAGATGCTGGCTACTCTGCCATTTTTAATGTTCGCAATGGGGTAACAGGTAATGAATTTAATTTTATGTATTATCGTTTTTACGTACAACAAATACAGGGTGTCAAAAAGCAAAGATACAAATACTCTAATTCTAAGAGATTTAGGTTTTTTGAAATGAAATTGCTACAGATTGTACAGGAACACTATGACAATGTATCTACCAACTTTCATCCCAAATTGTCTAAACGTGTTTAAGTTATGGTTGTCATGGTTACTGGGGTGAGACGTATGCGGGGCAGCTCCAGAATATTGCTAAAATGTGATAGATTGCTAAAATACTAGTATAACCATTTGAAAGAGTGTTTATTATTGTATTTTCTATCAATGTTTTGATATTGTATAATTGTTGCCAGTGTACTCTTTAGTATAATGATATGATTTATACGCGTTATGTCACTAACCAGAATAATCAAAGAAATATTATATAAGTACTTAGAAAAAAGGTCCCTGAATTAATAGGAAAGTCAATATTGTACCTCGTCCTCCACAATGCACCAATTCAAAAAGTAAAGAAAACAAATCTTGCAATTGAATGCCATGACAATTAACCTTTTTGTACAATGGCCGATATTCCCCTTATAAAGTCTCGTTAGACTTCTACATTATATTAATGAATACGTTAAGACTCAGCTGGAAGCCAATGTTATCAGCAATCTGAGAGGTGGACATCAGTGGTTAAATTGTCAGGCCTTTGAATCTCCGGTCAGGATGCACTACGAATGTTCAGATAATGGTGGAAAATATATAATGCCGGATAACAGCAGTAATATGAAATGATCAAATAACGTTTCAGTTTTAATCCTTATGCTGTTATGTACATAATTTGATGTGAAAATAGGAACAGATGACGTAGTGCCATGAATATATGAGCAGGAAAAAGAATTATAAAACGCAATTGTGACGTTACTCCAAATATCCCCGAGTCCTGTTACCATAACAACCATAACTTTTTCATTTTGACACTATCTGGTATGAAAGTTGCAAGATAAGTTGTGATAATGTTATTCTTAAATTTGTAGCAATTCATCTCACAACAGGTAAATCTATTGAAATAAGAGCATTTGTATCTTTATTTTCCGGACACCCTGTATGTTACTTTTATTTAACGTCTATTGCGACTGGTTCAAATGAAATCTAAGACGGATTAATTTAGCTGGAGAAATAATGCTCGTAAACTGATACTCTATTTTAGAGAATTCCATGCCATCTCAAGAAGAGGTAACTTTACTGAACGTACGAGGTAAGACTGGTACGTATTGCACCTTTGAGCACGGTGGACGACAAAGCATTAAACGGCTTGAAGATACAAGGATCGATGCCTGCAAACAGAATGAGTACATCTCCAAGAGCTCCACGGTGAACTATGAAGCAATGAATGCATTGGAATTCGGTGATGCGATCGGTTATAATGAGACGTTAGAGAGACAGGCAGTTGAAGCCATCGGTGGTATTAGGTACCACAATAAACCAAGAGGTAATATATATTATGTTTCATATGCTCATATACTGTAGCTACATGTAGCTGTAAGTTAATTACTTGCTTGTTGCATAACAAATGTTAACAAAATAGATATGTTTGTTGCTGTTAAATTATTAGCACTTTATATATGTGCAAAGAAAAACATATTGTACATGTTTGGCCCAAAAAACTGAGGGAGGTTTTAAATACAGGGCTTTCAATGATTATCGATGAATAAAAAGCCTGACGTTTCTGCTGTTTCATATTTTTCTGCAATTCGAACAGTACTTAATGAACATCCCGGGTACGACAGAAGTAATGTTTCCCTGTGCAAAATTGTTACAATTGTCTCCATATCACAGAGACCTCTTTAGTTTTTTTTGTATTTATTCATAATACTGAATGTACAATTACATAAGCTCAATACTTGTCAAGGCCGGCAAGCTGTAGCGCAGTCACATTTTTTGCGTATAGCTATTTTATTTTTGCCATTAACTTGCGATTAATCATATACTGCTAATAGTTAATGTTAGATTAAATATACACTCAAACATAACAAAAATCATAAAATATTTGTAAACATAATCTAATTTATTGTTGTCATTTTGACACATTAAAACCTTCAAGGGTCACGTTTACCGTTTTAACGACGGGTCACATCAGACATTTGAGGTTCGGAAAACACAAGATGAAGCGCAAAGAGTGCACCAAGGCGCATAAAATAAAGCACCAAAAGTGGACCAGCAATAATTCAAGGCACATAAAGCGAAGCACCAAAAGTGAACCAACAATAGTTCAAGGCGCATGAAATGAAGCACCAAAAGTACATCTGCAATAGTTCAAGGCACATGAAATGAAGCACTAAAAGTACACCAACAATAGTTCAAGGCACATGAAGTGAAGCACCAAAAGTACTCCAACAATAGTTCAAGGCACATTAAATGAAGAACCAAAAGTACATCAACAATAGAACAAGGCACATGAAATGAAGCATCAAAAGTGCACCAAAAATAATTCAAGGCACACAAAATAAAGGTCCAAAAGTGCACCGGTTAGGCAACAGTTGCAACAGTTAGGCACTCTGTTTGTGTTCCAAAAAACTTGGTTGTATTTCTAATGCTACATGTATGTTAACACACACTCTCTTTACTAAAAAGCTCTTTATATTCCGTATTCATATAGACAAATGCAAATTACATGAAGGTGTACATCCTGAACAAGGGATCGACACCGAAAGCACTTGGACCATAAGTAAATGATTGACTACTTTAGCTGATCCATATTGACAATTACAGTTACTTTGATGCATACCTAACAATGCGACAAATAATTTATAAAGTCACACTGGTCGTATTGCATGAAAAGCTACATGCATGATTTCATTACATATTATTTGTTTACATCATTAGGTTTACCTATTTCCTTATAGCCAAGACTGATATAGAAAATATGTGCAAATATCACCTTTATACGGTAGACAATTGCAAACAACCTAGTAGCTAATAAGAACCTGTTCATAAACGGATAAATAAGACGGAACTAAAATTAAATATTAAATATACATGCCCCCATAAATAAGAATTATGAATTCTTATCGGATATCAAACGATATCAAATAACGATTTTATAAATATTTTTCATGAGGATTTTGAATGAGAATGAAGTAGTTTTTGTCCATCCAAATTCAGTTATTAAGACAACCTACAGTATAGGCGAGCCTATCCCATCATCAAGAAATATCGCGCGCGATATGACCCACTAGTGTGTTGGTGGGTCAGGAATAATGTTTTCTGTATTATATACTAAATCATAAAAAAGAATATTCATGCATAACTACGTGTCGTGAATGGGATATCCTGGATTCGAACATGACTGTATTCACGCCTTCTTTAAACTGTGAACAAAGTCAATATTTCACACGGGTTATATTCCGAACAATACCCCTGGTAATACGAGTAATGTGTGACATCATAACGGTGGGCTGTAGAACTGGAGGACCATTAATGAATGTTTGAAACATTTTAGTGAGTTTTCATGTTCGAATCGTAATATAGACCTCAGAGAAGGTGTTATATCAACGATACTTAGGGCTAGGCACAAAATCCCTCGAACCCCTCAATCCCTAGCTACAGTCTTTTAGGGTACAGAAGACGTTTGTGCCTAGCCCAGCGGTCTGTATTCGTCGATATAACACCTGCTCTGAAGTCTATATTTCTTAGCTCAAGTCATAGGTTCTGGGCCGATATAAAGATGGCAGCACCAATAGAATCAAGTATTATCTTCCCTAAGAGAATATTTATAAATAAACACATCGATTACCATGCCATCTTTATTTAAAAATAATATTTCTATCGACCTTTGCCTATGGCTCAAGGATGAATATACTTATTTTTCCTTTTTAGCCGCACTCATGAAGAAAATCACTCAGAAGACGAACAGAGGACCTGTATTGTTTCACTGTGGCAGTGGCAACAGAGCAAGTAAGTAGTAAAGAGGGTGATGTCTCACTACGAGTATACTACCTGTGCCCGATTCTCGAATGATGGTTTATATCATGTGCATGTAAGGAACGGATACTGTTTCAAAACTTATAAGTTTGTTCGTTATAAGTATATCATATCAATTGACATATAAATATAACATATGACAAATAATATATGAGTAATAAATTGAATGATTTTTGTTTACTAATATATGAAATTATTCATTGACATGAACTAGCTTCATTACATAATAATATATTCATCATATGGAATTGCTATCAAAGGAAAAAATACGTACAAACACAATGAAATATGTTGCATGCAATTTCTTTTATATTTACATGTATAGCCTATAATTACGAGGTCCATAATGTCACTGAGCTAAATGTGTAACTCATGATTATGGTGGACTTTCTTTTCAACAGAAATATAAATTTTAACCTGCGTCTCCCCTAATAACTTTGTAAATATATAAACAATAAGCTTCAAATCTGAGGTAGTCATACATCCGCTGTGTATCATTTGTTTAAAACATCAGTTGATCTAACAGCACCTCAAATTCGATGCATATTGGTCATATATTTAAAAGCTCACCTGGACGGACTCAAGCAAGTATTTCATTCTCAACGATGTAAAAAGTTTAATCTAGTTTGTAAATATTGTATTACAGTCAGAAATGCTCTAGCTACTGCAATGGAAATATGGAATCTGACAGGAGCATGGGCAGTTCAACGTGCCATGGAGTTGGGATATCCTTTATCAGCTGCACGACTGAACCAAATAAACCAAATCTACCCTTAAAATTAAATGAAATATTCTGTAGACTACAGTTAATTAATTTGAAATTAAGAAGTAATAGAAAATGATTTAAGACAAAGTGTGTTTTGTTTCATTTTGGATTTTTCGTCCTTAATATTTGTGTTGAAAGTTTTGTCTACACGTTTTCAGCCAAACAATTTCATGGATCAATTCTGAAATTTTCAGGGATGCCCCTTTGCATAAGGGTCTATACTTGGTTATGTTTGTTAGGTGCTAACCGTCCAACTTGTCTTAAAAGTCTTGTCTATGCGTTCTTTCCGTTTTATGCGTAAGCGAGTTCTACAGATGGCTTGCCTATTAAGATTGTTTAACCCTAATGTCTGCTAAATTTTTTCAAGAGTACTTTTGCAATTTTTTTTGCGTCCCCCAATTTTTTTTTAGCTTGAGCCAAAGATATAAGACACGTTTTGCGTAAAAACCTAGGTGATTGGGGACTGCGGGCAAATTTATGATAGTTGGAACTTGATCAATAAAATTGAAATTCATAAAATATTGATTCTTACCTTCTAATACTCTAGAAAATTCAAAGAATGATAATTGCTCTGTTTGATAGATAATAATTTAGCATATTGAATTCTCTTTCAAATATGCTTTATTTCATGGAAATCGAGCCACTATTGACTATATTATGAATTTATGAAGGTAAAAAAAACAGTTAATCGCCAAGTATTTACCAATCGCGTTATCTTCGATTTTTTGCATATTTCTGAATGTCTATACTACCTAGGCCTGTAGTAATAGAATTATGATGATACCATGCCAATTTCCCAATTTTAGATATAATTTTTTTTATTCTCCCCTACCCCTAACTTTTCAATTTCACTAATCCGATGTTTTTGCCGTTGCTAGGTGGTTGCTAGGCAACATTATGGACTGAAATTATATTGGAACAATACCAGGTCATACATTCATACATCTGCATACTAAATCACTACTTGGCCTTTTTGTATATCTTGAAATGAGAATGCTAAAGACGAAAACAAGTTGAACTTGTAATTGCTGACTGTTCAATTCTACGTTACACTCCCCTCCATAAGTTTATCAAACAATTTCCACACTGCTGAAGAATCAAATCAGTATTTTTTCCAAAAACAATCTTTAATGAGATTTTCGTTAAGATGGGTGTGTGGTATATATAGTAAAATTTATTACCTACAATAATTGAACACACTGCAGTTGTTTGATTTATTTATTTCGCTATGACGGGGTACATAATTGGTCACATATTGGAAGTGCCCTTTTTAGAATAGAATACCGGTTTGATGAGTTATATCATTTGAATCTTTATTGTTGAAATGCGTTCTTAACAATTATTTAAAACATGCATTACTGTATATACGTGATTTGTTCACTCGTTTGATACACCTATGATCCATGAAACATGCGTTGACATTTCGCTCATTTCTTATGGGGCCTGCACTCCAGTACTCATGAAGATTTGGCCACCGTTATTTTTCTCCACAATGAGGGTTGGTCGTTGCGATATATTGGTCTAATACTGACTGAACCGCTACAAGGACGAACTATCAAAAACCATCACACGATTCCGAAATACATGGTAAAACAGGGACCCATCCCGCTCTGGAAGGCATTTGTACATCATACCCGGCTAGAATGTAAGACAACAGTCCTAAGGCCGAAAACTTTCTGGCAGATGAACTTTAACATATGTGCGTGCAAGCTAGTCTACTATCAGGAGAAGGTGCGATATTGTCACTTTTCTTTTTTTGTGCTTTGATTTTGACGAACTTCTCGAAAATATTCATCGATTTTACACAATTATTACGAATTTTTGCCTACGATGCTGGTTTTGTTTCAGAGTTTTATGCTCCATAAAATGCCTTTATTATTTTAAGTTATATAACAGAGGTCTGTATGGTCGTATAGCCAAGCATTATATTAGCCTATTACTTCTCCCCTCATACGACAACGACGATTGGAATGGGCAAATGCTGTCCGGCTTTTGAACATCATACGAATATATTGCCAAAAATTCATGACTACACAATATATTAGCGATTAAGTTATATAGGAAAACGTATTGTTTCAGTTTGAAATGTTGATCGCACAAAAATCTACAAAAATTGCCAAACTTACGGAGGGGAGTGTACATTGATCTCAATAGAATTTCGCGATATCTGCTATCAATGATGAAAAAAATCAGTTCTGGAAAAGGTTTTACCATGACCTTAGCTCCATTAGATTATTGACCTTTGTTGAACTATTTTTTAAAAAACGACTTTTCTGAAGAGGTAATTGAATAAGTTTTACAATATTGAAATCAGACAAGTAATAAAAAATCGTAGAGGAGGGGGGTCCAAATGCCCCCCCCCCCCCTTGCAACTTAATGTAAATCACAAGTCATGGGCTATAAATGTAAATCACTACAGCATATGTAAATCATACGTCATTGGTTATATGATAATATATCTTTAATCATAATACTTTATTTAGTGTAAATCACTACTTCAGCATTTACATTCCAATGAGATGATATATTATTTGCAATGAAAACCTAATAAATATTATGTAGTTAGTTTATTTATTTATTCATTTATTATAATTGATATACATTTAATTCATTCATTGATATAACACACAAATACCAATGAGCATACACATATTATATCTAAGTCATATCTAATTTTACCCTTCAACGGCGAAGATGTGCCGCTCTTTGATATTAGCGACTCTTTTTACAATCGCCTTGCTACCATTTACTGAACAGGCAAACGATTTCGAAATACTGAAGAATTTAATTGAGGATGGAAATAATAAAGCCAACGAAATGCATAATGAGATCGTGGGTTTAAAATCGGAGAACGAAAAGTTGATGTCAGAACTGAAAGACATGAAAACGTCGATGAAAGCAAATATAATGGACTCCAATTGCAAGTTGAGTGAGAAGGTCGAATCTTTGAGCACGTGTGCTTGTGGTGAGAACCCAAGATGTCATGCAGGTACGTTAGGGCCCTAAAGAAAATTAAAGTATTTTTCACACATTGCTAGGCAAGGTGTGTCCGATTCCAGCAAATCCGAACAAAGTTGCTCATATAACTGCACTGCATTATATGACCAATCACCGCATCCAAGGTCATTTTTGAATGGTTGTCAATGTTAAACTTGACCCTACATATTGAAATCGATGCTTTGCCAACTTGACTATTGCAAAAAGCCATTGAAAACATGTTCTTTTAGTGATTTCGTATCTTTTAGGTGATTTCGAAAAAATATTTTGCAATGTGTGAAAAGAATTTAAGACTTGATGCATTGGGGCTGATTCATTCCACTCAGGCGTTGTTTCCTAAACATTGCATTCCCTCTGGGCGGTAATGCAAAGATTTAAAAACAACACCTTCCGAGAAAATATTCGGTCCACAATGAGTCCAGGACTTAAATCCTTAAATAACGTCCATGACAATCCACATTGTTGATAGCGGGAAATTCAAATATCAGAAAATTATAAGAACCCATAGAGGTCGTATCCCAGTTATGTTTGCTGTTTAATGAAGTCAAAGAAATGCTTTATGATATATCTTAAACACTAGGTGGAGACATCGAATTTGAAGCTGACAAATATGATAAGAGAATATGGTGGACAAAGCGTATAACAGAGAACTACTACACGGCAGGAAGATTGTCAAGCAGAATGATCAAATATGCTCATGAGGCTGGCTTCAAATCAATCATAGCAGTTGTGAATTTTACAACAGCAGTTCAGAGGGGCGATGAGTATTTCCCGACGACGTTAGATGCTAAGGATATATCAGAACGGTTAGCTGGTGTACCATATGGTATAGCAAGGCCGTTAGACTGGGCTCAGTGGCAAGACATAAATATGGTTCACAGCTTTACAAGGATTGCAGATAGCTTCCCGAAACCAACTTTGGTACACTGTACGAAAGCTTGGTCCTCTACATTTTATTTGCTATGTTATCTTGCAAACAAGACGAGGATAGACCCTTCATTTGAACCTAGAGTGGATGTAAATGCGTTTTTCGAAATGGCATCGAAACAAGGTTTTGAGTACACTGGTTCTCCTATTCTCCTTGACATAGTAGCTCAAGTAACAGGAAATAGCATTGATGAAGTGAATGCCGCACAAGCTGCACATATACCTGATATTCCAATGGGGAACCAATGGCAAAAGTATTGGCTGGCAAAACCTTTGTATAAGAACATATTCATTGCTGGCCAGGTTTGGTCTTCCAATATACAAAATTTAAAAGATGCTGGCTACTCGACCATTATTAATGTTCGGAAAGGGGTAACAGGTAATGAATTTGATTTTATATACCCTCGTAATGGTTTTGTATTTTCAATTATTCAGCCAGGTAAATAAGTTACTTTTAATTCACCGTCTATGTCTAAATTGCGATTGATTAAAATGTAATGCAACAAGACTGGAGAAATATATATAAAACTAAACTATATAAGGCTTACCTAGTAATTATGCTCTTGTAGAGAATTCCATGCCATCTCAAGAAGAGGTAACATTGCTGAACGTACGAGGCAAGACAGGTACGTATTGCACCTTTGAGCACGGTGGACGTCAAAGCATTAAACGGCTTGAAGATACGAGGATCGATGCCTGCAAACAGAATGAGTACATCTCCAAGAGCTCCAAGGTGAACTATGAAGCAATGAATGCATTGGAATTCGGTGATGCGATCGGTTATAATGAGACGTTAGAGAGACAGGCAGTTGAAGCCATTGGTGGTATGAGGTACCACCTTAAACCAAAAGGTAATATATGTTATACAATAAGTACCAGTAAATCTGCTGCTTTGTGTTTCTGACTTATTTTTGGCATATTGAACGCCCTATAAAGACACAAAAATATTTCTATGTGAGAGAAATGCAAATGCTCCCCCTTGGTAAAACCGCTCGCCCTCAGGTAAATCCTGGCTACGGGGCTGGAATTGCCTGCGAATAGCAATTTCTGTTGTACAAGAAGATTAGTATGATTTGTTACATTCTTGAATAGGGAGTCTACTTTTTGCCATTAGCTAGTGATAATTCACACACTGCCAATGTTTAATGATGTCGTTAAATACACATTCAAACATAAAAAAAAAACATCATAAAACATTTATAAACCTAACCTATTTTATTGTTAATATTTGTACATATTTAAACTAGCTTTCATCACTTTTTACAAAATGTCACTTTGAGGTACAGTTACAGAAAATGGATCATCAAGAGTGTATCCATAATAGTTCAAGCCACTCTATCCGTATTCCCATGAACTTGTTTCTTTACTCTTTCTGCCCCTAGGCTACCAAAGCATACAACATTCTCTTCATTCTGGTTGTTCATGAGGTTCACACTCCAATATTGATTATACATAGTCTATTTATACGTACTTATCCCATTTTTGCAAGGATATAGACCGAATATCACATGAAGATATATTTGACATGTGGATCAAGATATCATATTTCAGCAAAAAACCCAAACCATAGAATATCACTTTTAAACTATTGAATATCACTTCTTAAAAAGTGATATTCGATGGTTTCATTTTTTCAATTTTTTTAATTATATTTCAAATTTAATAAAAAATTCAAAGATATTAAAACATCAAGATTTCAACTTATGAAAATATCAGTATCCACTCATGGATATAAATGATTTTTTAAAATCATAGAATAATATTCTTATAACATCGAGACACCAGGAAATATAGTATTAAATGCGACATATACTTATCATACTGTTTTATGGCATGAAATCGACACTATCGCAATTTATTTCATTACAAATAAAGGTTTATTAGCAAAGACTAATATAAATTAAATACATGTACATGTAAATATTCGCCAATATCTATATGGTAGACAAAGACAACCTAGAAACTATAAAGAACCTGTTCATTAACAAATAAATAAAACTGGACGAATTAAGTTTAAATGTACGTATATATCCCCATAGTAATAGGTATTATTAATTAAGGATTTTCGCCTGAGTGCATTATGTGCATGGGTTGGTACATGCATGGATATTTTTATATTTCCAATATATAATGATACGGGATTCTTTATTGCAATTCAAACATGACAAAATCCTGTGGACCAAGGTCAAATATTAACGATGTTTTTTAATTGATAGTTAAACGAGACTTACCTTGGTAAGTTGAAGTTTGACTGTAGTTCTACCGAACTGTATGCAGGAACAAAGAGATTATATGAGAGAGCGGTCAGCTGCTGGTTAATCACTATTGAGAGCATTGAGTGATCACATTGTCATGATGCAGGAACAATTTGGGAGGGATAGGGTGGGATATAATCTCTTTGTTCCTGCATACAGTTCGGTAGAACTACAGTCAAACTTCAACTTACCAAGGTAAGTCTCGTTTAACTATCAATTCTACCTCACTGTATTACGTAACAAAGAGACTATATGAGATTTTAAAGCATGGGATCACCCAATAATTAATGAATATCAAAATAAAATTTTGAAACAACAAAAGTATAACTTTTGTAATGAAGATTATCTTCAAGAAACATCAATTATAGAAACAAAACAATGAAATTGTAAAAGCTGTACTCAGACAATCTTGTGTCAAGTTACTCAGACCTCACAAAAGCACAATGCCCACAGCTGTGTAAAAACATATCCTTCCCTTTAGGTTTGTTGATACACTGTATCTAACTCATTTGGAATAAAGTTTTTGACATTTCAAAAAATAAAATAAAGCATCACATGCATTCCTGTAGTCTTATCCAGATACTAATATGGATTTGGCATGAGTTGTTAATTGCTGCTGTAAATTGGGATATATTACATCAATTAATGTTTAAGGTTTCTGAAGAAACCCAGTTATAAGTTCTCATTTTTAACTGAATCTACAGAACATTATCAAATAATCACATGAAGTCATATTTGATGACCAGTTTTATGAGATTTAACCATTAGCATGGTGAATGGTCTAAAGTGTAACATCGCATTTGTAGTAAAATATTTTTAAAAATCAACATCCATTCAAAGTTGCAGTAAAAAGGTTATTTCCTTTTTATTTTTATTTTTTATTTCTTAAAGTTGTTTATTCTATGATTGAGCAACTTGTTAATATATCTCTAGATGTGAAAAATGCAATGCTTATCTGCATCCATTCTGCTACTCATAGCATCTTCTGTTTTACTTAAAACATCTCATATGAAATGAGGTGTCACGTTTTATGACGATTTGCATGTAGTTAGCGCTAAGTCACGCACATTGACAAACAATGAAATACTTTCATTTTTAGTGAAATACTTATTTATCTGAGGTGATATAAAGTATACAGTGCTACAGGAATGAGCATATCTAATTACATTAAATATGTAGATGTCCAAAAAAAGCCTGTCAGGCCTAATCTTGTTAAATATAATTATAACTTATAGCTTACATGGATATTCCAAGTAAAGATTGGTTATCTTTAGAAAGTGTTATCAAAAGTGTTTGCTTTATAGAAAACTTCAATATTCAACACTTGGATAGCTGGGGCAGCTAACAATAACTTGTATAATTGAAAAAATATTTAGAACTTTGCTTGTTGGCAAATCTGGGTATACTGTAATGAGTATTGAGTACATGTATTTCACCACCACCCCCCCCCCCCCACCCCTCCTCTTTGGAAGGTGAGAGGGCAAGCCCAAAGATGCAACTTTGCATGTTCACCAGGTTCTGGTTTTTAGACACAAACAAAGGAATGTTGTGCCCTTTGTGCATTTCTTTCTTTTGAAAGATTTTATCAAAATACATAGACAACCCTATATCATTATGATATGATTATCTTCATCTTAGATTCAAGATCACAAAATCTGTCTCAATTAGTACTCTAAAGCAACATAAAACTTATATTAGGGAACATTTAAAAGGGTTTGCAACTCAAGTAATTACATTTTCATAAGCACAAATGTTTTCATATTTGGATTCTGCATCTACTTCCAAAGTAAATGTACTCACACTAGACTATACCATGGATGAGCATTGAATACCTTTACAATCATTTTATGTGTGCAAGCAAAGATTTCGTCCCATTTATAAAGTTTGAACTATGAGAGTCATACAGTCACACATTATTAGGCCAACTTTTGATGTAGATTCTTTCTAAGTAATTTAAGTCATACTATTATCTTCTTTAGAAGAGCAAGGGCTGCCTTCAAAAATGCCATTTCATACACTGCATCAACCACTCCCTGATGCATCAGTGAAGAGGGTCATGTCTTGGACACCATGACTGATTGAGTCACTGGATTTCATTGTTCCCCAGTCTGCCAGCTACATTAGAATCATTTGATAATGATATATAATTGCTTCATAATTGCCTCTGATGTTTCATGTCTTACTTTCATCTTATTCAAGATTCATGTATTGAAAAAGTAGGAGATTATCATAAGTTGCAACAATAAAGACACAAACCCAATGACCTTTGAAAAAGATGCTCATGCTTATGTAATAAGGTTAGCAAGCTGTGATTTCACATTGATTCTATGCTATCCTTAGAACTGTTTCTCATGTGTCCTTCCCAAGTAGGCACAATGTTTTGTGTGCATGCATTTTTATATGACTAATATCTGTCAAGGTACCGACATTAATGTAATACATACTGTATGAATAAAGATGAAAAGTGATAACACTGACTTCACAGTTTATGCATTTAAAGCATCATTTTCTAAAAAATTAGTGACCTAGCTAAAAAAAACTGATAATTTCAAGTAATTTTAATCTTAAACATTCTCATCAAAGTGTGTGATTTTTATGATGCCTTATGATGCTATATCTAGTATTCTTTCTGTATAAGGCCAAATGTCTGTTTAGAAAGTTTCAATTTTGGACTATCCACACTTAAGATTGTTTAACTTTTCGAATGAAGATAAAGTCTTAGTCAAGTTTGTTTGAGGCATGGATCTCTATCCTCAAGGATAGAGTTGGATAAAAATCAAGTTTTAATGAAAAGTTATCATTTCCCTGCACTCACTGTGCTAATTTCTCCATTTTAATCTAGTTTTAAAAGATATATAAGGATATTATGATTCCTGTTAAAAATACATTTCAAACTACCTTAGCTCTATTACCATAGCACTTGATCTGGGACAGATGCGATTGCCATGATGCAAAAAGACTTGATTATCAGTCTGAAACCTGGAAACAGTTGACGCTGGATTGGCTCTGAGAATTTATACTGAAATTTGTGGCTTATTTTGCCCAATTGTAATGTTTCTTAGTAGCAATGCCTTCAAAAGGGTGCACAAATTCAAATTTATTAGCTTTATTGTATTTCAATCCCCATCAGGGGTCATAGTTGGAAAAACACGTTTTTGCGAATCTATTGCTACAATTTGATCCGAGCTGGGGCAGCTTTAGCTAGCAACTTCCTCAACACAGGATCAGTTACTGAACATAATGGGTTTCTACATTTGTGCCTTGCATGGCTACAAACAAGCTTCTTTAATTTTTTCATTCTTCTTAAAGAAGATGAAATGGGAAAAAAGTTCCATCAAGGTAATATACTTAAACAGTTTCGGAAGGAACTTCCATTCTTCAGTAATTACAGATATTCCAAGCAGTGTAAGACCGGAATATCCCTGTGTTCTATTTGGGAGGAACTCCCATTACCAACTATTAAATGATTCCAAGCAAGGGACTTAGGTTTAATCTACATAGTTTTAATCTACATGCATCCTATTTTTGAGAGGAACTCCCTTTATAGTCAACTATTGGGTGGCTCAAATTTTTCGCATGCCAGCCATTTGACATCCTTGCTTTGAGGTTTCATTTTTGGGAGGAACTCCCTTTTTAGTCAACAGTTGGATGATTCCAACTTTGCCAACATTCACATGCTGGCCATTTGACATCCTCACATTTGAGGTTTCATTTCACTTAAAAAACAAACCTTTAACGGTTACATATAAAAAATTATTATATTACCAATCTTGCAGTGTTGGCTTCATTACTTCGTGTAATAGAAGTTTGGAGAGACTGTATGTGCATCTGCAACTGGAACATAACTCTAGAACGGGCTCTAGAACCGGTAGCCTAGTCTTTTAAGACATCAAACCCATTTATTTTCTGGTAACATCCTCTCCTCGGACAATCATCCTATAATTTATCTTGCCACAGTCCGCAATTTCTTTTTAATAAATAGATTCCTCCGGAACAAGTGATATATCCTTTTTCTTTTTAAAAAACTAACATTTAACTTAGGCCATTCACGGCACTTTAAAAAATTGAAAATATTACGAAATAACATATCTACTTTAAGTAACAAGTTCACTTTCTTTGGTATCTGAATTTAACATTTAATCCTCAAAGGAAAACAAAGGGTAAATAGCAGCCATGCTGCATGAGCTCTTAGTGTTAAGCAAGCTGAACCACAAGTGATTAACCAGCAGCTGACCGCTCTCTCATATAGTCTCTTTGTTACGTAATACAGTGAGGTAGAATGTATTTTACGACTTCCTTTGTTCAATCCATCAGCTGAATGGTATAGAAATCCATTGTTAAAACAACTACACGTTACCATTTACATCTGCAATAGTTATCTTTGAAAGAAATTAATTTTGAGTTACAATTGCTATTCATACTATTTTGAAGGTTTCATCAAAATACTCGTATTATAGAGAATTAGAATATGATGTAAATGCAGACAAATTATGAAAACTTAGTTGGAAAACTATAGCATTGATTGGAATTAACACATTCATGATATGTCACCCTATTTTTAAGAAAAGTACTGCTCAGTCAGTCAGTACATAATGACAAAACTAGATAACAGCAATTTATGTTTACAAAATTGCTCCAGTACTTTCAATTTAAACAAAGCTGTAAAATAACACACACTGAAACCGGCTGCCATTTTGGAAATCGACTTTCGAGCAGAACTCACGTGGGGCATGTCCCCTCCATAAGTTTGGCAACCTTTTTCCCCCATTGAACTACGTGTTAAAGCCTCTTTACCTTTGAATTTTTATTTACTTAACCTGCGATGAAAATACTTATACTATTGATGGAAACGTAATTTGACTTTAATTCCAATACCTCCAAATTTTCTCAATTTTTTCCTCAATCACAATAGGTCGAAAATTGATGATGAATTTGATGAATTTTTAAAAATCGACATTCCCATGTTAACCAATGGGAAATGGTAGGTTTGCCGCAAGTCATATGACAGAATATCCATCCATCCGAGTCCTTGCAAAAAATACGAGTTAGGCAGGTAATTGAATTTGCTAACTTTATTTAACAAAAAATTAATATGTTTCTTCAGGTTCAACAAAGTTATAGGGCTTCAAAGTCAAAATTGTTTTTCAAAAAACCTCTCCCATTGAAATAACACAGGAGGCAAAAAATAATTTTCAAAAATGACTTTGAAGCGCTGTAACTTTAATATTCATCAAATAAACTAAACACTTAGTGTTCAAAAAAGTTAGACAATTCAATTTTCTTTATAAACATATTTTTTGCTGAATCTTTTACTGAAAAGATATCCTGATTTCTGATTTGCCCCGAACCCTCCATTTCCCATTGGATTACATGAGAATGACGAATTTCAAAAATTCATCAAATTTATCATCAATTTTCGACCTATTGTAATTGAGGGAAAAAATTGAGAACATTTGGAGGTATTGGAAATAAAGTCAAGTTACGTTTCCATCAATATCATAAGTTATTCCATCGCCGGTTAAGTAAATAAAAATTCAAACGTAAAGAGGCTTTAACACGTAGTTCAATGGAGAAAAAAGGTTGCCAAACTTATGGAGGGGAGTGTACGTATAAAATATCAAAATTGGGCCAACTGTATTTAATTTATTGCCCGGTCAGGCAGTTGTCCCTCCAAACTTCGTTAGATGTGATAATTAAACGCATGTAGTAAAATCATTAATTTTTCCATTTAAAGCCTCCCTCATGAAGAGAATGGCTCAGAGAGCGACACATAGAGGGCTTGTATTATTCCACTGCGGGAAAGGCTACAGGGCAAGTAAGTAATAAAGAGAAGGAGCTATGTTTCACCACTTCCCATACCCACGGGGTACCAACTACGACCGTTAATTTGAATTTAAAAATCAAGGATTGTGCGTCTTATACTGCACCATTTTTATTTAAATTTGTTCCATTAAAAGCAAAACAAAAATACCTTTCTTTTGGTACATTATACTATTATACAGAGTCCCTCCTTTAGCGGCGTTTGGGGCCCCAGGTGTGAGAAGCGCTTCTCTCAGCTGGGGACCCAAAACGCTGCTAAAACGAGGGACTCTGTACAATAAAACAATGCACCGACAGAAAGGCTTTTTGTTTTCCTATAAATGGAAGAAGTTTGAAGAAAAACGGTGCAGTATGAGAGTCACAATCCTTGTATTCAAACACCCGGTAGGTCTAAAATTCAAATTAACGGTCGTAGTTTGGACCCCGTGATACCTTTTGGTCCCACTATTGTCCTGAATGATGGTTTTATATAATATTAAGGGCACAAATGATGTTTCAAAAACAGTAACTAATTTTGTTTGTTATACGAATCATTTAATAAATGTACTTACTTGTATTTAAACAATTAATGACACAACCTAACCTAGTTATATTACATAATAATACAGACATGGTATGGTTATGCTATCAAAATAAATGATACGTATTTCGATTAAATATACAACTAGCCAATGAAATGTTACAAGCACACTGTGTACATCTTCACTTCATATTTACATTTACAAAATCTGGGATATCATTGCATTTAGGTTTATAGCTCATGATTAATTTCGACATTCGTGCTATCAATTAAATTATAATTATTAACATTGTACAGCGTGGTCAAAAATGAAATCCTCGTTACTTCTAAAGTGTAGTAAGCTTTAAATCTGAAATATTGACATTGATTGCTTGAACATAAGATGCGTCTAAAATATAAGTTGAATCAATAGCATCGGTTGAAGTAATTTAAAGCAATTGGTCATATATAAACAGTCACCCTGTATTTCAAGACGAACTTTTGCCTCCCTTTTCACGGTGAAAATGATAAATCTTGTAGTTTGAAAATATTCTATTGCAGTCAAACCTTCTCTAGCTACTGCAATGGAAATATGGAATCTGACGGAAGAATGGGCAGTTCAACGTGCTCTGGAGCTGGGATATCGTTTATCACCCGATGATCGCAAACAAATAAATAATATATACAGTTAAAAGAAATATAAAGATAATCATTTGTAATTTTAAGAATAAAGAAAAAATAATTTAAAACTACATTTAAAAGACATGGTAGCCAATGGTTGATGGCGCGATCGATGGATGTTTGCGCAAGTACCATCCAACTCTACATCCTTGATGGGCTGACGTTTTTCATAGATTATACTGTTCTAGATGCATCCAAGTATGGAAAATCTACAGGTAATGGCAATGGACTGTTAGAATGCCATTTGTCTGGACTAATGACGGGGTCATTTTGTGCCTCCAAAACTCCAAGATAGCTCCGGGAGGGTAGCATTAGACCTGTGTGATGGAGCACTATCCCGTTGGAAAATAAAATTTCTTCCACGTGTCGTTTTATGTCCTTTAGGAGTGTCTTCTATCATTTCATTTCATTTTTGGAAACACAACCTTCTCTTAATAACTAAACCGGTATGCCTTTTCTGTTAAATGTGTATTTGAAGTAAAAATACAATCATTTCTTTGGAGGTTTTTAAGTAAAACTCCAATTCACAAGATGATAAAAAAGTATTTATTCATCCAGTCGGTAGCAAGAATGAACATTCACACATAAGTAGCCAATCGGCACAAAGTATACAATATGCGTTTTAGAATTAGTGAAATCAATTACTTAATGCACTCGTTTCTTGATGTTGACCTCTGAATCCCGGATTCCACCCCGCCCTCATTCAAAGTCTCAAGACTGTGCTTAAAATCGTGTATAATTTACTGAGCTCTGGGCATAAATCATTTGACATATTTAATATAGTGCACTTTGGTACTATTGAAAAGCCTAACAGGCAATAATGTCATTCTTGAATTGTATATATTCGTTGTATGCAGCGCCTGGTAGAATATCATTACACAATGCTGGGTCGTATGATCTGGCACTGCGCATGTTGCATATCATGTTCCTTTTACATGTCTGTTCACAAATGCCTCCGCTGTTCGCCCGTGAAAATTGTCTACAACAATGAGGGTTATGGAACATTACACAAAGACTACAAATATTGAGAGATAAAACATAGAGTGATTAAAATCATGTTGAAAATAGAAAAAAATATATGTGTACCAAATAAATCATGTGTATTCACTAGGGAGATTAAAAGCTAATATCTACACATTTAAAAAGGGATTAACGGACATACATATAACAACACTTCTGTCATGACGTTTTCATCCATCACATGTTTCCACTGAATAAGTTAACCATGATTTCTGTATCTTACTTCTTTGGAAAAATTAAACTTAAAAACTTGTCACTGATTGCAAATGAAAACTGCAAATTGCAGTCATTATTTACCTGTTATATTTCTGGAACAACTTATCATCTTTTTCAAACCTAGTTATAAGTTTGTCCCAGCTTTCAGGAAACAGATTGTCAAGTCCGTATGTCGCCTGAGAAAATAAGAAGGAATATGTGATACATTGATTTCGGTGAATACTGAATACCCGATACTCACCTTCAGAATATGTCATACTCACTTGCGGAATATGCCATATACAGCAGGTGAATATGACATATTCGACAAGTGAAAACGTGATACAGAAAGACTTGGTTTGATTGGTTGCGAGAATGGCTCTTAATGTAAAACTACGCTGGATTACCAATATTAGTGCGTCGAGTACTAATACATGAATCCTGGATTGATTGGGTAAGTTTATTACGTGAGATTGGTGAGTGATACTTCTGCATACGTTGATATATTCAATAAACTGTACTGCTGATTCAGTAATCATTATAATGATTTATAAAGTTTTACTTATTCGTTCAATCGATGCAATTGACAATTGCGTACTTCCGTATCACGTTCTCGTTGGTTAGTGTGTTTACCATATACCGCAGGTGAATCTGTCATACACCGCAAATGAATATGGCATATTCGTTGCGGAATATGGCATACTTTGAATTTTGTTTACCGCGTAACAATATACATCTTCTGATCAACAAATGGAATAAAATAAAGACATATTGTTATACATGTTTCTCAAATAACGTATTTATGATGAGTACATCACCTTTGCCGCATATTCAAGTTTCCACAAGGGGTGGTCCTGAGGTCCAACCCAAGGGCTGTTGTTTGCCTCTGTCAAGTTCAGCATGTAGGTCCAATGGTCCTGCACCATCTAATGTCAGATAAATTGAACCCGTTAATATTAATGTGCCTTGATTTACAGTTTGATTGCAGTGCCATGATAACATGGATATGGAGATCATGACTATCTATGAATACAGGTAGTTCCAAAGTTTTTCAAAAGCTTTTTTATAAATTAAAAGATTGTGGTTTGATTGCAGTGTCATAATAGGATAGAACGAAGATCATTAGCACATGTAGTATCTTGAGAATACTTTTTCCTCTTAAGATGTATTCAGGTACAGGTAGTTCCAAAATATAGGAAAGTTTTTGTATAAATTAATGGAAGACTCATAGATCGTGTGAAATTTATAACGACAGAAAGTATTCCACTATTTCAAAAAGCTAACAAATATGAGTCTTTATTTTAGGCTAAATTATTTGGAGCCAGGATAATTTGAGTTTTAAGATAATTAAAATAAAAAAGATAACTACCCACGAGCTGCCAGTGTAGAACCCGTCTATTTCGTACAGCCTATATGCCGGGAACCGTCCTCCAGTAGGAGTGACACTTCCTGGGACATATAGTACACCAACAGGTCGAGAAAGCGTATCAGCATCATAGAAGACCTTGAACTCGTCATTGTGTGTATGCCCAAAGAACTGACCGGCTATGGTGTTCTCGAATCTAAAGCAATAATATTAGGATACTACATGAATATACATGATTAATACTAGAAAATGGGCATTTGTAGTGATACTAAATCGGCAAACTACTGTATTAGAGAAATGATCAAAAAGAAAATAAACTAACAAATTATTTCAGAAAAAATAACTAAAACCGCACCTATCAGTATATAATTTCATAAAGGAGTTGTTAAATATGGATAGCATCATCTATTGATATTTTACTTGTGGCTATCTGCCATATTATTGATACTTTTACCTTGTAACTAGTTTGTAGTAATTCCAACTCCAGGCTTTCAAACAGCTACTGGGTGGTTGATGACCCAAGATATGAACCTAAAATCAATACACACAATGTAAATGTTACCTCATATCCCGGTGTGAAAGGACCTCCTACCCTTTTACACCGGTGTAAAAGGTTAGGTGGTGGTCCTATCAAATTTTGGTCCTACTCTCTATTGATTTATATGGTGACCTAATTACAATTATTTTCCTTATTATTTATACACAGTCAGGGCCAGTAAGGGCCGAAATCCCCAGGGGATCATAATTTCTTTCACACCGGCCTCACATCTATCGATATGTTAAAGTAGTTTTCCATTTCTTAAACAACTTAATCATTGAATTTCATCAGTTTATATAACTCATTTGCAACTTGAATATCCTTGCAGTACTTTTTCGGAATTATCCTCTGCAATTTTCAGCTCATTTGAGAGCCATTGAAGTTGTCCTGCAGGATCCGTTGCATTTATCAGTAGCCACCAATTGGCACTATCACAGTAGTTCATGTTTAGCCCAATCATCCTGAACCCAGCTCTCACAAGGACCGAGTAGTATCCTCCACTATAAACAGTCAAAATATGTTTTGAATAATGAATTTAACTCATGATATTATAAATCCATGTACTTTTTATCTATGGTACCTTTTTGTTTCAGAGTAAGGTATATATTGGAGTTTATCTAACACGTCACAATGCAATGCAGTGTTCCACAAGGATTAATTATGAGGTTAGTATTATTCATATTAAGTATTAGATCATCCTCAATCCTTACCATTAATGATTACAAATATGTAGTACTTTCTATTCTATGTGCGAGCATTTTAGGTATGGGCTACTTACACTCCCCTCCATAAGTTTGGCAACCTTTTTTCTCCATTGAACTACGTGTTAAAGCCTCTTAACGTTTGAATTTTTATTTACTTAACCGGCGATGAAATAACTTATGATATTGATGGAAACGTAACTTGACTTTATTTCCAATACCTCCAAATTTTCTCAATTTTTTTCCTCGATTACAATAGGTCGAAAATTGATGATAAATTTGATGAATTTTTGAAAATCGTCATTCTCATGTAATCCAATGGGAAATGGAGGGTTCAGGGCAAATCAGAAATCAGGATATCTGTTCAGTAAAAGATTCAGCAAAAAATATTGTCATATAGAAAATTGAATTGTCTAACTTTTTTGAACACTAAGTGTTTAGTTTATTTGATGAATATTAAAGTTACAGCGCTTCAAAGTCATTTTTGAAAATTATTTTTCGCCTCCTGTGTTGTTTCAATGGGAGAGGTTTTTTGAAAAACAATTTGACTTTAAAGCCCTATAACTTTGTTAAACCTGAAGAAACATATCAATTTTTTGTTAAATAAAGTTCGCAAATTCAATTACCTGCCTAACTCGTATTTTTTGCAAGGACTCGGATGGATTGATATTCTGTCATATGACTTGCGGCAAACCTACCATTTCCCATTGGTTAACATGGGAATGACGATTTTCAAAAATTCATCAAATTCATCATCAATTTTCGACCTATTGTAATTGAGGAAAAAAATTGAGAAAATTTGGAGGTATTGGAATTAAAGTCAAATTACGTTTCTATCAATAGTATACGTATTTTCATCGCAGGTTAAGTAAAAAAGTCAGTGGATGGAGGGTATTATACACCCAATATATAAAGATGGAGACCCATGTAATCCTCTGAACTATCGTGCCATTACATTAATATCTGTGCCTTGCAAGGTCTACACTGATATTTTGAACAAGCGCCTAACTCAATTCCTTGAAGACAATAACCTTATTCATGATGAACAAGGGGGCTTTCGCAAGGGACGTGGTTGTCAAGAACAAGTTCACAGTGTCTACTCAATCATCAATAATAGGAAACTTTCTAAGCTCGATACTTTTATTTGCTACATTGACGCAACTAAGGCATTCTCGAGTGTTAATCGAGACTGCCTATGGTATAAACTCAATAAGATTGGCATCAAAGGCAAAATCTTTAAAGCAGTTCAATCCCTATATGAAGATGTGACATGTAACATCCGCATAAATGGTCTACTATCTCCAAAAGTAAACGTAAGCAATGGCTGCCGAGAAGGCTGTCTGCTATCCCCGACATTATTTTCAGTGTATGTGAATGATCTAGTGACCGACATTAACAGTCTACAATGTGGAATACAAATGGAGGACGAGAACATAGGCATCCTTCTTTATGCTGATGACATAGCGCTTATTGCAAGCTCAGCTGATAACTTACAACAGATGTTAAACACTCTACATGAATGGTGCCGCAAATGGAGACTTCTAATTAACCCTCAAAAATCTAAAATTAAAATGTGGGGACTTTGATCTGGATTATAAAGACACTTATAAATATCTGGGGATCTGGCTCCAAGAGCATGTGGACTCAACACATTCTGCCAGAGAAATTGCAAAATCAGCAAATAGAGCCCTGAGTGTGATTATCAGCAAATACAAGCAAACTGGGGGTATGGAGTTCGCAGTTTACAACAAGCTATATGACTCTTTAGTCCAGCCTATACTAAACTATGGTTCATCTATATTTGGCCTCAACCAACATCAATGCCTAAACAATGTTCAAAATAAAGCTGGCAAGTTCTTTCTAGGTGTAAACAAACGCACTAGTAATGAGGCTGTTAGAGGAGATCTCGGATGGGACACTCCACATTTAAAACAAAAGGTGGAATGTGCTAGATTGTTCATTAAACTGAAGTCCATGAATCAGAATAGGCTGAATTTTAAAATACATAAATGGTCCATTAAACGGAAAAGCAGTTGGGACTTTAAAGTTAATTCAATGTTAAATACATGTAATATAAATTCCACTGGTCATACCACATTTTAAAACAGTTTACTAACTCTCTTCGAAATTCTGATAAATTTATCCATAACATATGGGATGATAGAAATAATGAAATTAATGGCAATAAATTGAGGCAATATAGACTGTACAAATATGGTGTTTGCAAGGAAGGGTATTTGGCCCTACCAAAGCATCACCGTAGGTCACTCGCTAGATTCAGAACTGGTACTTTACCCTTAGCAATTGAAACAGGGCGCTACACAGGTATACCATTACACGAAAGGAAATGCTTATTATGTGACATGAATTATATTGAAGATGAAAAGCATTTCTTATTAGAATGTAGCCATTATGATGATCTAAGATGTGATTTTTATGAAAATGTTAAAACAGAAATTGCCCTATTTAGATGTAACATCAGCCAATTCTACACTTCTTTTTGTCTCCATTATGAATTGTACTTCACTCCAAAGACCATTAGGAGCTTTAGTTTATAATATGTGCAATAAGAGATCCCTTAATATTGATAGGCTATAATCACTAAATGAGTATGCATGTCACCTAAGTCTCCTTTATAAAATATTTATTTAAAATGTATCTAGTCAGAAACTCCTTGGTTTTATGATGCCTCTTTTTAGTGCTTTGAGCTATCGACCTTGGGGAAGATGGTCTCAATTCAGTACTGCAGAGGTGAATATTATCTATGGGTTTCTTGTTTTATTTATTCACTGCTCATGCAACTCCCATTTAGTGCAATATATGTATTTATTATTCAATATGCATCTCACATTTAGTGCAATATATGTATTTATTGTAATATTTGTCTTCAACCATATGCATTATGTATTTCACATTTAGTGGAATATTCATATTTATTGTAATATTTGACCATAGTGCAACATGCTACTTACATTAAGTGCAATATATGAATTTATTGTAGTATCAGTATTCGACCATATGCATGATACATGTCACATTTAGTGCGATATTTGTATTTATTGTAATTTTTGACAATATGCAACATGCTACTCTCATTTAGTGCAATATATGTATTTATTATGCAATATTCATATCACATTAGGTGCAATATATGTATTTAATATAATGATTGACAATATCATTCCATGAACTGCTTATTTATGCCAAACTGATTAACCAGACTGAATTTATATCATTGGTTATTAATGTATAAATTTTTACCAGGGACATTTTTTGTCTCTGTCTTTATGAATGTTGACCCAAGCTGCCCATTGGGGGTAGTAATGGGTGACACTCAGATCTAATGTATACTGTGTCTCATAAGTCGGCACCGGCTGGTGATGTTACAAAATGTTGTTTTTATTATGTATTTTATATGTATATTGTAATATCAGTGACACAAAAATAAACTATCTTAAACTAAAAACTAAACTAAGTAAATAAAAATTCAAAGGTAAAGAGGCTTTAACACGTAGTTCAATGGGGGAAAAAGGTTGCCAAACTTATGGAGGGGAGTGTACCATTCTGATACTCATCGCAGGGCTGACAAGAAATAAGATGTCATGGTTTATCATGATGGCTACTTACTATTCAATTGTATTTCTAGAACTTTCCGGAAGCCAATGTGTCCAGCTATCTGCCAAAGCCGTGTACAGCCATTTAATGTTTTGACTCCCTGTGATGGATGGTTGAGGGAAACTACAGAAAATATGAAATAGACACAATGAGAAGCATTCAGTGGCCCCAGAGTGAACATTTTTATTTATAGAATTTATTTTGACTTTACATACAAAACACAAACTATAAGCCACTATTGAATGAGCATGATATAGGCATGGTGAAGAAAACGGAAATTAAAACTCCAGAGCAAAGTGAAGATGTGGCAGAGACATCTTCTTGTACACTTTTCTATAGATATATACTAATTACCTATTTACTGGTACACTCTCGTGATTCCCAACTGCTGGAAAAATTGCTTTCCCGGGAAAGTAAATGTTGAGCATTGCTGTAAGGTTCTTAATCTGACTCAGCTGGTCGTTTCGTGTTTGGTTCCATACATTATGTGGTGGGAGGTCTCCTGTCCACACAATGTAATCAAACTAAAATTGATGTCATAAAATATACGTTGAAAACTTGTGCATATGAAGAACAGAAATTCCAACAAAATAACATTTGGTGAGTTAAAACTATTATTCTAAACTACTATGTGAACATTCAGTGAAGTTTCGTCCATTTTTATAACCATGTGATTTTTTCAGATGACCGTAACTTATTTCATTCATGTTTTTTCTTTCATTTTGCACAGAAAGTGCATCATTTTGTGGTATATTTTATATAATGTAGAATAACCATAAATGAGTGGTCTTGTTTTCAAAATTGCACAAATATCAACATGCGCATCTACTTTGAATTCGAAATATTCAATAAATTCTATTTTTCAGCTTCTTAATGGTACGCTGTCTTACAGTACTCTGGGGAAGACAACTCCCACAGAAAACATACAAGATAGTGACAGTGCTAGAAGTGACAATGAAGACCAACGGCCGAAAAATGGAGAAAAGTGATCCTTGATGAGAACAAACGTAAAATATCGTTTCGTCCCTCCATTCCTCAACACTTGGTGAGATTTTAAAGGGTGGCGCATATCGTTTAGCAAATCGAACGCTCGTTTCTGGTGTTGCTCATCGTTTAGTATAAAAGGGTCGATCCCGGAATATTACTCAAAGGTTCACAGGTTTGAGGTCGTTGCGTAAACACCTCTGCTTGTATGTTGCAATAGTATAGTATATATTGTTACCCATTTATAAAAGGGGGATTTTTATTTTGACAAATCAATTTCACATTCTATGGGTGAAGTTTCACGATCTTCTTTCGCCAACATAATAGTACACAGCTTGGCATATGGAATATCCTCCAAATGAGACAAAGCAATTCTAATACAAGAATTTATATTGACTGTTGTACATGCATTATTTGAACGATCACTCTCTGAATAATGTTTTCAGAATCATATTAGAAACAGATTACTTTATCTCCAAGACAATTTCAATAAACTGGATATTACAAAACTCCCCTTATTTCTTCAAAATGGACTGATCCAGTTGCACCTTCATTATTGTTTTTATACTGAAAGCTTATCGGAACCCTGTAGGTTAAACTTATTTTACGCTATTTTTACAAGAAAGTTGAATGAAACCTCACCAAACTGTATGTAAATTATAAGCTTTTTTGCATTTGTTAAATAACAATCATTTCAGGTGGCCACTTAGGAAGAGATAACGTGTACCAGAAAATGTCCAGCAGATAATGGTAGCCAAAGATGGTTGACGATGTTAAGACATGATAGCATCATTTGACATTTGTCAAAGAACAAATAAGTCCATAAAGAATGTGCAACAGGCCCTGCAACCGATACAAGTGCGCTTCCAAGAAGCATGGACACGGGTAGGTTCAAACGTAATTATTCATTCGTGCTTGCCTACAAACTCCCATAAAAATATTGTAACATTAATGACTCGTGACTTAGCATGTTGCTTGCTATGTGTTTTAAGGCCGTTTAGTTTATATTATGAAACGACTGCAATTTCTTCTTGATGAAAGTACACCATTTCCAGTTCAAGTAACAAAAGCGTTTTCATGTACATCTAGGATATACATGTACAGGTATGTATAAAAATGTTAAAATGTATGTATTAAAATTTGTTATCATTGAAATATTTTAAGCACGTATCTTAATAAAAATATTAATTGTATGATTAATGTTACAGATAGGAATCGATCTTATTGGCCCCCTCCAAGAAACACCAATAGGAAGTAAATACGCCTGTACTATCACCTGCTATTTCTCTAAATGGGCGGCGGAAGCGAAGGCCTGAAAACAAAATCCGCCGTAGAGCTTGCGCAATATTTATTAGAATTATGTTTGAGGTAAGTCTTGCATTTTGTCTTTTACTGTCAATGCCAAAAGTCAATTCGTCGGTGCTTATCATTTAGTAACGTCAATTTATGTACACGTAATTATGCATAAAGATTATTCTTAAAAATAATAATCGGAGATGTTCTTTATACTCGGTTAGGATTCCCCTTTTCCATGTTATCAGATCAAGGGAGAGAATTCAACAACGCAGTTATTCAGAATCTGCTGGGTCTATTGAACGCAACACAAAACTACATCAGCATACCACCCCCAATGCAATGGTCTCACTGGTAAATTCTACTTTATACAGCTTTAACGTTTACTGGGAAAAAGATTAAGGCCCTCGTTTTGATAAGTAATCAATAGCGTTTTTATTAGTCGATAAGACGAAGATTTAATAAATGATTCAATAAAACGCTGGTTGTATCATATCCATCCACTGTAACTTTCACTCTTTGTGAATATCTAAGCACGAGTGCCAAAGGGAAAGGACCAAAAGTTGTAATGGAACTTAGCAAGAAAAAGCAAACTCAGTGCATACCAGTCAGGAAAAACAAACCCCATATATCCCAAAACCATGATCTAACGTGAAAAGAAACAATGTATAATACCCCATTTCCCCCACCATTCAAGAAGCGATATCACAATCCAAGACAAGAACACCAAGGGACATTTCATTCATACTGAAGTCATTACAATACATGTTGAAGAAAAAACTAGAAATTGATAGCCAATACTCATAACATCAAAAATAGTTGTAGATACAAGTACTCAATCATACAAGAAAGAGCATTCAGTCTCAAATGATGTGGGATAGATAAAATCCAGTCTCCAAGTCCATGGGCGTTTCAAAGGGTCAACATCCGTTCACAGTCCACAGTACTGGCAATAAATCACTTTCTTCATTCAAATATCAAAGATCATAAAGCCGTACGTGCATTATATTTAGACATTAGCTCTGCTTTTGATCGTGTTCCTGATGCTTGCAAAACTGAAAGCATACGGCATTGAAGGACAATTTTTTCAAATTCTCCAATCATATTTGTCAAATCGTAAAGTCAATGTAAATGTAGGTGGTCAATCATCGGATACTTCTTCTGCAAACTATATCAACTGCGGCGTCCCTCAGGGATCTATCCTAGGTCCAATTTTATTTTTGATTTATATAAATAACTTACTCTTTTGGGAACGGCATTTATCTACGCTGATGACACATCACTATATTAACCCTTTGATCCATCTGATCCTGACATGCTTACTATCATTCATGATCTTAATATCATAACTAACTGGTCTCAAAAATGGAAACTAGATTTCAAGCCTGCAAAACAGAGAAAGCTATCTTTCAAAGCCAGCGCTGTGTATTTCCTACTCCGCCACCTTTAGCCAAACTTGGAAATGGGGAAATTAAAAGGAATAATCTTCATAAGCATCTAGGGTATACTTTTGATTATCTTCTTTCTAACAAAAATCATACATATGACATTGTCAAGAGAGTACAAAAACTGCTTAATTCATTGAAGGCACTTACATCAAAAATTAACTCGAAACATTTGGAGACAATGTACAACTCATTCATAAGTACTCATTTTGATTACGCAGACATTCTTTATCATTCATCAACTCAAGTACTGATCAATATCCCTAGCAAGTTACATTATCAGGCTGCATTATTGTGTTCTGGGTGTCTCCATGGCTCTGATACAGGTAAAGTAATGGGGGTCTTAAACTGGTGCACACTACACATTCTTAACTTCATGTACAAAGTTATCAGAAACCAGGTACCCTCCTATGTATCTTCAATATTTGAAGAATTCAAAAATCCAGCTACCAGAATAACAAGCAATACAGAGGTATACCAAATTCCTTTAAGGTCAACTGCCCAATTTATTAAATCCCCTATTCCTAATGCAATATCACTGTGGAACAAATTACCTAAACCTCTTTTAGAATATGCCTTAAAATTTTCCCTACCATCGTTCAAAAAAAGAAAGTAATAAACACTATCTGCCCAAGAGAATAATCAGTTCAACGTCCCTGATTAATTTAACAAGGTCTCAAGAAAGCACTCTCAACAGAGCTCGTGTTGACTTATTTTTGAAAGCAAGACTTTTTGCACACCAATTTACTTTTATAGACTCGGCTCATTGATCTTGCAGCAAACCTGAAACACTAAAACATTTATTTTTCAAGTGTCCTCTATGCCAAATTAATAGGCATGCCCTGATGGAAGAGGTCAACAATAATTTTTATAATAAGATCAGCCAACTAACAAACATGGATGATAAACTTAATTTTCTCTTTTATGGTGACGAGACATTATCCTTAGCAGAACTAAGTAAACTTCTTATCATCGTCAGCAATTTTCTCCATGACAACAAGACATAGCAAAGAGGTCTCATCTAAGCCCTGGAGAACTCATAATATATTTATCTTGTTCACATCTACTTGGCACAAACCCTTTGGTCCCTGGGATACCCTTCGATGCACAGTTGTCCTCAAACAGCTAAATACTGTACTTAATTTTTTACATGTAAGTGATGGCCAACCTTTAATGCCAATATGGCGATTGGTGGCCGAAAATGTATTGACTTTACTTCAATAAAGTTTATACTATAAAAAAAAAATCCACAGTAATATTGTTTAACTGATGCATATACCTTTCTGTGAATATTTATATTTATCCAATAGAACTAATTTCTATTCCAGAACGCTTCAATCAAACTCTTGAAGGTATGCTTCATAGAACTGTAGCAGATACAGGAAAGCCACTGGACTGCATTCTCCCAGAAGTCGTATTTGTGTACAATACCAGTGTACAGGCCTCAACCAAGTTTTCGCCTTTTTTCATTGTATATGGAAGGTAAAAGTTGAGGGACTTCTACCCATAAAAGGAAACTCTCCGTGTTCTAAGAAATGATAATAACCCAGAGTGTTCAAATCGTATTTCTTCAGACCAAATACATGCAGTAAAACACCATATAAAATCCAAACAAATCAATCTGAACTTGTTTTTTCATCTATCGGAATCGGCTCTAGTGTTATCTGTTCTCCTACTTGGATAACGCCCTTGACTTAACTGTCCCGTGGTCCTTCAAATTAGTGTTAAAATTAATACAGTTCAATAGCTAATTCATAATTGCGTTATAATTTAGGCAACCTGCCACAAGATGTAAATGAGGATGTACATGTAGAGGCTGAGGCTGGCCCAAGCAATGTCGATGCAGCGTCAACATCAGTTGTAAATGCCATTGCCACTGCTCTGGCAGATGTGGGAAAAGTGGTCCAAGCAAACATAGAAAGCGCACAAAAAGGCAGAAAAAGAACTACGATTTGAGAATGAAGCCATACTTTTAGGTAAGGTAATGTTGAAATCGAGTTTTCCCCCTATGTCATCCATGAAATAAAACTTTAAAACGTATCCATTGTATAATTCTGGGAGTTGAAGATGGGAGTACTGGTGCTCAAGAAGAACTCGAGAAGGTACGAAGGGTGGAAAACTGCAGATAGGTGGCTTGGGCCATACGTAATCACAACTCGCAGCCAATTATTACCTCAGGCATTTTAAAGAGGGTAAAAACGTTGGCTCGAGGAGTGGCAGCTGCCAATCTCAAGCCATACCAAAGACCAGCTGAAGAAGCTCGAAAGGACGATAATAGCAGTACCACCTCTGATGTAGAGGTGTCTGAGGAATTCTAGACATGACTTCTTGAAACTCATTTAGCGCCCGTTATTATATTCACTCAGATATTTTGAGACAGTTTATACATGTAGTTAACCAATTCAAATTGTATTGTCATATTTTGCCCGTGAATAAAAACATGACATGTTATATTTATGTGTTGGATGGTTTATAGTTTAGTTAGTTAGTTTGTTTATTTATTTATTTATAGTGGTCAGTCTTGCAATTCAATAAAATATAAAAAAAATAATTACAATTTTACCCAGCCCACCTTACAAACCACTGTTAACAATAGGAAATACAAAATTAATACACGAAAATCAATATCACATGTTGCAAATGAATTGCCTTCTCCGCACAAAAGCCATTCTTAATAAATTTAACAATTTTACAGGTAGTATTCCCTAAAAAGAAATTCAATTTTGCAACCTTCATTATCCAAATCTTTAGAATTTACCTCAACAAAGTATGTTTTTCTCAGATCATCATATCTTTTGCAATGGAATAGAAAACTCCTACACCATAACCTAGTATCGGTGAAACATATGTATTATATAATTTTGTGTAGGTTTTATAACTAAACTCATTCGACATTTTGCATCGTTGAATCACAGAGCCTAGTGCTCGACCAGCAGAGTCGGCCAACTCTGTGACTGGCTTTACAAAGCTGCCATGTTCATTAAAAATAACACCAAGATACTTGTAATCTTTAACATTTTTTAAAGACTGGTTCCCAAGTTTAAAGTCGAACTCTGATAGTTTAACAGTTTTGTGCCTAAAATGTACAATATTCGACTTATCAATGTTTATTCAGAGCCGCCACTTTTTACACCAATTGTACACAATATATATCTAAGATCTAAGATCTGTTGTAAATTTACCTCTGAGCCTGCTAGGATCACAATATCATCAGCAAATTTGGAGATAATGTATCACCTTGACGTACTCCTGGTGACGTATCAAACCAATCTGACAGTAAATCATCGACCTTTACTGCTGATGATGTTGCTGTGTACATACTTTTAATTGTATGATAAACTTTGCCATTAATGCCATTTTAAGGAGTGTATAAATCATGAGATTCCTGTCGACTAAATTAAAAGCCTTCTGGGGGTCAATAAACCCAGCAAATATACTTGATTTATTTTCAATGGAATTTTGAACAATGGAGTTTAAAGATAATATGTGATCATACAGTCCTAAGGAAAATATGTCCGATGGACTTATTTTCCTAGGAATGCAAGTCCCTGGACTTATTTTCCTAGGACGGACCTGCATTCCTTGGAAAATAAGTCCATCGGACATAATTTAGCATGCATATTTGGAACTGTAAGACCGGAAAACGACACTTCATTTTTTCTGGAGTAGCGCAGAGATTAATACACCTTTATGAGATTCTTTTGCAGGCACTCCTAGATTCTACACCGAAATGCCAGCCATCTTTTGTAACATACTTTTATAAATAAGTAGTATTAATTTCACCAATGAGAACTTTATTATTTTGTGTTTAATTAATAAATGGACTCCCCTGAACATTACAAAGCTATGTTACTAAAGGTAGGTGGCATGTTTTGTGTAGAATTTAGGCGTGCCTGCAAAAGAATGTACGACATTTAGAGCACATCTTGTAACGCTCATAAAAGTGCATGCAATTGGGCTAGTCATCTAAAACTTATTTGTGCATTTTTGTGTCACCCTGTATTGTAGCTGAATTGTCACTGCACAGAATGGAAGGACCAAGCTAGAGTGAATGGAATATCTAATATATTGATTAGACAACAATTGAGCAATGGATCAATTGGATATTCCAAGTATACCTTGTGGGTAGTGGCGATGTGTTGAAACATACTCTCCAGTGTCCGAAAAGGAGTATCACAGTTTCTTATGTCACCCCATTTGCCTGCCTTTCTTGCCTCTGTAGCTATAAAAATAGGAAGGATACTTTTTTCGTACAGCTTTCAACGAATACTTTTCGACGAGTCACATATACATGTACATTGAGGTATCGATACTGGAATGGGTTGCCACTTACTTTTAAAATCTCTATAGGAATCCATTTGTATTCTGACACTTTCAGATTTTTTCTTTCTGTTATCATACTATTAAAGAAGAAATTGGTAGAAGGTGATCTCTCCCCATGACTCATTGGGTATTGTGTTATTGGCGTTGTTCATCCATGCGGACGTGTACATGTGGTGCGCATCTTTAACAGTGAACTGAAGGAGGAATATAAATACGTTTTCCCCAGTTTTAATTGCAAAAACGTCTGAAAATATTTTTATGTTTTTTATATGTTGCCATATGCCTGGCTACGTCTTTGTTTGGACATTCTAAAAACTCACGTGCTGGATTGTCATTGGATCTACAGCACAGGGGTTCTCCACATTCTGCATCTGAACCTTCCATGTACAATGGATCAACATGAATGTCAGAGATATGGAGTATTCGTAGCATTGGAGACCCTTTCTGAAAAACAATATGAATATAGGTTGGTAGTGGAGGTATTAAATCAGTTGTCCTTCACAAGTTCCGAGTCAAAATGGTGGTCAACATGTGCTCAATATTGGAGACATGAAAGTTGCATTCTAATGGGTTTCATATACTTTTTATTCCTTAGAGGGTAAGTAATTGCTATATACCCGGATAATCTCGCAAAGTCTCGTTTCTCGGAAATACGAGCCATTTTATCCCAGACGCATGAGCATGAATTTTGAAATACAAAGACAGTATTGTACTAGGGAGGTACTGGCATATTCTAGATTGCGTTTACAGGGATGAAACCCTACCTTTGGCGTTTTGGGTGGTACCACTGGAGGTTTGTTCCCAGCTATCGAGATGTTCCACATGATACTCGGATCATACGCATGCGCACATGAATCTCCAAAAAGAGTCCCGCAGATGTAGGCTGGACTTAGGAACGCAAGGTCCGCAACAGTTAACACCCATTCCTATTAGAAAGATGTTATTCATGATTTTATCTCGCCTCATTAGGGACTTCTATTATTAGCAACATTTGCTTTCACCTGAATTTTTCAGCATTTTTGATCTTTTCGCTATATTTTGTCTCTTAGAAACCAACCTCTAGGGACTACAAATGACATGGTGATCCTAAAGTGAAATGAATGTCATAAGGTAGAATCAAGTGATTGCAATTATAATTGGGTACTATACAGTACTAGCCTAATGTTTTGGACTGTAAATGGCTAGGCAAAGACTAGATGTAGCCCTTTTAAAGACTTGCAAAGGGTTCATTCTATTTACCTTGAATGTTGCAACTGCTAGTTTACATACACGGTCGCTATACAGTTTGAGATCAACGCAAGTGTCAATACAAATTGTAGCCACATCATCCCTCTCTATCTTGCCTTGGCCGTAGTCCTGGATGATTGTTGCGAATACTTTACAAAGATCACACTTAACGTCTAAATGTATTGAATTTTGCTTCCTGGTTGTATGAGCATCCTTTGAAAAAGCATTTATTCCTGATTCGTAATGATTACTTGCTCCCCATTGTTTAAGTACATTTGCGTCTGACGATATGTAGAAGACGCTCCCCCAGATAGTGACCAATAGCAGTTTGATAAATGGGACCATTATAGACACGTCTCAATCCTGTCCATTGAACATTAATGGGTGTATCTGGACTCAACCTCCTTATTCAATGTTGACCCTTTGGTTCATAAACATATACTAAATTAGTCTAGTAAATACATATTGACTAAGAGGTCCAGAGACACCCGAAAAGCTGTACGTTTGCATAAGTACTACTAAACAATGTTATTGTATCCTTTAATGTAGTATCTATACTTTTGACGCTATCTTCACTGAAGAGTCTTACCTCATATACAAAATAGATAAAGTATCTGTATTCCTATTTTGAAGTGAAAGTTAATGATTTATTATGACATGTGGAATTGAACAGTTAACATAGTATTTAATGGAATAACGAAGACATATTCTGGGAAGAGTAATGGGGAAGTTTTAGGTTTAGTTTCACTTTGATACATTGAATGTGATTGTGCTAAAGTAGTCGAGCATGTGACTAACATCTTTTGCAACTGCATGATACAATTTCCACTAAGTTAACATGTTTAAGTATATTTGTTGCAAAGAATAGGATAGTTTCTAAATAGCAGAAAAAGCAATGGAATCTAGTGCTGCCATCTTTTATTCATCTTTTAATTTGGGCTAGAGTTCCATTCACTGTACATGCTAAGATCTTTGAATAGTGGCTTAATTTCATGATTTATCAAAGAGTCTTAGTTGAATCTATATAAACATTGAATGATATGCCCAGTTTATGTATATGTTGTGATTAAACATGCAAATGTTGGTTGACATACAAATAATCCAAGGTTTTAAAGAATTTTAGCATTGCATCTATGGTGATTTGGCCCAAGTTTTTTTTAAATTGTCATAGAAAATTATTCAAATTACATAACTGTGTAAATCAAAGCTAATAATAATAATATAATGGTTCCATTTATCAAACTGCTATTGGTCACTATCTGGGGGAGCGTCTTCTACATATCGTCAGAGGCAAATGTACTTAAACAATGGGGAGCAAATCAAAGATGCCATTTAAAAGAAGGTAATGTAAGTCATTAGAGGTCTAATATGTATATCTCTTAAAATCTCACGAAAAACGAGATTTAGCGAGATTTCAAAAGCTATATGGAAACTATACTATTGCATGAGTAAAATGAAATCAATGTTTATTTGAGCAAAATTGCTATATTAGAAATGTATATTTTAAAATTGATGTAATGATAGAATTTTTAAATGAGATAAACATGTCTAAACGTTTACTCTTAAATGTCATTTCAGTTTTTCAATTATTTTATTACCTCAAGATTAGAAGAACAATTCCAGAAATCCTGGTCCTTGTACATTTTGTAACGGAAACCACCCCGCATCCCACTAACTTTCATCTGAAAAGAAAACTGTTTGAACATCTTTAATTGTGAAAATATATATTAATGAGATGCTTTATAGTTAGATCAAAGTATATGGTATAGTCCAAATTCTAATATATGCCGATGGGAAAATATTGATTACATTTAGCACTGAAAGTGGAGGCCTATATCCATCATTAAACTAAAAATAAAGCAATTAAACGACCTCAATGTGATAACATATTCATGAATTATAAACTGAAATAATACCAAAAATTGTCTGATAATGTCTGATGTATATTGAAACAAAAAGCAAGTGCCACTATGCGTCTCTCCTGTCTAGAAATATGTGGTTGGGAGTTTTGAATAATGTGGTTGGGTTCCATTATATCACAGTATCCAGCCTAAACCCTGCCTTAGTACAAGAATGGAGAGTTTAAGCTAGTAAAATCGAAACGGCAACGTATACGTATAAATTGCCTATATACAAATGCATGTAGCTTCCCCACGTCTTCCTCACTTATTCCCCATCTTCTTCAGAAAGAATTCTACTTTGTATCGGAATCCAATTAACAGCCTTGTATGGTAATAGACACGTGTATACTGTTTCCCGTTGAGACCAACGTGAAATATGGAGTTTCGCGTTCTAAACTCGAAACTCGAAGTAACTGAAATAGACTAATAAGCGCCTGTTTTGTATGCGCGTTATAAACTGCTATATTGATTCATGTACTTTCTGTTCACGGTCGCGTTGTGAAAAAGATTGCTAGCTTAAACTCTCCACTAATTACAATATACTTAAATAAATTGATTTTGTCAAAAGGTTTTGGCAAATCTGGATCGACGAAAATTATCCGATTAATACGCAGGGAAACTGTCATATTGGGTATAATTGCAGTCCTGCGGACACGAACGAAAAACAGTGGAGAGAAATAGGTTACATATGAACAAACTTGGGAAGCACATGGGTGTGTGTTTGATAATCTGTTTTGCTATCATCAAATAAATCATGTCCATTACAAAACTCCCATTGCCCATTGGTATGACAAGTATTTGTTCTCCTAGTGTATTGACATGTCAGCTAGAAATTGATTGATAAATGGCCTCCTTTGCAGGCTAGGCACTGTCAATCTCTGGACAATCGTGCATTGAAAATTATCTTTTTCCTCGATCGTGAACCTTATGCTTTGTGTTCTATAGGCTCGTATAGCTAATCATGTAATGCTGTACATAATCACAATGTGCCCCACGATAGTAATCCCCTTCCTCCCTCCGAGTATCATACTTTTCATAACTGCACACTTCTATTGACGTCATTCCCGCTACTTCCAGTACAATGTCGATTTCAAGCCAGCTGCAGTCTTTTGAAATAATCAATTACCTTCACAAGTGGGGGAAGTGTGACGGACAATAATCGGACTTCAAAACAACAACTTTTAGTTGCCATCAATCGTTGTCAATAAGTCAACCAACGTTCCATAAATCAAAATTTGCTTTTAAATTCCGATGGTCACGTTATCAATGACGTTCAAAAAAGCCTCTGTACCTGCAATCAATCAACCCTTCAATTATTTTATTGTCCATATTTTCGCCAACTGAAAAACAAAATTCTCGTGATTGACTTGCATCGTATGAAAGCTCATATATTTTAACTGACCTGTCAATTGATATGTCAAAGACATCACAAATGTAATAAATAATATTCCACTATTGTTTTAACCCTCGATATGTACCATTGTTGTGTTTGTATATAAACTACACGCCTTGCTTGTCTCCTCACCTTCTACGCCAAGATGAGTCCCAGAGGCACCTTACTTGCGGTCTTAGTTGCCTTATTTGTCATAGGTAAGTTGCTGTTTAATTCAATAGATGTTTCAAACTGTTCAAAATGACTATTTCGATATACTTCGTTTAAACACGAAATGCAATCACGGCGAAATCGCCCAAATGTGCATTTCTTTTGTCGATTAGTGCTATTTTATTTTGTAACGTTAAAATATTAAAACCTGATTTGGACAAAAAAATCTAATCATTCGAATATATGTTACTGTAAAACTTTGGATTCTTTATGAAATCGCTGATGAACTTGCTAATTTGTTTAACATTGTGTAATTTTAATTGAAAAATTCATTCAGTCATTTCACAGATCTTTTGTTTCTTAAAATTAATAGTATAGCCTAATTGAAAATTGTTATCTTGACAATAAAATATATTTTAATTTAAAATGGCCGCAGAACAGATTATTGGAAATTACAGACACAAGCGAAATTTTCAGATATCATGCATAAAACAAATTTGTTTAGAAAAAATGAAGTTAATTATGTATTACGATATATTCAAGGAACTCCAGAAGGATCGGATCAAATATACATAAATATATAGCAGGGTTATTTTAACGGCATGTTTATTTAATCAGGTGATCGATCGTGAATTTGTCGCTACTTTAAACAATCAATTTTCCAATTCGCCCCACTTTCACACAACAAAAATCGTAAAACATGTTTATACAAAAGTCATAAAAAATGTTTATTCAAAAATCATAAAAACTGTTTAAACAAAAATTGTAAACAATACTCATACAAAAAATTGTAAATATAATTTACCCATATGGCATGAATGCTATCTATCAATACTATGTAGATGGCAGAACGTGTCTATGTGATTTATATTGATATAATATATTAATATCATATATTAATTTATATATTAATTTATCTATAATTACTCTTGCTGTTTTGATCACCCGAAGTCAAATAGTTGCATGGATAGAAGGTGGTATAAAAGAAATACCCCAAAGTTCGCTGTAAAATAAATAAAGAATCAATTTTAACCATAATTCATGTTTGATATAATTTGGACAATGAGCTTTTCCTGATATCTTAAAAGTACCGGGGGCTTAATAAAAAAAACATATTCACTCAGACACGTAGTTTTCAAATGACAATGACATACATGTATTAATGCCTTTTATATTAATTTCACTTTAAGAAATAGAAATAAACCGATAGCTCTATATTTCATCAATTTCTCATACTTGTGATTGAAAATCAAATCGGTAAACGAGTATGATGCCTCAGACATGCAAGCTGTATTTTACATAGAATGTAAGCTGATTATTTTATATATTTCAGGTACGGCTCTCAGTGCCTATGCACCGTGTAAAAGGTTATGTTCGTCATTGAAAATAGCAGATAACTGTGGACCACCATGTGGAGTTAAAAAGGTAAAGTCACTCTCCAGAAGTTTGGCCAACTTCAAATACCTTCTGAGCACATATGTTCAAGCGATGTTAGGCGATTTTAACAAAAAAAACTCATAACTTTAATTCCCGTCCGTTTACCAAGCAAATAGAAACGGGATGTTTCAAACAAAATAGAAAAACAGAAATATTATATTCCTAAGCTACGATGATAATAGATGTCTACATGTTCATCATTCTAATAATGAGTGGCTTTGAAAACAAAAATTGCACACTTCAAAGTAATACTACTTGTAGTAATTCGGCCAGCAGTTTTTAACGTCCTTCAAAGCATGTATGTCTCCTATATACTAACGCCACCTTTCACATGTCACTTGTTTAGGGTATGGAAATTAACGGAACGTGTTGGAAGGAATGCGCTAAATTGGTGATGGCGGCGACAGATAAGCTGCCTGAATTGAAAGGATGCATAACTGAGTGCTCAATTCCCAAAGTTAGCACAGAGCCCCAAAAGCCCAAAAGGGTCAAAGGTAAACATGTCCAACAGGCCATGCTCATAGTAAATATAGAATTAAAAAAAAAAACTAAGACTACGAAATTAATTTTCATTTAAATAAAAAGGAATGATTTTAGTAAGAATTTTCAGAAATGGAACACCTTAAACAGGTATTTCCCATCTACTTTATTTTCAATATTTATTTATTTGCTTTAACACTGAATGCAACAATGTCAAAAGCTATATATACAATCTAAGCATTTTGTTGGATATTTCGAAATAGGTCTTCGGGCATTCCAATATTCCTCTATTGTCACTGACGTTAGATATTAACACAGGTATAGGGGATACAATCTTCAAAAGTTCTATGCTACCTATTGGATGAACTATAAGCTGAAATGAAAGACCTCAAAATAAATAACTCTCATCTGGGCTCTTTCTGGGATAATCAAATATAGATTTTTAGATGTATTGCATTGTTTGTAGGTGGGAAGAAAAGCCAGTATGCTCCCTGCAAGACAAAGTGCAAGAGGCTTAAAATGTCAAAATGTGCGAGCGTATGCAAAATACCCAAGGTAGGTAAAGACTATCAGATCTACACACAGCGTAATCATGTATTGGGAAACCTAGGCTAGTTTATCGTTCGTCGAAAAATAAATTGCATCATCATGATCATGAAATCACATTTGCCTAAAGTCCTCGCATAGTTCAATTCTTTGACTTCGGTCATGTGTATAGAAAGATGTAGAACTTGTAAAGAAACGTGCACTCGTGGCCGTATTGAAAAAGACGAGACCAATAAAAGGTACTTTTTACGAACCTTATAAGGGCATACACTGAATACAATGATCCCAGCCATATTACAATGCATTGAAAATAATGCATCATGTTGAATTAAGCAAATCTACATAATTGTAGGTAAAATCACAACTCCAATACAGTCAGTATATGCCCTACGAATCTGAGAGCTGCTGGTCAAAATGGCATTACGAACCAGTTGCAAATTGCAATTTTATTTTCCTATACCTAGTGAAAAAATCAACTGGTTCGTATCAAAAGTACCATGGTAATGACCAGCGGACTGGCCCTTTGAGCCTACACTGTCGTAACATTTCTTTTTCCTCTCCCCGACGGGTGTATCCAGCGAATTTGAGCAAACTACGTGTACTTTAATCGGGCGCTTCCAAATTGGTTATAGCAGGGTGAAGAAAGAGGTACGGATTCTGGATACCTGCATAGGATGATGCAGACAGCTTGTTCGTTAATTAAAATCAGTTCCTTTAAAATCTAAATTCCAGGGGAAAGACATTAACCACCTTTGTTGGGTAGAGTGTGTCGACAACGCAGGTTCTGACATCAGGAATCAACTTAAAGCGTGTATGACCAAGTGTGTAGTGAAAAAAGGCTAGTATTTTATCAAATCTACCAAAAATCGAATCTAAGTCGGATACACAAAACATAATTTAATCTATTGGCTCATTTTTGTGATCTTTTTATTGCGTCTCTGTTATCTGAAATGCATACATGAGATTATAAATACTGTAAAATTCATAATATGATTTTAATTAGGTGTATGCCCACCAGCTAGTGATCCTCGATACGGAGGCTCTCCTCCAACATCTTGTTGCGTCGACCAAGTATTTCACACCGCAACTGTCAAAAATGGGTACACCTGTTATCACCAGAGCAACGCTTCAAAGGTCATGGCAAAGAAATGCAAAAGGTTCGAGGTATTTAGGGTCACAGCTGTCAACATTTGTGGCTGTGTGAAAAAGGATGCACCTGGGCCTGGGCCTGGGCCTGGGCCTGGACCTCAAACATGCGGAACAGCTGCCAATCCATGTACGAATATTACTTATCTAGATCAACATAAATGTACCCCTTGGTTAAACTGAAATTAACTTAACCCCTTAAAAGAATATATTAAGTAGTTTAAGTCAAGGTTTGTGAAAATGAAATTGAAATCTAATCTGCCTTACATTAGTCTACCTCTGCCGTATGCTTAACTGTATCTAACTTTGTTCTACCTGATTTTACTAAATGCCTCCACGTCCATTTGACCGAATATTGCACCGTTATACCGACATTTGACCTAATTTAATTGACTTCTATCCCCCGTATTCTACATATATATAGGCTGTAGATGGGGCATGTGGAGTTCATGGGTAGACCAACCTTGTTCTAAATCATGCAACGGTGGAATCATAAGAAAAGAAAGAAGAAGGATAAAACTTTTCGGATCAACAGGAAACAATGTTTGTCTTGGACAAAGCAGCGAAGTGTTTACTGGCGTGTGTAACACACAGCCTTGTGGAGGAGGTACCGGAGGTATGGTCATCGTCTTAGGCTTTCTCAGTACAGGTTTCAAATAAACCATCCTGATTTGCACTAACGACTGCGCATGTAGCTAACACTGAACGAACCACGCAATTCAAAGCTAGAATCATTCATACGCTAGATTGTGTCAGAATAGGTCATTGTTGAATTTGGCATTTTAGGCTTAAGCTGCAGATGGAGCGACTGGACTGCGTGGCAGCAAGGAGCGTGCTCTGTCACATGCGGCAACGGCGTAAGGAATCAGACCCGTTCAAGAACAAAACTTTATGGAGCCGGAAATTTTGGACAATGTCTTGGGGCATCTGTTCAAACACAACAATCTCAGATATGCTACAATAACCCATGCCCAAGTAAGTTGTATCCGTATCAATCATACTTTGAGCCCATACTACAAAAATCTGAAATCCAGCTGACCAATACATCTACATTACAAACAGAATTCGTCAAGCAATTATCCCATTGCTATGTTAATATGCCCTATGATGGTGACCACATTCTATGAATAAGTTACAATGTTGCTACATGATAAAAGTTTCATATCATCATAGCTAACCCACACGAATAGCCATTCCCCATCATTACCAAAGCCATTCCACTGGCCAAAACACCCGCCAAAACATGATTTAGTCATACGCTAAATATTACTTTGAAGAACAACGAGATTGAACAAATAAACGTTTTACAGACTGCCAGTGGGGAGCATGGACTCAGTTTGTCTATGGACAGTGTTCAAAGTCCTGCGGAGGTGGAACTATGTCTAAATCTCGAACAAGGACAAAGGTTTTTGGCAATTTTGGAGGTCTAACTCGTTGTGATGGAGATTCGGAGGAGAAGCAAATGCTTTCCTGTAACTCAAACGCTTGCCCTGAACCACGTATGTACCGTGACTTATCCCTTCCTTTAGCTTACAATCACAAATCTTCTGTTCTTCAGCCTAGACAGAACGAATACTGAACTAGTAGTTTATACACGTGAAAACATGTTGTCCAGCACCGTTGCGTAGCACGTTTAAAATTCCTGCAAACAATATTTACAAAAAATGTCTATCCAAAACATGGTGGTCCAAAAAACTGCAACAGGCTGTATTTTCCTAATAATACATGCATGAATTGGCTCATTTTATTACATCTTGGAGAGAAAGGTCTAAATCTTCTGTTGATGCCATAATTTATTTTCAGTCTTGAATTTTGAAGAATTACAAGACTTAAACAAACATGCCTAAAATAAGATATTGCACCGACGTGAATTACGGAACTTGTTGAAACACATTGGATGATCTTAAACAAGCTTTCAGTGAAAGATATACAACTAAGTTTAAACCCTACCATGTGACAAATGGAAAAATATTTGAGCAGAAAACACATTTCACACTTCCATTGAGCATTTTGAAGTAATTTAAACCAATCAACAGTTAAGGGGCATGCTACCTACACAAACGGTTAAATGGGGCAAAGTTACCCCATGTTACCCAAAATCTGAGAAGCCCTTCATATAAATAGCTTACATATATCAAAAGGAAACGTAGTATTCAGTGTTATGAGCAATATTCTATTAAAAGTTTCCATGATTAATGAAGATATTGACATTTAAAGACCATGTAGTGGTTGCGATTTCACTGGAAGATGTTTTGTCTTTTGAACAATTCACAATAACTTTCCAACTGGAGGTAGGATGATAATTTTTACACCATAATGTGCGGGATTCAAAACCAAACAAAATCGGAAACATTCGGTTTTTCAGACTGCAGCTAAAAAAGTCAACGGGAAGGTTGTTGAAGGGTGGAAGAATCGCAGTTCACATTTTATCCATTTTCAGTGATTTTGGGTTAGTGCTTATAATTTCTGCAAATCTCAAGATTTAGAAAAAAAAATGTGTGATACCAACAAAAACCTTCCTTTACAACATGTGAAAATATGAAAGATTTCCTGCAAGTAATAAGGGAAATATAGCCCATTGGAACAGTTCACTTTTTGGACCACCCTGTATTATGCTGATTTAGCGTGTCAATGGGGGGCTTGGGGCCAACTTATCTACACGGCGTGTAGCGTCACTTGTGGTAATGGATACACAGGATACATTAGAACACGCCAAAAGAACTACGCCGTTGCCTTCGGTAGATGCGATGGTGAAAGTGTTGATAGAACCCAAGCACTAACCCAATGTGTCCGTCCGGCATGCCAAACACAGACACAAGGTTTGTAAATAATCGTTTTGAATTTCGATACAAAGTAATTTATTTATCCATTCTTGTCATCCCCAGTATTTTTGTACAATATGCATGCATAGACATGAAATATATTGTAAAACTTCGAGGTTTCTCAAATATTGTTTTCTTCATCATAGTCTGGACTAATAATAAATTAGTAGTTTACCAAGCTTAAATTCGTAAAAACACGTCAGTCGTCACATATAGCACGCTTAAAATTCTACAAATCGAATTGAACCAAAAATTAAATTCAATAGTGCTGTTTTAGCTTGCCAATGGGGCGCTTGGAGCCAACTTACCTACACAGAGTGTAGCGTCACGTGTGGTAATGGATACACAGGATTCATCAGAACACGCCAAAAGAACTACGCCGTTGCCTCCGGTAGCTGTGATGGGGATAGTGTTGATAGAACCCAAGCACCTACTCCATGTGTGCGCTCGCCATGCCAGACACAAACACAAGGTTAGTTAATGATATTCAATTTTTTATTTTTTATATTTGATACAAATTTGATTTATCCATGCTAGCCAACCTTCACGAAGTTGTAATTACATGCGTAAATCAACCATCCACGCATTTTCTTTACTTGCATTACCATGCATTTGCATAGAATAAGACCCTTGCCTTGTCTGCCATCCTCAGTATCTGTGTACAGCATGCATGCATACGCATAAATATATTTATAAAACTTTTTCGAGGTTTCTCAAATTATGTTTTTTCATCCTAGTCCGGATTAATAATAAACTGGTAGTTTACCAAACTAAAATTCGTATCACACATCGGTGGTCACACATTTGTAGCAGGCTTAAAATTCCATAAAATTGAATTGAACCAAAAATAATTGAAAGTCAATGATGCTGATTCAGCTTGCCAATGGGGCGCTTGGAGCCAACTTACCTACACAGAGTGTAGCGTCACTTGTGGTAATGGATACACAGGATTCATCAGAACACGCCAAAAGAACTTCGCCGTTGCCTCCGGTAGCTGTGATGGTGATAGTGTTGATAGAACCCAAGCACCTACTCCATGTGTCCGCCCACCATGCCAGACACAAACACAAGGTTTGTTGTTTGCAAAGGACCAAAATTTGGCACTTTAAAAGAGTTCGTCAAAATCGTCAATTTCCAAATGATTTGGCTATTAATACAAAAATGACATAACCATTGAAATAGATTTATAAATAAAAAATTCTGTTTTAGCTTGCCAATGGGGCGCTTGGAGCCAACTTACCTACACAGAGTGTAGCGTCACTTGTGGTAATGGATACACAGGATTCATCAGAACACGCCAAAAGAACTTCGCTGTTGCCTCCGGTAGCTGTGATGGTGATAGTGTTGATATTAGCCAAGCACCTACTCCATGTGTCCGCCCACCATGCCAAACACAAACACAAGGTTAGTTTTTTGCAAAGGACCAAAATGTGTAAAGGAACTCAGCGAGAAAAAGAAAACATATAAGTGTATAGTCATAAGGAATAACCCCAACTATCCAAAACCCATATTCCCTTGTGAAACAAACACTTTTTAATACTCGCTGTTCAATTCTATCATCAAAATCCAGGACCGTAACAGCAAGGGAAATTTTACATAGTATTGTTTTTTAATTTTCCCATAACCAAGCCAAGCAAGTCATTATTACGACCATTGTGTTTCCTGGGATTTCTTTATTTCAGATGTTCATTTCGGCCATTGTTCACCCATAGTACCAACTTAATAATTGTGCCATCCTTTAGTCCCCTTTTGAATCATTCAACAAAGCATGTTTGTATTTGGCGCTTTAAGAGAGTTCGTCAAAATCGTCAATTTCCAAATGATTTCGCTATTAATACAAAAATGACATAACCATTGAAATAGATTTATAAATAAAAAATTCTGTTTTAGCTTGCCAATGGGGCGCTTGGAGCCAACTTACCTACACAGAGTGTAGCGTCACTTGTGGTAATGGATACACAGGATTCATCAGAACACGCCAAAAGAACTTCGCTGTTGCCTCCGGTAGCTGTGATGGTGATAGTGTTGATATTAGCCAAGCACCTACTCCATGTGTCCGCCCACCATGCCAAACACAAACACAAGGTTAGTTTTTTGCAAAGGACCAAAATGTGTAAAGGAACTCAGCGAGAAAAAGAAAACATATAAGTGTATAGTCATAAGGAATAACCCCAACTATCCAAAACCCATATTCCCTTGTGAAACAAACACTTTTTAATACTCGCTGTTCAATTCCATCATCAAAATCCAGGACCGTAACAGCAAGGGAAATTTTACATAGTATTGTTTTTTAATTTTCCCATAACCAAGCCAAGCAAGTCATTATTACGACCATTGTGTTTCCTGGGATTACTTTATTTCAGATGTTAATTTCGGCCATTGTTCACCCATAGTACCAACTTAATAATTGTGCCATCCTTTAGTCCCCTTTTGAATCATTCAACAAAGCATGTTTGTATTTGGCGCTTTAAAAGAGTTCGTCAAAATCGTCAATTTCCAAATGATTTCGCTATTAATACAAAAATGACATAACCATTGAAATAGATTTATAAATAAAAAATTCTGTATTAGCTTGCCAATGGGGCGCTTGGAGCCAACTTACCTACACAGAGTGTAGCGTCACTTGTGGTAATGGATACACAGGATTCATCAGAACACGCCAAAAGAACTACGCCGTTGCCTCCGGTAGTTGTGACGGTGATAGTGTTGATAGTAGCCAAGCACCTACTCCATGTGTTCGCCCACCATGTCAGCCACAAGGTTTGTAAATAATCGTATTGGTTTTTGATACAAAGTAATTAACCTGTGTCTGGACTATTGATTTAAAATGATGCACTCTTTATCAAAGGTTGTGGCCAGTGGTCTGCGTGGTCAGAACAAGTCGGACAATGCAAAAATTTCCTTGTGAATCCCAACACTGGAGTATGCCTAGTCCAAGGTGATCAAAACGTAACGAAAACAAGGACATGTACGCCATGCCCAGTCGGCAAACGAGATCTACATAAGAGGACATTCCCAGAACTCCCTGAAGAACAACAATGTGTTGGAGAGTCAATACAAGTAACATCAAGAAAATGCTGTACCAGCGGTGGTGGGGGAACAGGTTAGGTCATTTTAGACTTTATTTCTAGACATTCTTAATATGCCTTACGATACTTCTACCAGTTACATCGAGGAGGATTGGCAGCCATTATTCAAACTCGATACTCCGTTGCCTGCAGTGGAACAATTTAGTAAAAAAGATTCTATAAGGTTCTCCCTGGACAAAGTATTTCGTTGAAAATGGTCATTACTAATATTTTGGTAGTATTCAAGCTTCCTCTGTCAGCAGTTCTAGTCTTCAAAATATGAGTGATATTGTTACCAAATTGGTCAACGCCGGGAAACGGAGTATTGAGTTTGAATAACGGCTTCCAATCTTCCTTGCTGATACAAGTAATAATACATTATGGCAATTGCTTTTTGTTCTTTCATATACATGGCAAACGCAATATATATTATACGATATAGGAACTGGATGAAAACACCTTTTGAGATCATGATGATAAGATACATACAGCAAACAATTTTGAAATCGGCGATCTATTTTATTTTCTTCGCAAAGTTGTAATCGGTGATCTAACTCTTGTCAGTCAACTTGGAGTATATTCATGGAATACAATATCAGGTTCAGAGTAGGTATAAAGAAGAGATACAATTTACTCTATATCATCTGACATCACACAGCATAAACCATCTTAACATGATTATTTTGTAAAACTGAATTCAAAGAGTTGTTGTTTCTAGGATGTCAGTTTAGCCAATGGACTGCCTACCAATCTAACGCCCAATGCAGTAAATCGTGTGGTGTGGGAACAAGGCTTGAATCTCGTACAAGAGTAGTTATAAGCGGATCCAATTGTGTCGGAGCTTCAATTGAAACTAAACTAGGCGTCTGTAATACACAAGCATGTGGACGTAAGTGATACCCCATCATTGCACTGTGCTTATTTCAGAATATATTACGATTCTTGGCCAAATACCGAAGGTGGTTGAAGATCAAACCTGAACTGTTCAAAGAATTTGATTGGTCCCTTAAAGTATTTCGGCTATATTCGTGATATAAGAACATCTTTGGTTGTGGTGCATCGGTGTTTTCTCATGATCAGAATCACAGGTCTACACATCATAAGCTTCTTTTGTATGGTTGTTATAGCGACTGGGTCGGCAAAAATATCAGTTGGGGCTATTTTAACTCAGAAAATAAAAATTTATGACACAATCACATCCCCTTAAATCATAGGGAAAGATAGGCACAATTTCTGACTGATGCAATATTACAAAACTTTCCTATATATGTCAAAAAAATCGTTTTCCGAATTATTTGGGCTATTGATGTCAATATGGCAAAGTCATTGATATAAATTTATAAATAAAATTTTCTGATTTAGCTTGCCAATGGGGTGCCTGGAGCCAACTTACCTACACGGCGTGTAGTGTCAAAGAGTTCGTCAAAATCGTCAATTTCCAAATGATTTGGCTATTAATACAAAAATGACATAACCATTGAAATAGATTTATAAATAAAAAATTCTGTTTTAGCTTGCCAATGGGGCGCTTGGAGCCAACTTACCTACACAGAGTGTAGCGTCACTTGTGGTAATGGATACAAAGGATTCATCAGAACACGCCAAAAGAACTACGCCGTTGCCTCCGGTAGTTGTGATGGGGATAGTGTTGATATAACCCAAGCACCTACTCCATGTGTCCGCCCACCATGCCAAACACAAACACAAGGTTAGTTTTTTGCAAAGGACCAAAATTTGTAAAGGAACTCAGCGAGAAAAAGAATATAAGTGTATAGTCATAAGGAATAACCACACAATCCAAAACCCATATTCCCTTGTGAAACAAACACTTTTTAATACCCGCTGTTCAATTCCATCATCAAAATTCAGGACCGTAACAGCAAGGGAAATTTTACATAGTATTGTTTTTTAATTTTCCCATAATAGTCCATTTGAATAGTTAAAAGAATGATGTTTTTCTGCGTAAATACTATCATTAGGGATTATTGGAGTGATTTAGCTGGGTTGCCCAAAAAATAACTTTGGGGAAAAATTTTGTATCAATTCCCATGGTAACATACTAGGTATATGGTGGTATCCCTACGCTAAGTCAATAGTCAACACCATGTTAAGCGATTGCACCCCTCCCTAATCAGCCCATATAATTTTTTCCCCAAACAAACTTTTTTGGCAACCCAGTTTAATCACTTCAGAAAACCCTTATTATCATAAATCGACCATAAAACATCGTACTTTTAACAATTTCTAGGTTCACTATTGGATGTATAGGGGTGACAAATGGACTATAACCAAGCCAAGCAAGTCATTATTACGACCATTGTGTTTCCTGGGATTACTTTATTTCAGATGTTAATTTCGGCCATTGTTCACCCATAGTGCCAACTTAATAATTGTGCCATCCTTTAGTCCCCTTTTGAATCATTCAACAAAGCATGTTTGTATTTGGCGCTTTAAAAGAGTTCGTCAAAATCGTCAATTTCCAAATGATTTGGCTATTAATACAAAAATGACATAACCATTGAAATAGATTTATAAATAAAAAATCTGTTTTAGCTTGCCAATGGGGCGCTTGGAGCCAACTTACCTACACAGAGTGTAGCGTCACTTGTGGTAATGGATACACAGGATTCATTAGAACACGCCAAAAGAATTACGCCGTTGCCTCTGGTAGCTGTGATGGTGATAGTGTTGATAGAACCCAAGCACCTACTCCATGTGTCCGCCCACCATGTCAGCAACAAGGTTTGTAAATAATCGGATTGGATGTTGATACAAAGTAATTTCTATGCGTAATAACTATTGATTTTAAAACTCATGCGATCATGATAACTGTTTATGTATTACATACATCGCATCAAACTATTTTTATTGAACTTTACTTGGTTATATTAAGAAAATGAATTCGAATTCTTAACTGTTTCTAGGATGTCAGTTTAGCCAATGGAATGCCTATCAATCTAGCGCCCAATGCAGTAAATCGTGTGGTGTGGGAACGAAGCTTGAAACTCGTACAAGAGTTGTTATAAGTGGAACCAATTGTGTCGGAGCAACAGTTGAATCAAAACTAGGCGTCTGTAATACACAAGCATGTGCACGTAAGTAATTATCCCTCAACATTTCACTGTGCTTCTTTTATAATGTGTAACAATTTTTGTATTGCAATCGAAGATAGCCGAAAATCAAACCCCAACTCTTCAAAGAATTTGAGTGGTGTCTAAAGTATGTTCGGCTATATTCGTCATACAATAAACTCTTCTGTTGCCGGTGCATTGGTGTTCTCACATGATCAGAATCACAGGTCTACACTTCATAAGCTTCTATTGTATGCCTTTATTTTATGTCGCTTTTATTCCCATAGTAAAATGGATTAAACATGTAAACATAAATCAATCAAACAATACAACAATAACCAAAACATACAACATACACGTAATAAACAAAGAACAAAATATAACAAAACAAATAATTATAAAAGTTTACAAAGTTAAAAGCAAGTAAAAAATTGCACCTCTGGGGTTTTAATTGCACGTCATAACTCAACGGTTATAGCTTATTGGAATGGTGTGTTTAATTCTACATTAGAGTTTTTAATTATATTGCTAAAGTAAGGCAACACTATGTTTACCGTTTTCAAATTAACACAGTCGCTAAAACAAGAAAGGCCTTTCACTGACACTGGAAGAGGGGCTTTAACGAATTCTCTGAGAAAAATCCCAGCTTCAGACTGACCTATAGCCACAGTGATTCTATTCAACATATTGTTTCGTTCTGGAGCAGTTTCCGTGCACATTGCTGCTCTGTGTGAGATAATGTCTCCCTCTAGTGCTCCACAATATTCACAAAGCTCAGGTTTATTTGGGTCAAGTGGAATAGTTAGAAACTTTGCTATGACAGTTGCATATTTAAGAAGACCGGGAATCTTTCTTGAGTACAGCCATAGTGGGTTTGGTTCTAGATTGTTTTGTATTTGTCTTAATCTAGTAAAGCTATGATCATTTTCCGTTCGTGATTTCCATTCGTCATTTTGATGAGAATTTATGGCAAATTTGACGATACGTTTCCATATGTGTTTTGGAGGGAAATACCCTGTATCAATGTATTGATTTAATGGCAAAATATCTCAGTAATGTCCTGTTTATGTATATCTGTCTGTCTACCAAAACCCTCTTTGTGTTAACCTACAGCATAAGGATTCATAACACGACCATAACCCCAACTTGCTTGAATAGCCTATGTCAACAACAATTTTATTTGGGCTATTATTAATGTTAATATGACACAACCATTGTTATAAATCTATAGATAAAAAATCTGTTTTAGCTTGTCAATGGGGCCCTTGGAGCCAACTTACCTACACAGAGTGTAGCGTCACTTGTGGTAATGGATACAAAGGATTCATAAGAACACGCCAAAAGAACTTCGCCGTTGCCTCTGGTAGCTGTGATGGTGATAGTGTTGATAGAACTCAAGCCCCTACTCCATGTGTCCGCCCACCATGCCAGACACAAACACAAGGTTTGTTGTTTGCAAAGGACCAAAATTTGGCGCTTTAAAAGAGTTCGTCAAAATCGTCAATTTCCAAATGATTTGGCTATTAATACAAAAATGACATAACCATTGAAATAGATTTATAAATAAAAAATTCTGTTTTAGCTTGCCAATGGGGCGCTTGGAGCCAACTTACCTACACAGAGTGTAGCGTCACTTGTGGTAATGGATACACAGGATTCATCAGAACACGCCAAAAGAACTTCGCCGTTGCCTCTGGTAGCTGTGATGGTGATAGTGTTGATAGAACTCAAGCACCTACTCCATGTGTCCGCCCACCATGCCAGACACAAACACAAGGTTTGTTTTTGCAAAGGACCAAAATTTGGCGCTTTAAAAGAGTTCGTCAAAATCGTCAATTTCCAAATGATTTGGCTATTAATACAAAAATGACATAACCATTGAAATAGATTTATAAATAAAAAATTCTGTTTTAGCTTGCCAATGGGGCGCTTGGAGCCAACTTACCTACACAGAGTGTAGCGTCACTTGTGGTAATGGATACAAAGGATTCATCAGAACACGCCAAAAGAACTACGCCGTTGCCTCTGGTAGCTGTGATGGTGATAGTGTTGATAGAACTCAAGCACCTACTCCATGTGTCCGCCCACCATGCCAGACACAAACACAAGGTTTGTTGTTTGCAAAGGACCAAAATTTGGCGCTTTAAAAGAGTTCGTCAAAATCGTCAATTTCCAAATGATTTGGCTATTAATACAAAAATGACATAACCATTGAAATAGATTTATAAATAAAAAATTCTGTTTTAGCTTGCCAATGGGGCGCTTGGAGCCAACTTACCTACACAGAGTGTAGCGTCACTTGTGGTAATGGATACAAAGGATTCATCAGAACACGCCAAAAGAACTTCGCCGTTGCCTCCGGTAGTTGTGATGGCGATAGTGTTGATATAACCCAAGCACCTACTCCATGTGTCCGCCCACCATGTCAGCAACAAGGTTTGTAAATGATTGTATTGGATGTTGATACAAAGTAATTTCTATGCGTTCACTGTTGATTTTTAAAACTTATGGATCATGATATTTTGATTATGTATTACATACATCGCATCAAACTATTTTTATTGAACTTTACTTGATTATATTAAGAAAATGAATTCGAATTCTTACTGTTTCTAGGATGTCAGTTTAGTCAATGGAGTGCCTATCAATCTAACGCCCAATGCAGTAAATCGTGTGGTGTGGGAACGAGGCTTGAATCTCGTTCAAGAGTAGTTATAAGTGGAATAAATTGTGTCGGAGCTACAGTTGAATCAAAACTAGGCGTCTGTAATACACAAGCATGTGCACGTAAGTAATCCCTCATTTCACTGTGCTTATTTCATAATATGTAACAATTTTTGTACTGCAATCGACGATAGCTGAAGATCAAACCCCAACTCTTTAAAGAATTTGAGTCGTGCTTAAAGTATTTTCGGCTATTTTCGTCATACAATAACATCTTCTGTTGCCGTGCATCGGTGTTCTTACATGATCAGAATCACAGGTCTACACGTCATAAGCTTCTCTAGTATGGTTGTTATAGCGACTGAGTCGGCAAAAATGTTAGTAGTGGCCTGTCCATGCATATTTTTTTAGTCGACCTAAACACCCTCTTGGGTTATATTCACTCAGAACATGAGCATTTATAATACGATCATATCCCATTAATTTACAGGGAATAATAGGCACAATTGCTGACCGATGCAGTATTACAAAAGTTTCTTATATACGTCAAAAACGATATTTGGGCTATTAATGCCAATATGGCACAGCAACGGAAATAAAGTACTAAATTGACATTTCTGATTCAGCTTGCCAATGGGGCCCTTGGAGCCAACTTACCTACACGGCGTGTAGCGTCACTTGTGGTAATGGATACACAGGGTACATTAGAACACGCCAAAAGAACTTTGCAGTTGTGTCCGGTAGCTGTGATGGTGATAGTGTTGACAGAACCCAAGCACCTACTCCATGTGTGCGCTCGCCATGTCAGCAAGGTTTGTAAATAATCGTATTGGATGTTGATACAAAATTACTGACCTGTCCAATATTTCAAAATTTTCTTATACATAATATGTCCAAAAAATCGTTATCCGACTTTGTATTATCAATTAGACTACAAGAGTAAATGCAAAATCATTATATGCATACGTCTCACATCAAGTCATTTAGATTTCTCTTTTTATTAATAGTGCTAAGCTTAACTGTCTTTATTGATAATTTGATTAGCTTGCAACGTATGGGGCGAGTGGACGCAATGGAACTATGGAACATGCCAACAAACCAATGTCCTTAACACGCAGCTGCAAGGTCAACAACTCTCCCAGCCATGTGCTGTCTATGGCATAAGAGCATGTAATAGGACAAGATCGTGTAGTCCATGCCCTGGTCAATTACAGTGTATTGGACAATCTATCCAACAAAAAACCGAACAATGTTGCAAAACACAGGTGCAACAATGTAAGTCCCTTTGATTATTAAATGTTAAATAATGATTCTTTTGGTGTATTATCGTTAATATTGCCCAGCACTATTCTATCGGTGGCACGTTTCATTCCAGATTGTGCTTGGAGTCAATGGGCAGTTGTGAACCGTGGCTCTTGCAGTAAGACATGCGGAATCGGTACTCGAACTGTGTTACGTCAGAGATCAAAACAATACAGCGCAACTTTTGCCGGATCAATCACCTGTGACGGGGTTGCCAATGATAACATCCTGGAAGTGTGCAACGTGAACCCATGTGGAGGAAATGCAGGTACATGTATCATATGGGCTACCAAATTGAATTTGTTCTGGAAGAAGTATCAAAAAATTTCAACTCTGGAATCGTTTGAATAAATATCATTCTTAGGCATGTTTGTTTTCTAAAAGTTGCCATTAAATGAGATGCGAGTAAGAAGATACCAGTTTCACTACAAGGTGGCTGATTCGGGTTAATTAACATGATATGATATGATTCTTTATTTCCTCCAATTTGGAGAGCTAAATTAAGACAAATTAATTAAATTACAATATATACATTAAATACAATATATGGCGAATTGAGTAAAGTGAGGTGACATTTGCTTCCGATGTGAATTCCTTAAGCATAGCGTTGATCTGTTTTGCACAAAGGTTTATTAATTGTTGCCACTTTGCAAAATCGTAATTCTGTATATGTAGTACATCTATGCAACTACCCACTTTACATTCTACTAAAATTGAACTGCGAGAGAGTAAGAGCCCTCGAGTAATTTCCTATTTCAGGGAATAATTGTGAAACGATTATGGCATTTGCTTTTTAGATGGAAATGTTTTTGAAATAAAAGTAACTTTTGAATTCGGAAATCATTCTACTCATACTGAAGTTAACTTTATTCTTATTTGCAGACTGCCAGTGGGGCCCATGGACAACAATTTCTCAGGGAGTCTGCGGGAAATCATGCGGATCTGGAACCCGACAAGATAGCCAAACAAGGACCCGTAATTACCTTGGTACTGCTACCGGCATCAGAAGATGTGATGGCCCAGACAGTCAGTTGAAATTGGTCATATGCAACACACAGGCATGCGGAGCTGGCGGAGGTATTTATTCACTATACATTGGAATTTGACTCATAGTACTAAGGCCCCAACCGGCATCAAAGAAAATATTCCAAGAATATTGTCCCATATTATATTATTATATTATATTATATTGATCTTTGTTTTTACCTACCTGTTCAATACTGCGCACGACTAATGATCCAAATTAGGTATCCACGCAAAATATGAGAGCCCGTGTACTATAAATATAGCCATCCATATGTTCTTAAAGAGACAAATGCAAGTCGATCAATTCATGACTGTCATATTGCAGATTGTATCTGGAGTTCATGGTCTAACTCTTATTCTGGCATCTGCGACAAGACATGCGGTACAGGAAGTAAACAAGTCCTTAAAGTGAGAAGCCGCACATATTTTGGTGGAACCGGAACTCTTCAGTGCGTTGGAGATTCTCAGAAGGTGTCACTTGAACAGTGTAATACAAATCCATGTGGAAATTCTGGTTCCCAAGGTAACGGAAACATTAAACATCTTCAAGTTGATTCCATTACATCGTTTGAGACTGAGAGACATATAAATGTCACAAGTTTCACTAGTAATCTATCATAATTATCCCGAACATGGTCAGCACTATGCGCATAGTCGGTGAACATATGCATTCATTACATTCACAAACGTCTAATAAAGAACAAGTAGTAGGAGAATATGACCATGTCATTGCATTTGTAGACTGGTAGACATTGCACTTGTAGACTGGTAGACAGTTGTTGCTTGTGTAGACATGTTGTATTGCGCTTGAAGACATGTATTGCACTTGTAGACATATATTTCACTTGTAGACATTTATATTACTTGTAGACATATATTTCACTTGTAGATATTTATATTACTTGTAGACTGTTATTGGACTCCATGGACTGCTGCCACAAAGGGAGTTTGCTCCAAATCATGCGGAAGTGGACAGCGAACCTCAACCCGAACAAGAAATAAGATTTATATTGGAACCAACAGTGGAATTCTCAGGTGTGATGGTCTCTCATCTGAGTCTACTTTAGAAGCATGCAGCACCCAACAGTGTGGAATTGGAGGAGGTGAGTTGTAGTTGATTACCCTTTGTTTGACTTCACTTCTTAAAAGAGAGCTTCGTCGATTAACTAGACTCTGCACGCAGGGTAGTAGTTGATTCGTACTCTAGTCATTCTATCTTGTATTCACCTGGAATAACAAATAAAATAAATACAATTCGGTGATTCATTAACATTTCATGCCATTTGGCATTTTATATTATTGTCTTTTCTTAATTGCCCATATAAGGTAAAGCGTCAAAGAACTTTAATCGTATTGGTGGTTTTTGTTGCACGATTTGCTCATCAATTTGATTGAGAGGACAAGGTTTACATGATCATTCAACAAAGGGTTCATATATATGGTGACATAATGACTCCAACTTTTTTTGGACGGTGTTCGGTAGTTGGAGTTCGGCGTCTGTAACAAATAGCAGGTAGTGACATTTTGCGTGTTAATGCCTTGTGTTTACCTGTTGTACTTGCGATTCAGGTTGTAAATGGAGTGTCTGGGGTGTTGCATCCGAGGGAGCATGTAGTGCTACATGTGGAACTGGGTTCAAGGAAGTGAGACGCACAAGGGCTCACATCTACACAGGTGTTAACGACGGATCAAGATGCGATGGATCATCAACCTCAAACACATTTGCGCCTTGTTACATTCGCCCTTGTCCGGGTAGCGATGGGTGTAAGTAAAATTAGATAGTTAAAATGTTACAATTTAAATAATTCAAAAGCGTGATCATATCCAGCCACTATTTAGCCTAATATACTAATTTAAACCTCTGGTGTTTAGCTTGTACAACTGTATACAAAGAATGGAGTGAATGGTCTTATGGCCCATGTTTGGGATCGGTGGGACCAACTGGAGCTTGTACAACAAACGGACTCAGACTTTGTAAGCGTACCCGGGTCTGTCCAAATTGTCCAACAAACCCATTACTTCCAGGAAATTGTGGAACAGAACTAGCAACAGATGAGAAGTCTGTCGCTTGCTGCGGAACAACGATGTGTAAGTTAAAATTGCCTAAAAAGGTTATTTAATATCAGTTTAAAGTAATTGTTAACTTGAAATCTCAAACGTTAAAGTAAGGAAGACTCGCAGATATGCGTCATATTATTTCAGTATACGCAATATATGATACAAATCTTGTTTAGATGTTAATCATTTTGGTTTCCCATTAAGGCATTGTGTTAAGTCCACGTCATCTCCATGGCGTTAGGTTGGGACAGGTTCAACAATCTCCAAACTAATGCAAAGTTATTTTTTCTCATCCAGACTGTAAGTGGAGTGACTGGCAAGTGCTCTCCTCGGGAGTATGCAGCAAAACTTGCGGAAGTGGAACCCAAACTACCGTCCGTTACAGGACTAAAATCTCCGTTGGACCAAGTGCCCCTGGCGCTTCATTGACTTGTGTTGGTCCTGCCATTGACAACCAGGCAACCCCTTGCAATACCCGACCCTGCGGCGGTGGAACCGTTGGTGGTAAGAGCCATAGTTTTAACATGAGTATGAAATCTTAGCAACATATGCACAAGGCTGGTCAAGACTCATTCGATTATATATTATACTATTTAAGTTATATTTCTATCGATTTATACATTCCACGTCTTAACACTTATAATCATGCAATGGATCCAGTTCCAGTGTAATATTACTAATCTAGTAACTACAATATAAACTACGCAGATATTTTCATAAGTAACGCAAGTTCAACTTTACAGGTCCGTAAATGTAAATTAATTTGCTGGACGTATTATCTTATAGACTGCCAATGGAGTCAATGGATCAGCTCACCAGTAGGATCATGTAGCGCATCGTGTGGAGTTGGTACACGACAGACGGTACAGAATAGGTACAGAACATACCCCGGGACGGGAACTGGCAGTATCCAATGCTTTGGTTTGTCAACTAGGAACAGCCTTGAAGTATGCAATACGAACTCTTGTGATGGAGGAGGTAAGGAAACCCCCTATAACCCATTTATTATCCCCCTCCCCTATGATAATCTCAACTTGGCCCACTTCTAATGAAGTGATAGTTTTGTTTCTTCATCATTTATTAATCATTTATTTATCATTTATTGATGCGACATGGCTGGTTCCATAGCAGGGCATAATATAATTTAGCTACAACCTCCCCCTGTGAGCACCCCCTCCCCCCCCCCAAATGCAACTGTTGTGTTGGTGAAGTAGATAAGAGGGAGGTTGGAAGTGTTGAAACAAGACTAGGCATAACAGTACATATATCAAAATTATTCATTTGCAGATTGCCAATGGAGTCAGTGGGGTCAATGGACTGTTGGACAATGTACCAGATCATGTGGGTCTGGAACCAGAACGAAGACACGAACCAGGAATCAACTATTCCAAACGATTAGCTTTGTTGCATGTACAAGCAGCCCTATTGAGTCTATAGTCGAGGCTTGCAACACACAACAATGCATACCGGGTTAGATTTACTTTAGAACTGTTTCATGAACTTATCAAAATAATGCATGCAACGTAAATTACGTCATCTACTGATAGCTATGAAGACACTTGCAGAAAGAAAATGATATATAGCGTACACTATATACAGCTAATAGTATCAACGTGATGTAACGTATATTACTCCACACGTATTTTAACCTACATAACAATTCATTGACTGATCGTCCTGCAGTAATGAAATTAAATCACTCACATTTCTTACAGATTGTCAATGGACTGAGTGGTCCGAAACTAGTGCTACCCAGTGTACAAAATCATGCGGAACTGGACAGAATCTCAAAACACTTACAAGACAAAAACGGTACATTAACAGCTATTCGGGTGTCCTGAAATGTGATGGACCATCACAAAACCAAACCATCGGCCTGTGTAACACTAATCCATGCTTTAATCGTAAGTTTGGAACATTACTCAATCTTCTCTGAAAAATGTGCTGAGACAATAGTTTCATGTTGGCCTTTATTCAATATATCAACGTTCATTTGTTTCAAGCTGTTCGTTCATTTCAAGTATCATTCTCTTCATAATTTTAACAACTAACTTTCTGAAATGTTTTTATTTAGATATAGCTGAAATATTTGTCATATAAGTTTTGAACTGAAGGTATTCTCTTCTACTGAACAAGACCTAATGTATAACCTTCTCATTCCATTTCCAGTGGTAAACTACTGTATTTCATGTAAGCAATAAAACACTTGTTTCATTTTATGATAGCCTGCCAGGCAAGTTATGGCCAATGGACATCGTGGGCCTACGGACAATGTGTAGGTTCTATAGGAACGACAGGATCTTGCGTTAGAAATGGAACACAACAATGTACGAGAACACGCTCCTGTCCAACTTGCCCAACTAACGCTGCTTTACCAGGCTTTTGTTTTGGGGCTTCTACTGAAGTGAAGGCCGTCTCATGTTGCGGAACCCAACAATGTAAGGGTGGTGTCAAACCAAGTGTAAAATCTGAAAACGTATCGGCTGTTTTGTACTCATGAAAAAGTTTTATTTCAATATTTGAAACAGTATTGTAGCAAAAGCTAAAATAGATAATAGTGTTAATTCAAAATATTTTAATCGTTGTTTGGGTATGTTCTTTAAGTCTCAGTCACATTTGCTATACGGCGACCGTATATTATATACATATATAGAAAGTTGACATGGTACTGCTTATCGCTATATTTTATGCTGCATATTTCTCTCGATTTTGGGGAGCTACAGCCGCGATACGGTTGCTGTAGATCAAATGAGACCGAGGCATTGGACTTTAACTATATAGTAAACACATGTTATATTCAGATTGTAAATGGAGCGACTGGCAGACACAAAACACAGGCACGTGTAGCAAAACATGTGGTGGTGGGCAACAGGCTGTTTTCTATACAAGAACGAAAATCTCAGTTGCTTTCGGACAAGGTGGCTCTCTAACATGCGAAGGGGAACCCTACATATTTACTTCAATTAGCTGCAACACACAACCATGTGGAGTTTTAGACGGAAATGGTGAGTAGCGAAAGACAAGATTATAGGGTTGGTAAGGTTATGTTTATCTGCCAAAAGAAAATATTGGTACGGAGGGGAAATTTCAGTAGCAATACAGATTTCATTCATGAAACTAAAGTGCCTACATTGAATTAATGGTTTACGAGCAAGTCAGAATATTTCTTAGGCCCAAGATCACATGATAAAAACGTTATAGAATAATTTGAAGTCACATTATAGATTGTCTCGAATTTCTCGAGATAGTATCTTATCTATATTAACCAATGTATTCATGGATATGTGTCAATCTCTATATTAGACTGTACCTGGACACCATGGAACGTAATCCAACAGGGCGCATGTAGTGTCACTTGTGGAACAGGAGTAAGACAAAGCATACGTCAGAGATACTATGAGTATTCGGTTGGAACCGGACAGAAACAGTGTATTGGCTCATCCCTACAGTCTAGTTATGCTGAAATTTGCAACACACAGTCGTGTTCCGGAACTGGAGGTACATTTTCTTGTCTCACTGGTATATGAAGAAAGGATGCTTTAAAATGTTCAAAACAATTATTTAGAACCCTAATTGAATCAATGTTTAATAACCAATTGAAATATCTATCCACACAAAATTTTTACTGAACATTAAAGATGCAGAAATGTCCACATTTTACGACAAGGGCAACAGGGTTGATGAGAGAAAAATATCGTTAATGACGATAATAGTTCTCAATGATTCAGTTAAATTGATCACTTTCAGACTTTTGAAAAGTGATGTGATAAACTTCTAGCATTCTCAAGAACCATTGGGAACCATTTTACCCATGCACATTGTCATAGTAACATGTCAGAAATAACATGAGACCATTTGAACACCATGTATAAATAGAAGTAATGCTAATTGCAATGATCATACCTCTGGATTTTAGATTGCCGGTGGACTCAGTGGTCATCTTGGACTGCGAATGGACAATGCAGTAAAACATGTGGAAGTGGAGTCTTGACTAAATACCGAACAAGGACACAACTTTTCCAAACCGTTGGATTGGTGGCTTGTACCGAAAGTCCCGTTGAGACTAAAGTCGAATCTTGTAACACCCAGACATGCGTCCCGCAGACAGGTGAATACAGAAATGAAATTTTGATAAAATTATAATCACCGACACTATGACCCCACTTCTCCATATGACTCTCTTGTTTTAACTAATATACTATTTTTGCTTCTCGTGGGATATTCGTGTATTACAATTATTCTTATTCTATTTGATGACTTTTAAATTGTAATTACACTCAGGGGCCTTAAGCTAGCTGAGCTCTTTAAATAATTGCACATACATATATTCCTATGCTATCGCGTGGAGCAATCTTTTGACAGTGTACTTCAAAGGGTCATCATATATAGCGTTACGAACTTGGTAGATTTTGTTTCGAACTACTACCAGATTACGTTCACTTATCTGGCAAAATAACCTGCTTCGATGTATTTTACCTCCAGCATGTAATGAGTGGCAGCAGTGGACTACATGGCAATACCTAGAGTGCCTGGGCTCCGTCGTAATAAATGGCCTCTGTGTTCAACAGGGAGATCAAAAGTGCGTTAGACAAAGATCATGCACACCATGTCCCCAGTTCCCACAATGCTTTGGCCATTCATACGAGGAGAAGAGCATCAAATGTTGCCCTGGTTCCGGCAGTGGCGGCGGCGGTAGTGGCGGCGGCGGCGGCAGTGGCGGTGGAGGCGGCAGTGGAGGCGGCGGCGGCGGCCTTTGTAAATATTATATACTTCTTTATTATATCATTATATACCTTAAATTGAAAACGAAGAATTGGCAGATTAGCTATTCATGTTTAGATATTTTGACTTTGCATCTTTGTGACATGTGGGAGCCTACTCTTAATTATACTTGATCTTTCCCGAATTTGACATTAGTAGTTTTTACATTTTTGATAACTCAAAGGCCTTTAGAAAACTATTTGAGCACTGACATAGCAATATGTACAACTGATCATGTAGAAACAATTTGCATGTTGCATCCATTCTATATGAAAATGGGCGATGGAATACTCATACCTAGTATTTACCTATATTTAGTGTGCAAATGGAGTGAATGGTCTACGTACAGCTACTCACAATGCAGCGCTACCTGTGGAATTGGATCTAGAGAGAAAACTCGCTATAGGACGAGACAGTTTGGAGTTGTTGGCGGTGAGCCAACATGTGAAGGCCCAAATGTGGAGTCTTCACCTGATATTTGTAACACACAAATTTGCATATCACAGGGTAAGCTTTCCTGTATTATTCACTAAATTTAAACGATTCCCCTCCATGGAACGTATTGACGGCGCTTGCAATATCATCTGTTATCTCGTAGTAACATTTTCATTCATGAGAACAAAAATCTAATTCAACAATCTCGGAATTTTTATGAACTGTATAATAATATATATACGAGTATTAATAGAGAGATTTCGCAACTGATTATAGCATGTTTATTATTTAAGGAATTTATGATTTATGGCGTAATATATGACCGAAGATTTTATTCTGTCCATTGTTAGAAGACCGAAATCGCGTAGCGATTGAGGTCTTAGGCAATGGCCAGGAGCCCGTTTCTCGAAAATATCGTGATTTACGATTCGCGGATTGACGATTTTTGTTTTCTACGATGTTGTCCACGATTTTCCAAATTGCGTTTCTCGAAGCACCTCGTCAATGAAATCGTAATCGACGACTTTTCGCCATGTACTTGATAGCAGTTGCCTAGCAATATAACAAATAAAGTTTTATTGGCGCAATCTTTGAAAATTAGTTTTACTGCAGAAATCTAGAAGATGAATTAGCCTTAGTATTGTATTGTAATTATGTCGTATTTTACTAAATTTTACACAACCCGGCATCGCAAATCGGTAGAAGAAAGTTGATATTAACAGTCTTACTAAATGTGTTCTACAAGTAAAGGTAAAATTGCACTTTCGACCCAGAAGGCCCCTGTCTTGGTCGCAGACGCATTCCATTCCAATTTTTGGAAGCGGTTGGTGGTTGGTGATCGGCGGTTGGAGTCTGTAACAAATTGTAATGTAACAAAACTTCCAATAACTTTACAAATACAGTTTAGACTGACTTTTTAGACAGTTTTTCAAAATCATACAAGTTTCCAGAAGTTCAAATCTGACTTTTTAACGAAGATTTGACCTTCGGTGACCTTTTCAAGGGCAAAAAAGTTCAAAAAGGTATTTTTACAACTTGCTTCAAATTGACCATTTTTTCAAAATCTATTCTACAATAATATTGTGAGCAACTATTCTAGGTGGTGACATTTTGTCATGGTAATGCCTTGTTTTTGTTCGAACTGATACGCTTCTAAGATATGAGATCTATTATCGTCACCAACGTTCATTCTGTCCGATCACCGGGCGTAAAAATGGCCAGGATATAATCGTGGTCATTCGTGATGAGATTTGAATTTAATGAAATTCATATTTTATTTGAAGACTATTTTCTTCCAAAATAATACACAATAGAAACATAAGTTTGAATATTAAAAGAACAAGAAAATTTGACTCGAATACGTTCGCCTCGGTTGCTTCAATATAGGTACAAGGCCTGTCCATTCATTTATAGGCTATGTTTTCCAATCTGGTTTCCCCGGCAAATGTTATATTTCTTTACTATCCTCAGACACGTTTCGTGCAGTGTTTTATAGACCAATCAGATCACAGGAAAACAATCGTGGATGGTTGACGAGTACCCTTAGAGGTGTCGTCAATATCGTCTCCATCCACGATAAAATCGTAAATTGACGATTATCGTCAAGTTTCGAGAAACGGAAAAATCGTAGAAGACAATTGAATTCACGAATCGTAATTGACGATGTTTTCGAGAAACGGGCTCCAGAATAAGATTTGAGGTCATATATTTGACATAAACCATAAAATCGAGGTCTTTGTTACGATTCTAATATGATAAACAGACAAGAAACACAACTATTTTAGTGGTCATACATACTCCAATATAGACCAATAAATCAATTGTTCTAGCCAGTGTGACGTCACGTATCATATTAGAATCCCGAGGCCTAATTCATGAAAGCTCCGCAAGCTTGCGTGTCCGCAATGTATTTGCGGACCTATTGCGTGTCCGCAATTTATTGCGTTGCGTGGTATTCATAAAGCTATCCGCAAATTCATTAGGTGTCCGCAAGTAATTTCCGTGTCCGCAATCTATGTCCATGACGACCGTGTCACTTATTAGGGCAGGGATGTCAGTTTGACCCATTTAAGCTATACTGTCCCTTGAAAATCATGACCTCGGAGTCACATTTTTTATCAAACAATGGCCATAATACCGGAAATTTAACTTCTAAGTCATTGTTTTACCTCGGGATTTTACCGGTTTTTACATCAAAATTTTGTAGCGCCTTGCATTCGTATAGTAAAGCCGGGCAAAGGGAAAATGGATCTAGTATCTTCTAGAAATTAAAGGGAGATGGTTCACATTTCGGAGAATATAATTACACCAATATACCCAGGGGCGTAGGAAGGTGTAAATTCAACACTACGCCAAATGAAACAATTGTGTCAAATCTTCAACTTTAAAATGTTCGAATGTTTTTCATCATATAAAATCACCATGGAAAGCCGATCTTCTAACTCTCGACTCAACTCATTCTCACTTTTCTAATGTAAATGTTATTTTTCTCGAACAATATAGACGAAAAATTTCCACATAACAATGAGAGATTTTTGACCATTTCTGAATAAATGAATTAAGATACATATTATTGTCGGATTCCATCTGAATCGTGCAATACGGCAATACAGAGTAAAGAAATCGATTAAAAAAAAATTCGTGATCAATGATACAATTAACCCTAATGTTTGCAACCTTTTACAACAATAATTTGCAAGACCAAATTACCCCCTTCCACCCTCCACAGAGGTCAACGTGACTTAGGGGGTGCCAAAACCTTTCCAGAACTGAAGGTGTACTTTATGTACTTTCAAAGAGTCGAGGTATCGCTAGAACTTACCCTGCGTGCAGAGTCTAGTTAAACTACAAGAAGAAGACGAAGCTCTCTTTTAAGAAGTGAAGTCAAACGAATGCAAAGGGTAGCTAGAACTCATTGAAATCAATGGAACGCATTATTGAATAATCAACAATTTCAAGTTTTTTCTCTAACATTCATATATCAAGAAGTACGTACCAATAACAATTAGTGATTTAGCAAGAAAATAGATAAATGCTGTATAGTACCCCGGACAGGTTGTATGATGCAGTCATTTTTTTACTCTATATTTGCAATAGAAAAACCATTCTTATTAAAATTTTCATATTTTATTCTGGAGACAATTTCCAACATGGAAAAAAATATTTTATCGAAATTCCCAATTTTATGATTTTGACGGGCTTTTTTCAAAAACACTACACTGCCAATAAAATACAGGTTTTTGCTTGAACAATTGAACTTTTAACGTCATTTCAAATGTTGTCTGCAACTTAAAAATCTTAAAAAACATACTCCGAACAGGTTGCTTTTACATCCATATTTGAACGTCTATATCACATTCAAATTTTTAGTTTTTCATTGGGAAACTTAATCTGATAAAAGAGCAATACCAGGTTTACACATGTACGTATTACCATCACTGAAAGGTAATGTTAAGTGTTTTTTCAAGAGGATTCATTACACTGAATTTTCAGAGAGTGACTTGCGGTAAGTACAGAGGTACCGCACGATAATGACGTAATTCTCGCGGTACCGCAAGATATCTGCGGTGATGCTGACTTTGCGGTCCCTTTGTGAATTGGAAATAGCGGTACCGCAGTGAGTTGCGGAATTGCGCAGGCTTGCGGAGCTTTCATGAATTAGGCCTCCGTATAACGTATAACTTATAAGGAGTTTGCTATACGTCATTGATATTCCTAGTATAGATCACGATTTAAAAGAATGGTTCACTTATTGACTAATGCCTTGGTCACATTTGCTCCGATTTTCACTACGGCGCCGGGCCGATTGAGTATTTTGTTCAGAAATGTATTGAATTTTAAACAAAATACTCAATCGGCCGGGCGCCGGCCGATGAATCGCAGCATATGTGACCCAGGCATAATGGAACTGCGCAATAAATGATGACGTATATCAAACGATTAATAATTATAAGTTATACTGAGTGAGTTGCGAATTCTCTCTTATAACATATTTACTACTAATAATAACATATAATAGTAATAATGCAGCTTGGATAATAACATATTTACTACCATAGTAGTACTGTGATGATAACATATATAGCAAACTACTACTAAATAGCAAACTACTACTTTATAGCAAACTACTACTATATAGCACTACTAAAATGCCAATATATGCTGGTGTATGATTCGATATTTTCATTCAGTGTGTGGCACATGGGGAGATTGGACAACATGGAAATTCGGGGAATGTCAGAACTCCATCGTTAACACATTCAGTAACACGCCACCTTGTCTGCAACTGGGCAACAGAACGTGCGAGAGAACAAGGACGTGTCTACCGTGTCCACAGTTCGGCAAACGAAGTGTGCATCTCACGAAAAGGAGCCCAACATTCCCAGGACAATGCATAGGTGCTAGTATGGAGGTGAAGACCGATCTCTGCTGCAGCGTAAATACAGGTATGTTACGTAACCATGGTTATCCAGGAAAGAAACGCTATCATTTTGCTGAAATTCAGTGAGGATAATATATGATCTACAAGACGCGATGTAAATTCCAACTTTGAAGTACCGACATAAATTTTGGTTTAATCATCTCATTTCTAAATTAAATCCTAAAAATGTCATTGAGTCTAACTCTATATATGTACATCGATTAAATTAGGTGCGGGAACTTGGAACCAATGGACGGCATGGGTATGCGCACCAGATTGCGCACCAATGGGAATCGGAAAACGTGATCCAAACTGCTTGGTGATGGGTACTAAAGCCTGTGTACGAGTACGTACTTGTGCTGCTCCTGGTATCAATGGACAGGATTGTGAAGGTCACACAATTGAGAAGAAAACCGAATCGTGTTGCAGACAATACGGTGAGTAATGAAATGAAAATCCACACTGGCGGATCTGGGGTGGGGGGGGGGAATTTTGAAGAAAATGGGCGCCATTCAACACCTACCGTATTATTATTGTAGCGTATTAACAACTTCGCTTATTAATAATCATTTTTGTAGTAATCTTTATATTATTACAACAGACAAAATATGGCTGTATAACATTGTTTAAAAAACTGTACTTGTTTGGTTACAGCTACGACTGTTACAACAACACCGGCCACAACTGAAACCCCATGTAATAAAATCTGGCAACCATGGACATCATGGTCATGTCCATCTGAGTGCGCCGAAACTATCTTTAAGACAGCAGACAGAAGAAAGCGTGACTTGGTCATCTGTGCTGGTGAGTACGGCACCAAGGTGTGCTCACGAAACAGAGTATGTCCTCCTTGCGTGATAAACGGTGTACCAACTGCTGCCGCATGTGAAGGAAATGCTGTTGATGAAAGAGTGGAACTTTGCTGCAGACCACCAACGACGACTGGTCCACCAACGACGACCGGTCCACCAACAACACCTGGTCCAACAGCGACACCTGGTCCAACAACGACACCTGGTCCAACAACGACACCTGGTCCAACAGTGCCGACTACCACTCAAGCCCCGACAACAACAACCCAAAATCCTTGTACAATATGGCAGCCATGGGTGGAACAAACATGTACGCAATGTCTACCTTTTATTGGAAGTGCAACAACAACAAATAGTCCAACAACAACTGGATCAGGAACTACTCAATCCACATGCGACGGTGGTTTCATTCTGTGTAAATGGGACCGTATATGTCAACCGTGTGTTGACGCATTTAACAACATTATTCCAGGAAGTTGCACAGGTGTAAGTGAGGAAATACGGGCAACACTTTGCTGCTTAGACTAGGTACATTTTAATTTATGTCATTAATTCAATTAAATCAAAAGTTTTGACATGTTCAAGGTTAATATCAAACTATACATCGTATTAATTTACTTCCGATTTCAATTACTTTAAAACGATTTCAACTACAAATATTCAAACAAAAAGATCACGTGCATGAGAGCCAAGATGTGATAGTTAGCTATGACTGTTTAAAAAGAGTGGCCATGCATCGACTCTGTTCTCTTTTTTAAACAAGGACAATCATAAACTACAAATGAGCTAGGCTCTTGCTATTCATATGCTAGAGAGTTGTCCATATAATTTCAAGAGTTTTTGACGACCCTCGTATAGTATACAATATTTGACATATATATTGTTTCATGTTTCCAGATTGGCAAAAAGTCATGAAAGTGGTGTTGGAAGAAACGTCTGGTGGTATCTTCATTGAATCACCGATATAACAATTATATATCTTGTCATTACGAAATATTCTTAATAAATAAATAATATAGTATAGAAAAATAAAGATTTGTTATCGCTTTTTTAATTTTTCGCAGACGTAAAATAAAATCAATCGACGATGATTTCCTTGTACTTTGAATGAACGGATGTAATGAATCTTGATATTGGAGATCTCAAACTATTTTGATGATGCTTTTGTCATTAGTGTTAACTTAATAAGTGAATTAAATATTATACAATGTCATTTTTCATAATATACAGGGTGTCAAATAAGTCCCCCCGCCTGCTACAGCTAAAACCTGAAAATAATCAATAGTTACATTAACTCATCAACTCTGGCTGGTATTTTGAATGAAAGGTTGGGTTAGTGAATGGAACATGATGACTGGAAGGATCTCGACTTAACAAATATTGAAAAATGTGAAGTCAGAAAAGCCAGACCAATCACATAATAAATATTTAAACCTTAATATGGGGTGTTCCATATGTTTCAGGAATGATGCTGTGTTTTATTGGTTTTTTCAATTTAACTGAATTTTTAAAACAATGTGTCTAAACATGTTTTGAATAAAGAGCGAGGGAAAGTATCGCAACAGATTTTTGACAGTAAATAATTTTTTTCTAGTAGTTTCTGGCTGTACAAAAATGAATGCATATGAAAGGCCAATGTATAATCTTTAAGAAAAATTCAAAGAATGGTTTCAAGATCAATTGGATTATCTCATAAGCCATGTTTAATCCACCCCTCAACAAGCTTTTTTTTCAAAATACAATCGTCATTTTCACCATCGTCCCTCATTTTTTTTACAATTTTCATGCAAAGTTACATTGTACTTGAACACATGTTTCATCACTTAAAATATATAAGGAACTCCTTGTGGATTAGGATTATGATAATCCAATATAAGGGGATCCAATGGGGCTATGCTTTTAGTACAGCACACTCATATAAGATGTCATTAGTGTGCCATAAAGTTAGTTCAAAATGTTTTCATAAATGAATGGTTGGACTTGTTTGATCCCCTGCTGTTTGATCCCCTGTTAAATCAATGGAGCATAACCGCAGCGTTTCCCCAAAAATTCTTAATATACCTGTCAAGTTGACTGTTTAATGTTTGAGTGCAGTTAAACCTGTGTGTGTGTGTAAGTTGCTAAGAAATTCTAAATACCTCTCTTTATGATAATTTCTATGATGCCTTATTATAGCATTTACTTTGAACAGGTTTTCTATATCTTGTTTATCAGTAATGATTCACGAGGTATACAGTGCTATTAAAATCATAAATACAGTACAAGAATTTAGTACATCATATCTTTGCCAACAATTTTAATAAGACAAATATTTTGATCCAGCTTCTGAAAAAACATTGAACATGTTTCTATATGATGATGTGTTATAACACACTTCCTTATTTGAGTTTATCTCCATATTGATTATTCAAATAATGAAATGAAGGATGATATGCTAAGAATAACTTTTGCATATTCATCAATTCAAGAAATGTTATCCTAAGAAAATGTTATGAGTAACATACACTCTTACCTTAATGTTAACATTAGGGAGATTAAGCTTGCATATAAAATCAAAACGCCAACCTATGACCAATCGGCCATACAAATGCATCGCTAAATATTTTCCATTCACATTTAGGTTGTGAAAAACATTGCAAGCTTAAAGTCCGTATTGAGAGTCTCTGAAAACCACAATCAATACCATTGAGTGTGTGGTGTATACTACCTTCATCATTATTTCTAAGATTTACAATAACATCTTTTTAGCAAAATGTCAGATTTTCTTCCATATTAATGTGAACAAATATAAACAAACATAGAATGATTCTATTGGGTGTGAGTCAACAATTTCAGTTATTAGGGAGGTTGAGATCCAATATTTTGATGAACCTACACATGGAATGTGTAAACTTATGGTCCCCTATTCCACCGGAGGGATTTGAACCCAGATCTTTTGGAATAAAAGTCTGTATGAGCCCAAAGCTCTAACCACTACACCAAAGTACCAAAGCTTTCTGGGTGAAGAAATTCTTTATCTATATAATCATAGACGAAAAAAGTCTTATTTACATGCTTAAATTTCTTAAAAATGATGAGCATTACTACTAATTATAACATTTTGCATGTCTGAGTAAGTATTTTGATCTACATTTAGGATAAATGTTGTTTTATTCAGTTTTCATTTCGGGTATGACTTCCTGTCAAAACAGTGTTAAAAATGCAGGGCTCAACAAAAATGTTCAATTAGAAAATGATATATATCCTTTGATCAGCTGTTTTTGGCACCTGAACTCATCCTACTAGAAAGGTAAGAGCATTTTCTTGAGACATATGGCTCGAAATCTCACATTTCTCCCTCTAAGTCTTAGAAAGACACTTTAAGTGTATCTACAAAAATCAAGATTTCATTCAAGGTTTTGTGAAAATATGTGAAAATTACTCATTTTAAGAGTCAGAATGACATGTGTTAAGGATCACTGTAAAATACAACTTTTTACCATATTCTAAAGATTGTTGAAAATATACTTCTTAAAGATTCATATTATCTAAGAATAATCCTGGAATTCCAATTTACCCTTTTCGAAAAATTTCTAAGTCCTTATAGGTACACTAATGGGTACGGATCCATTGCCATTGATTTCTTCTCACCCAAAATAGTTCAAGAACTTCTTACAGGGGGTTAACTTTTTTTCACAGATCCGCCAAAAAGATATTCATGATCTGTTCCATCCAAAATCTTAGAGGCAATTTTTGAAATGAATTTTCCATGTAATATTTGTCCCTATCTATCAATTTATAATAATTGAACCAAATTCGTCCACTGGTGTGGGTTGTTCTATCGCCATCGGTCAATAGGATAATTTCCTTGACCGATATCATATATTCCCTCGGAATAAAAGAGCGAGGGAAAGTATCGCAACAGATTTTTGACAGTAAATAATTTTTTTCTAGTAGTTTCTGGCTGTACAAAAATGAATGCATATGAAAGGCCAATGTATAATCTTTAAGAAAAATTCAGAGAATGGTTTCAAGATCAATTGGATTATCTCATAAGCCATGTTTAATCCACCCATCAACAAGTTTTTTTTCAAAATACAATCGTCATTTTCACCATCGTCCCTCATTTTTTTTACAATTTTTTTTTTTACACATGTTTCATCACTTAAAATATATAAGGAACTCCTTGTGGATTCGGATTAGAATAATCCAATATAAGGGGATCCAATGGGGCTATGCTTTTAGTACAGCACACTCATATAAGATGTCATTAGTGTGCCATAAAGTTAGTTCAAAATGTTTTCATAAATGAATGGTTGGACTTGTTTGATCCCCTGCTGTTTGATCCCCTGTTTAATCAATGGAGCATAACCTCAGCATTTCCCAAAAAATTCTGAATACCTGTCAAGTTGACTGTTTAATGTTTGAGTGCAGTTAAACCTGTGTGTGTGTGTAAGTTGCTAAGAAATTCTAAATACCTCTCTTTATGATAATTTCTATGATGCCTTATTATAGCATTTACTTTGAACAGGTTTTCTGTATCTTGTTTATCAGTAATGATTCACGACTCACGAGGTATACAGTGCTATTAAAATCATAAATACAGTACAAGAATTTAGTACATCATACCTTTGCCAATAATTTTAGTAAGACAAATATTTTGATCCAGCTTCTGAAAAAACATTGAACATGTTTCTATATGATGATGTGTTATAACACACTTCCTTATTTGAGTAGTATATCTCCAGATTGATTATTCAAATAATGAAATGAAGGATGGTATGCTAAGAATAATTTTTGCATATTCATCAATTCAAGAAATGTTATCCTAAGAAAATGTTATGTGTAACATACACTCTTACCTTAATGTTAACATTAGGGAGATTAAGCTTGCATATAAAATCGAAACGCCAACCTATGAGCAATCGCCCATACAAATGCATCGCTAAATATTTTCCATTCACATTTAGGTTGTGAAAAACATTGCAAGCTTAAAGTCCCTATTGAGAGTCTCTGAAAACCACAATCAATACCATTGAGTGTGTGGTGTATACTACCTTTATCATTATTTCTAAGATTTACAATAACATCTTTTTAGCAAAATGTCCGATTTTCTTCCATATTAATGTGAACAAATATAAACAAACATAGAATGATTCTATATGTTGAGTCAACAATTTCAGTTATTAGGGAGGTTAAGATCGCACTATTTTGATGAACGTACACATGGAATGTGTAAACTTATGGTCCCCTATTCACGGTGTTATAGCATGACGGTTACGTCAAGGCGATTTGCAAAATTTTGCGGTAACGATAACAAAAAATGGCGGATGGGAAAGGCAGCATGTCCTCTTTCTCGCCTGTAGGCAATATTCACAGATAAGATTTCCTTTTAAACTAGTTCCATTCGGTGACGTATATATGGATGGTTATAAAGACTGGGTCAAATCTGCCAGGTGGTCAACAAGAAACAGAATATAATTTGTAAACCTACCGACTGAGATATCAAAGTTTATAAGTTTTGATCCATTCTCGTGTTGTCTCAGTACATGAGCCACTCAAAATATTAACTGTAAGTATAAGTAAACTATATTGGAGTAAATCAATATTCATTTAACCTATACCTGACCTTCCCCACCCAGTCCCAAGGGTCCCCCCAGATGCACATCGTCCATGAAGAATCAGCTTTTGGTAATACATGCAATCAGAAATATAGTCATCAGCAGTGCAGCTGTAACAAGTTAATATTAAATTCAATTATTCCAAATTCTTAAACATCAAGAAAATGCTTATTTCCAGAGGACAGTCGGCATAGTAATACAAGAATATATAACATATAAAGTCTGCCAATCTACTTTTAGTAATACTCATTGAGGTAAAAGTAAAATCCCAGACTAAATTGCATTGGGCATCTTACATATGGCTTTGTATGATCGTATGTAGGTTACATCTATATACCACAAGGTTTTTAGGCAATGTAGACCATGCCCTAACAACAAAAACAAAAATAAACAAATTACTAAATTTTTGTGTAGTTTTGAATTTCAAACTCGACAGTTTTTCTCTTATTTCATGTTATCCCCGGGCATCAATTTGCAAAGGCTACGTTCAAAATAGACATTACTAAAAGTATCACCGAATGCGATTCTTACATAAATCGTTCATCCTTTCATTGATACACAGAAGTAGAAAATAATGCGCCAACCTTAGTTTTTTCTTCCATCGCGGCCATTTTATTGGATAAATCAGTGAACGTAGCTGTCCAACCTCGTTTTCAGAGGTGGCGTAACCGTCATGCTATAACACCGTGCTATTGACTATTTTCACATCACTGGCCTCTTTTTGCCTGATTGATATAATGCCAATTGATGTAATGGTCCCCAGTTAAGGTGCTATGGAACTTAACAGGAAATGACAAAACAGGAAGTGACAATTTTTTTGCATTTTTAAACATTTTTTAAACAAAGATAACAGAGTTCTGTTTTGACCTCCAGTCAATTCAACTAGTTCCAAATACCATTTACAG